GTTAAGATAAGAAAGCCAAAACAAAGCAAGGAATGATTGTGAAAATACCTTAGATAGAAGCCATATTATCACTATTCCAAGAAATGAATTCTGCAAGCTCTTGTTGAGCTACAAAAATCCTATTGTGAACTTCAATTGACATTCTTGGAAAATTATTTCACTTCTTGCTGAATAATTAAATTGTTTTAGTGGCAGCAAATGCGTGAAATGGACTGAAACTAGTCAGAAACTTTATAAATTTCTCTCCACAGAAAATTTCCTCTCTTAATCAGCTCAATAATTCAGATTAATTAATTTTCAATTGAGTTCCTCGCAGCCCTTGAGCCAGTCTTTTCAGCTGGTGGAAAATCAGAGACTTGTGTGACATCAAAAGACCCAACTTCTGCCAAGAACTCTTCCTGCGAGTCGCCTGAAATTGAATGTGACACTCACAACTTCCGCATTGTGAGCATTTGAAAGGAGTGTCGAGGTGTGGAGCTAATAAATATGGCACAGAGACTTCTTGTGTGTGCATTGACGATGCTTTGAAGGAGAAAATGGTTCTCTTGAATTGATTAGGAAAAGAGTTTCGTTCTGCTAGCGTCTTTGAGGTGGACTCTTTCTGAAGTTTTTTTGCGGAAAGGAAGAGATTTTGCCTGTGACAAAAGTGTATTTGAAAATCGTTAAAGCCAACTGTAATGTGATAACAATCTTCCGGGGAGAAAAAAAGAAATCATCGCTCCATGAGAAGTAAATAACGACAATTTATTTGCCATTGTTGCAAGATTGAAGGAGGCAAAAAAGGCACTTCTCAGTGGCTGGAAACCACGATATTTGAATTGTTGATCACTCCAGACAACATGTCACAATAGAGTCATGCTTCCTTGTTTGCCCTCATTTCGCCATGGGGTGACTTTTCCCCGGATGCCAAACTGCCAACAATGGTCGGGCAATCAAAACGCCCCACGAGCGAAATGCAATACTTGCGGACCCGACCAATCAATTTCTCATTTTTAGCCGTGATTTCTGAGGTGTTAATTGTGACTCTCCTCTCACTCATTGCATCAACATCCTGGAGTGATTGACGGACGGTCCAACGGAATTCCCATCGGGAAGGGGCGTTTTTTCACCAATTTTTCCACCAGAAAAATAGAGAAATTTCAGCCCTCTCAACTTGGTAGTTTTGCATATAATTGACACTCGAATTTCACGGTCGATTGACAAACATTTCTCTCCGAATGATCGGAAGAGAGATGCAGAGATTTCATCGGGCGATATAAGAAAAAAAACGGCAACAATTTCCTTCCAACGAATTAAAAGTGCAATTTACTTAAAATATTCCCATCGCTCGAGAGCTGTGTACACATTTCCATTTTATTGCCAGCGACTCTCTCATGGAAATGATGTTTTTTTCTTCTCGCCCATCTGTGGGAATCCTCTGGCTCGCTCTCGTCGCCTCACAGAAGGAGTACAAAGTCCTCGGGATGAAAGTGCAATCAAATTAATGCAAAACCATTCTCAAAGTAATTAAACCAACCTCTCGGTGCCACTGAAGATGTTACAACACACTCATCCAATGACATCCCATGACTCGAAGGGGGGCGCGCAAAGGCATCATCGAGAAGAGTGCAGAAACTTTCGCGAAAAGACCGGAAAAATTTCCACACTCACCCGAGTGGCATCCAAAATGAAACTTTCCCCGCACACGAGACACTTTTCACGGACTCCAAATGGCGAAATCTCAACCTCTGTCTCGCATTTTATGTCGCTTCGGATGGAGGCGTTGTATTCAAAGTTTAATTGAAGTAATCAAATTTTTGATGAAATTACCTTTCCTGAATTCAACGCGGATCTGAGTGGTTATCACGCTGCCGAGGGCAGAAAACTTTGCAGAAGGGGTTTTCCCGGGAGGTCTTTTATATGCCATTCTTCCGCCTGAGAAGATGGGAAAAACACGCAAATAAGAGAATGAAGCATTAAATTACGCGTAGCATTAATAGAGTTTTTTTTTTAATATTAATTAATTGCACAAGAAAGACGCAAATTTCTTCAGGAATGTCTCTATGAAATTTATTCGTTATCTGGCTCTTCGAGCCGGATGACTTATTCAGTTGAATTGAATGATATTCGATAAATTTACCGAATTTGCTTCTTTCTCAAGCCTTATAAAGCCTTATTTCAATTTTTCGCTAAAATACCAGTGTAAAATACGGCGTATAAAACAAATCTAGGCAATCTCAGGTGTTCCGAAAACCCCGAAAGTCGTACTTGCTCACCCAGAAACCCCCAGATTTAATTGCCAAATTCATGAATATCATCCAAGTCGAACTGCGAGACTAAAGATTGCAATTGTGGTGGCGTGGAGAGTGAGAACTTTCTCTGCGGTTTGGAATCACTGCCAGTTAAATAGGAGGCATGAGCTCAGCATCTTGATTATCTCAATCTAGCAATTTTCCTGCTCGTCTGTGTCCAATTCACTCGCTCTCTCAGCCAACACACATCCCCTTTTGCAGCGACAAAGTATATGCTAGTAATATGAAAACTTGAGTATTTTTTATCCCTGCCATCGTCTCATTTTCATCTGCGAGGGGTGGCACTTCTCGCCACCCCGCCAAACCACCGCGAGGACGATAAGAGACTGCGGAGAAATGCTCGAGTGATGTATAAAAGTAATCGCTTCCGGGCGATTAAGAATAGAATTTTTAATGAGTTAAGCCTCATGAGACAAGAGAATCTTCCACCATGTTGCTATCTGGGTGCAATAAAAATTAAAAGTTGCTCCTCCCGGAGACTCAACTTTTTCTCCGGCTCTCGTTCTCTCTCCCCTTCGCCACCCCCGAATTTTTACGCGGGAAGGGATGAAAAGTTGCGCCGTCGTGGCCATAAATGAGGAACTCTTGTCGCAGGCGGTGGGATTTTTTTCCTTTTTCTCCCACACTGAGACACATTTGTGGGCAGATGAGTTTGGGAAGAGACTCAACTCCTCTCCACACTGCCCATGCATTATTAATTGCACTCACTTCTCTGCGGCTCCGGGCGAGATTGCACAAGGCATCGCCACCCTAATGGACCCAATTACTCATCATCGTCTCTTGGTATTCAAAATTGACGGCGAAATTCATCAATTCCCGGGGAAATTCTGTGATAAAACAAGCCGAATTATGTGCTAAAATCACAGTGCAACTTTCAGACGACAGAGGGAGCATTTGCACGAAAGCACGTGACTTTCTCCGGAAATATTTCGGCTCTCCTTCTTGGCGTCCTTTTGACATAGTGACAGTCAAGCCGTAAATCTGCAGCGTCTATCAAGGAGAAAATCAAACATTTCTGTAAGTTTCTGAGAGAATATTAGAATTTCCACCATAGAAAACATAACTTTGAATCCACAATTTTACCCTGAATCCTTTCTTTCCTGTTGAATCACCGTGAAATCTATTTTGCAGGCAAGAACGCCAAAGACAAGAGCAATGCGGAAATCGCCAAACATCTTGAGGGAACGCTTCAATGGCGTTGCTGAGGAAATGGACTTGAGGCAGTCAATCATGTGGCTCAACGATGACTGCCTCTACTCCATTTTCTCCCATCTCAGCATGAGGGAGTTGATGGTGATGGAGAAGGTCTGTCTGAGGTTTCAATCTGCCGCTGAAGTGATCTACAAGTCGAAGTACTTTCTAGATTTTCACTGTTCTCGGCACTGGAATTCAGTCCAGGAACTGCAGGAAATCTCAGACAGACTAGCTCCGTACACTCACTCCCTGATGGCATCCAGCCAGGCGTTCCTCAATCCCGATGACAGTCTCAACCATCTTCTGCAGAACTACGTCAATTTGACGCAGATACACCTCTTTGGATTCACAATCCGTGAGCCTCTGCTCCTCTCCAGGACGTTTGAGAACCTCAGAGAGGTTTATCTTGAGTCTTGTCATCTCACGGATGAAGTCCTGGCGGAGTGTTTGCAAGAAGCGACACAATTGAGGACACTCAAAGTGACTGATAATAGATTCATCCAGGGAGAGTGGCTGACAAGGCTGCAGAATATTCAGGAGATTAATCTGAGTGGATGCGAAATCATTTCACCGCCTTATCTGATAGAGTTCCTCAACCGCAATGTGCAATTGAAGAGTCTGGACATAGTGTGGTGTATATTAATCAACCTCTCGTGCTTTGATGTGATTGTGAAGCGTCTTAAGAACCTTGAGAGTCTAAATATTGACTGCAGATATCTGGATGCTGATCCATCGGTGTTTCATGAACTCGGCAATTTGCCTAAGTTGAAGCATCTGAAGATATATTGCTTCAATGACTTCAATATCAATCCATTACTCTCAAACCTGGCCAAATGGGATACCATTGAATCTCTGCACGTGTCTGTGACTAGAAGAGCAGTGGCTCTGCCTTTCTATTTCCCGTCTTCCTTCACCAAATTGAAGGAGTTGAAACTCTTCGGTTGTACTCAACTGGATGACGAGAACCTAGTTCGAATGTCATCCCTGAAAGCCCTTCAAGAGCTCTACATTTCCTATCGCGCAGGAATAACCAACGACGGCTTCATAAGATTCTTTGAGAATTGTCGATCACTGAGACTCCTCTGCATAATCATAGGGCAGAGAATCACTGATGATCTCATCAATGACATCATGGAAATTCTACACGACAGAAGAACAACGTTGGAAATTATCGCCGGTGCTTCGCATTTATCTTCCATCAGCAATCCGAAACTCAAGATCAAAAGGGATGTTTGATTGTACAATTAGTTACTTTTTTTTACGAAAAATATACTCTACAATTGAAGATTATCTAGTGGCTTCTTTATTTTATTCCGCACTGCAATAATTGTGAAGAAAAGCATGAGAATTCCACATCGTGCAATCGTTGCGTGTTGAGTTTTAAACACCATGCAGCATATACTGCACGTCGCGACTGATAACCGCCAAGTGGAGAATCAATGAATGGGACCTTCTGTGCCCCACCGATAAGCCCCAAAAGTGTGCCACTCACATTCCACGAGAAAGCCCGGGAAGTACCATTAGACCGTATCTCTTTTTTATTAAGATTCCACATATAAATTCAAGGAGGACACAAAATCAAAAGCGGACGTATCGAGAAGATTGCAGCAATAAATAGTTTCCGTCACTAGAACAAATTTAAATATCTTTTTTCGCTAAACTGGGGTTTGATCGTGAGTGTGCGTGGAAGGACATGGCGCGGATCAGCCGGTGCCATTCACGCTGGTCGCCAAGTATTCACTGTAGCGCTTCTCCTGCGCCTGCTGCAGCTTCGCCAGCTTCTTCAGCTGCCCTTTGCTCAACTCCTTGCCGTCGGCGTCCTTCGTGGGCAGTCCGCTGGCGTCGAACTCTGAGTACTTGTCCGTCTCCTGCAGGAACATCTCGCGCGGATTCACACGCCTCTGAGCATCCCTGGCAGCCGCCGCCGCTGCCGCCTCGGCCTTCTTCCTCGCCTTCTCCTCCTCCGCCGCGCGCCGCGACTCGCGCTCCCTCGCCAGCGTCTCCTGATCCACCAGCTTCACCACCGCCCGCGCACCGTCTTTGTCCTCCAGCCGCACACCCAGCGGCGGCATCACCTCGTCCCGCAGCAGATCGCACAACCTCAGAATCTCAGTCGCCTTCACCTGCCTGGCATTGTCTCTCACCGCGCCGCGGAACTCCGCCAGCACGTGCAAGTACGGCATCAGCGTGGCCTCGCGGTCCGCCTCGGCCGCCTTGCCACCCACCGGAAAGCCGATCCCGCCACGAGGACCACCAATAGCCCCGAACACATGCAGCAAATCCGTCACGTACGCCGCAATGCGACGCAAAAGGCAGCGATTCAGTCGCTTCGGGTTGTCCCTGATGTAGATATTGCTCTGCGCCACCAACGAGCGCACGTGATCCAGCACCGAGCGCGTGTCGATGTTGTCGCAGAGCGCCTCGTGAACAGCCTCCTTGGCTAACGTCAGCTTGGCCTGGAGATCGCTCTCGGGCTGCTGCCACGCATCGAAATCATCACTGGCAAGTCCATCTGCAAGACAAAGAGACACTGATAAGCGTGTAACTAATGCATCAGCCAAGCACTGTGTTGCCTCGATTAGTAATCACATTTCAGTAGAAATGTGCCTCAATAATAGCATTCTGACATCCTGCCTCGCCTTATCAACCACTGAGCGACCGTAAAAATCCCGGAACATAAACTTCCCACCCGTCAGATCTGCGATATGCCAGCGACGCAATCAATTTCTCAATCCCTCACCGAGCGAGATAAGACTTGTTGGGAAATTCGGGCTGCATTAGCTCAATTGATTGATCGACTGGTGAGCGAACTCACCTGTTTGCCTCCTCGTGAGGTCCTTGACGTTGAGGAAGAATTCGGAGAGCAGCTTCTCGTACTGCACGGCCATCTCCATGGTGTTGTCGGAATAGTCGAGTGTGTCCTTCCAGGAGTGCAGCAGGAAGGCCAGCCTGAGCTGCGTGGCCGAGTGCTTCTTCAGCGCCTGTCCGATCGTCACGAAGTTCTTCAGCGACTTGGACATCTTGCAGCCGGCGATGGTGAGGTGGCCCGTGTGCAGGAAGTACTTCACCCACTCCGCGCGCCCCGTGAACGCCTCGCTCTGCGCCAGCTCGTTGTCGTGGTGGGGAAACTTGAGATCAACGCCGCCCGTGTGGATGTCCAGCGTCTCGCCGCACACATCCGACGCCATCGCCGAGCACTCGATGTGCCATCCGGGCCTGCCGTCGCCCCACGGACTCTCCCACCACGGCTCGCCGGCCTTGCTGCGCTTCCACAGCGCGAAGTCGTTCGGCGACCTCTTCTCGCCCACGCGATCCTCCGTCAGATCACCCTCGCCCTCGGCCAGCGACTTGGCGTCGCCGAACGCCTCGGGCACGAGCTTCGCGTAGAAGTGCTCCGCACAGCCGTCGAAGCGCCCCACGTCGAAATACACGCTCCCGTTCGACTCGTACGCCAATCCCCTGGCAATTATGCCCTCGATGAAGGCAACAATCTGCGGCACGTACTCACTGACACGCGTTAGCACGTCCGGCGGCCGCACGTTGAGCGCCTCCATGTCGCGATGAAAGGCCTCCTCCCACTTCCTGGCCAGGCACCCAAAGATCGCCTTGTCAGTCACTTTGTCGCCCTTCTGGGTGTCCAGCCACTCGCTCAGCGGGTCCTTCACGGTCTCCAGGAAGCGCTTCCGCGCCTCGTCCACCTTCAGCGCCACTCCTGACTTGATAGCCTCCGTCAGGGCGTCCACAGACTCTGTCATGCGCTTCAGCAGCCCTTCCAACATCACCTTCTTGTCTCCGTCCGTCGTCCTGCCCAGCGTCTCCTTGAACATGACCAGAACCGTCTCGTAGTCCCTCAGGATCTGCTCCAGCGACTTCTCCGCCGCCAAGTACTCCGCCACCAGGTGATTCTGCCGCGCCCTGCGGATGATCTTGTCGTCGATGTCCGTGATGTTCATCACGTACAGCACGTCGTAGCCGAAGTAGTCCGTCAGCACGCGCCGGAGGATGTCGAATGAGATGTACGACCTGAAATGAGGGAGTGATGCAACTTCCGCACAACCTGTCGCCGGCCGCCACTCACCTGGCGTGGCCCATGTGGGAGGCGTCGTAGACCGTGGGGCCGCAGCTGTACCACTTCACCGTGTTGCCCTCGAGGGGCACGAAGGGCTCCTTCTGGCGCGTGAGGCTGTTGTACAGTCGCAGCTGGGCACGTGGGCGCTCCGGCGGCACCTGCCACGTCGGTTGCACTCGCTTGGCCATGCTGGCGTTGTTCGCACTGGACTACACGCGAGATGGACTGCTACGCACTGGGTCACCCAATTCTTTCACAAATGCACAGGCGATAAGGAACGTGGGCCCGTTTTTATGTACAAACACACTTTGTTTTTTGTCCAACCAGTGCCACAGAGAGATTACTCACACCCGCGCGTCATTCCCTACTCTTTTCGATGTTTTCTGCTCCAGAATGAGGTTATGGCAGAGCGCTGAATTCGTCGCCCAGCTGACGAAGCCTCAGCAATAAATGGTAATTATTAAGCTTAGCAGTAAAAACCGTGGAGAAACCATTATATTTTTATTGTGATGATTGAGTGAATGGTAAAATAGTAATTTATAAATAAAAACAGATCATAGGGCATCGAAAAACACTAAAAATCACTTGAAGGCTAAGTTGAACGCCGTTGGAAATGTGTGTTCAAAATGTGGAGACACTAGTCAGCCGGGATGCGCTGAATTGGCCGATTTTGCCTCTCTTTCTCCCTCTCACTCACACAACCGTGCGAACAGTGCGACGTGTTGACCGAGCCCTATTTTCTTCGATTTTCACCTGGAAATACGTGATTTTCCACCCGAGAAAATGACTGGCCCGGCAGTATTCATCGACCTGTCACTTGAGGATCAGGTAAATTTCCCAAAATCGTCCTTTCTCCTGGCAAAAAACGCCTGCGAAAAATGTCTGATTGATTGAGGTTATGTTTTGTTCCTCATTTCTGCAGGCTCAAGAGCTTCGGAAATACTTCAAGAGCCTGGGAGCGGAAATCTCAGAGGAGAAGTCACCGAAGGGGATCGAGGATGACCTGCACAAGATCATTGGCGTGTGCGATGTGTGCTTCAAGGACGGCGATCCGAGTCAGATTGACGGCATCCTCAACAGCATCGTGTCAATCATGGTTTCTGTGAGTCTTCCTGGGTGTGTGGATTTGAGAGGGATTGGGAGAGTGCTAAGTGTCGCTCTTGCAGATTCCGCTGGATCGCGGGGAGAACATCGTGCTGGCGTTCTGCGAGAAGCTGACCAAGGCGCCAGAGCCTGTGCTGGCGAAGGTGTGTCTGCAGTCGCTGTGGCGGCTGTTCAACAACCTGGAGCCCTCGTCGCCGCTCAAGTACCACGTGTACTACCACCTGGTGCAGGTGGCGAAGCAAGTGGACCAGGTGCGTGAGGTGTTCACGGGCGTGGACAGCCTGCGGCTGCAGTTCGCGCAGTGTCCGCCGTCCACGGAGCAGCTGCAGAAGCTCTACCGGCTGCTGCACGAGGTGCTGAGGGACACGAACAGCGAGCTGGCGGCCAAGGTGATGATCGAGCTGCTGGGCACCTACACCGAGGAGAACGCCTCCTGCGCCCGCGAGGACGCCATGAAGTGCATCGTGACGGCTCTGGCGGATCCCAATACATTCCTCCTGGACCCGCTGCTCTCCCTCAAGCCAGTGCGCTTCCTCGAGGGCGAGCTCATCCACGATCTCCTCTCTGTGTTCGTGAGCGAGAAGCTGCCCAGCTACATGCAATTCTACCAGAATCACAAGGAGTTCGTCACGTCGCAGGGCCTGAATCACGAGCACAACATGAAGAAGATGCGCCTGCTGTCCTTCATGAAGCTGGCCGAGACGTATCCCGAGATGACATTCGAGCAGCTGCAGCGCGAGCTGCAGATCGCCGAGAACGAGGTGGAGCCCTTCGTGATTGAGGTGCTGAAGACGAAGCTGGTGCGCGCGCGCATGGATCAGGCCGCGCGCAAGGTGCACATCTCCAGCACAATGCACCGCACGTTCGGCCGCGCGCAGTGGCAGCAGCTCAAGGATCTGCTGCACTCCTGGAAGAACAACCTGCAGCTCATTCGCGAGGGCATCACGCACGTCGAGCACATCCACAAAGGGAAGTAAGCGCGCTTTTGTATTTTTGGCTAAATAAATTATGATTCTGTGCATCTCGTATCAATATCTTTTACTATCTCCCTCTCTCTCTCTTCTCTCTCTCGATTCTTATGTACAAAGGATTGATGATTAACTGAGTCTAGGCGTACATAGAATCTACAGTCAAGTGTATAAATTAGTTTCCTTACAATAGAATTTTCTTATGCATTTGAAGAGAAAATGATCCTCTCGTCACTAAGCGGAATGAGGATTTCCTTTGATATCCTGATTACTTCCCATCAGAACTGCGTGCAGAATATGATCTCAATGATTTATTGTCCAGTTTCAAACCTAAGGATTCAAACAGTCTCAACAAATTGATTATTTCATTCACGCACATCTCGTTCAATTCAATAATGCGTGAAATAAACTGCTATGAATTTTGCTAAATATTGTGCTAACAATCTTAGCTTTCTCCACGGTTAAAATCCACGTAAGAGAAAATGTTTTCTATATTTGAATGTGCCAAAATGAGGTATTTTTTTTACACAATATAAATAAATAATTTTTCCATTAATTCTCCTATAAAAACTACAAAATGTAAAAATGCTTTTCTGCATGATTTTCTGCCCGTCTCAACAATATTGTCGTCAATTTGCATATTTCTCTCTCGCTCTCTCTCTCTCTCCAATAGAAGCCTTAAAGTTCTACACTTCCGCTCTCACCTGGAGCATCACCATGACCAGGAGATGTCAGCTGATCGTCGCTGTCTTTTATTGCCTCGTTCTAGCTCTTCGTGTTGAACATTTCGGGAATCCCTAGGGAACCATCCAAAGCACTCTGATGATTACGTCGATGTGGATTGTGGATCTGCAGTGGCGGCAGTTCCACAATCTTAATCTCCTTCCTGAACAATTGCCCAGCATTCTTGCCAATGACCTGCAAAGACACAGAGTGGCGAAATCCATTTGGAGAAATTGACAGAATGAAAAAACTCACTTGACTGGTAATTTTCTTGAACAAATCACGCTTTCCCTTCTCAATCTTATTCCCCTTCGTGCTGCCCGTGGCAATCTTCTCGTCCAGCTTCTGCACATCGGCAATCGTAATGTTGGGTATCTTCTGCATCACCTCAATCACAACGGGGAACTTTGGGCGCAGCAGTTCATAGATCTGGACACCAAGAGTGATGCAGGAGTTCTGCGAAGCGCAAGCATTTCGTCAATCAAACAACAACCCCCACAATCAGAGATCATCAAACACTCTAACCTGATTCGTCTCGTGCTGCCCGTGCACTTGGAGTCCCTGCAGCACTGACATCATCGTCGTGGACGCCAGAGAGTCCGTGATGAGACCCTCGGCGGCCAGATATCTGATGATTGGCCCAGTGAGGAGAGTCGCCTTGAAGCTGGACATGCTGTCGTTCCACGTGAGAATGCTGCAAGACGAAGGAAACCGATCAGAATACACAGCAACCCTTGTGCAATCACACTCCACCCACTTGAGCACCGTGAGGACTATTGCGCTGCACGTGGCGGGGAAGTGCAGCAGCTTCCCGCCCAAGTCACTGATGATCTCCGACGCCATCGCCGACTGCGCGGCGCGCGACAGCTGCTGCGGCGGCCCATCCATCGACAGATCATCCTGATCCATCGTCTCGTCCGTCATGGCGTTGCTGTGATCCGTGGTCAGTTGTCCGCCGACCAGCGCCACCTTGAGCAGCTCCAGATACTCCCTGGCCATCGCCCGGTACACCATGTCCTCGATCACCTCCTGCGTGTCACTCACGTCCTCGCCCAGCTCACCGCTCTCGTACAGCGACGAGATGTACTGCCATCGCGCCGTGAGTCGATGCAACACTGCAAAGAGTGACAAAGAAAATCCATTAAACCAAGAGTAAAAAATCATAGCCTGGCGCACTTCGTCTTTGGCAGAAATCTACACAATGTGAAAAAAGTCTACAAATTTTAAGCAGTTTTCCCCACCAATAAAAGAGTATTTTGAGAAATTTGTGCTCACTAAAGGGCGCCAGATAGGCGAAGACGGGCAGGAGGACGGCGTCGTAGAACGCCGGCGGACAAGAGAACACAAATGGCTTCATGAAGACCCTGTTGATGGTCCTCAATCGATAGTCTGGCACATTCTCCACATTGGCGAACACACTCCCAATGATGGCGTCCGCAATTCCCGGGATCTGATACAGATCCCGACCCAGCGACGGACCCGTAGAGCCAATGAGGTGCATGTTGGTCTCGAAGACAAAGTGCAGGAATTGCTGCATTCGCTCCACTTCAGTCGCCTTGGCCTTCTCCGCCTCGGGATCCATTGGATCCGTGTTGGTCAGCGGCATGCCGATGAGGGCACGCTTCTCCGTGTCCAGAATGTCGTGCACACTCTTGTACGCCTCCACCATGAGATGCACACTGGAGAAGAGCTCATTCACCACGCGCACCAGCGACAGAATGTGCGGCAGGAGCGGAATGACGTGCGAAGTGGCCGGATTGCGACAGATGGGATTGCCAGACTCCGTCAGGCCCACCACGAAGCCCCCACGCGACGCCCTGTCGGGATCATCGGGCCAGGAGCAGCGCTTGATCACGCCCACGACGATATTGATGGCATACGTGAGTTGCGTGCGATTCAACACTGTGGGATGTGGCGGCGTCTCGCCTTGCGGCCTGGGATTCACATCTAAGCCAACGAAGCGGATAAAGTCCTGAACAGACTTCAGCGCCGGCACCATTGACACCCATTGCTGTCGTCCTTCGGCCACAATTTCCGCCACGAAGTTCATCTGGCGCTCGTAGTCGCAGAAGTGATTGGAGATCTGCAGCAGAGCCTCTTGCATGGTCGTCTTCTCGCCGCGGCTCAGCTGATTCGGCGGCCCCAGCAGGCCCTGCACCGTGCCGTTGATCTGATCGAACACGGGCAGCAGCAGCAGCGGATACTTGATGCCCAGCTTCACCATGAGCGCCGCTGAGTGGCGCCGCAGATTTTTCACCGCCTTCGCTGACGTCACACTGGGCTCAGGACACTGATCCGTGAACACCAGACACGCGAAGATCTTCTGCAGCACGCGCGGCAGCAGCGACACACCCGACATGGCCACACAATTGCCCGCCGTGATTTGGCATGAAGACATGCTGAGGAACATGAACAGCGCCGATATGCAGGACAGGATGATGGAGAGCACCAGCGGATCAGTTGTGTTCACCTTCAGGCACTCCTCCAGCAGTCGCAGACCCGACTGCACGGACGGGCGCTCCGTCACGAGCAGAATTCGCCCCACGACGGCGTCCAGGACGTAGCTCAGCGCCTCCCACTCCATGTAGGCAGGATCGAGGACCGTCATGTTCGTCACCTCGCCCGCCTGCGCCTTCTGCAGCCGCACGGACATCCACTGCTCGCAGAAGGCGAACGTCACCAGCGGAGCCGTCATCGTCGCCTGCCTGAAGATGTCTATGAAGTCCGTCCGGCAGCGATGGAAGAACAGCGCAAACTCCTCCTCACTATCGTGGTCCACACTGGCGAAGACTCGCGGATCCAGCGTGATGTCCACAGGACGAGTGGCCGGATAGATGACGCGAATGATCTGCAAGCGAGTGAACAACATTATCAAGCTTCGCATTTATCGTCACTTCACTCACCTTCGGGCCTGCGATCTCGATGATTTTGGGCACGTACTCCACGAAGGCGGCATCCTTGGCAATGTGCTCGTAGCGCAGCAGCGTGATCCAGATGAGGGCGCCGCCGTGCGCCACCGAGAGACTGGGATGCCGCGTGACCATCATCACTGTCTCGAGGAATGTGATGAAGCTGGGCGAGTGGCAGGGAATGCCCTCCTCCTTCGTCTTGGCGCCCGTCAGGTGTGACGCCAGGCCCACGAGCACGGGAATCACCTTCTTGAGGAAGGCGTACGCCTCGAGTGCCACGGACGTCTCGGCAGCGGCCACGGAGCGATAAATGTAGGTGATGAGATCAGTACGGAAGAGCAGCGCCAGCGAGATCTTCTCCTTCGCCACCGTCTTGCGGCCCAGAATCTGCGCCAAACACTCCGCCGCGCCCACCTGGAAGGCGACATCGTTGAGGAGAATGCAGAGGATCTGCAGCAGGCGTCCCTCATTCGCCACAATGTGCACCGTGGACACCCACTCGACGAAGCTGGTGATTGTGGGCAGAACCACCTGGACGACGCGCGCGTGGCTCAGCGCCTGTTGCGCGTTGCCCGTGAGCTGTGCATTGCGGAAGTTGTTCACGTGCAGCTCGATGAGGCGCATGAAGAAGTCGAAGATCTCAGTCATGTTGGCCGTGAGGGCGGAGTAGATGTCCTTCCGCCTCTGGCTAGATTCCATTGTCTGCAGTAGCGCCACGTCCTCCACCAGGCGCAGGAAGATGAGGAGGACCAGCTCCGTCTGTGCCTCGCCCTTCGAGCACGCATCCGACAGCTCCGCCAGCAGCGTCGTCCACTGCTGTGGCCACTCGCGCTTGATCATCTCCACGATGATCCGACTCAGGGCGTCCTTGATGTGCATCAGCGACGCATCCTCGGCCGCTCCAACGCCGCTGGCCAGCAGCTTCATGGCATTCTCCTTCACGAACAGCTTCTCCTGCTGCGAGATGGTGTACCACTTGAACTTCACCGTGTGCTCCATGAGCTGCAGCCCGAAGTGGCGCACCGTGAGCGGGAATTGGCTGTCGGTGAGGAAGAGTCCCGCCTGGGCGCACAGCGGCGAGGTCTCCTTGAAGCGCTCGCACGCCATGTACGCGTCCATGCGGTCCACCTGAGTGGCGTGGGTGTTCATCGTGATCTCCACGGCACGGGCCAGCTCACTGGCCAGTCTCGCCACGTCTCCAGCCGCTTCCATCCCGCTCCAGATGCCCCAGACACTGCCACCAAAGCCTCCGCCGTGCACAAACTGCACAGTAACCACCCTCAGACTCTGTCAGACGCGAGGATGACGCCCCCGAAGACTCTGGTGATGAAATAGAGCCGGAAGATGTCCAGAAAACAGTGACCATGCGCTATCGACAGAACGATCTTTCCAATTTTCTCGCACTGTTTCTCGCGTGCAAAGCACCTCTAGCCCGCGGATTTCTAGCCTCACGCCCGCGGGGGCACTGCAGGGACTCCTGAGGCACACAATTGACTGGGATTTCGCACAATAAATGCAATAATTCTTGCCCAAACCAAGAGCAACTCACGCCAATCACTTAACCACACAATTCTCGTTTTGACAGGCGGCTGACAACATAGAAAAACCCTGCTGAACTGCTCCCTAATTATTATTTGTGCTTTTAATGCAATTTTAACAAAAAGTTTAACGGAACAAAGTTCAATTATGCGCAAATTTTCTAATATTTCTCCCATTTCTCCATTTCAGCTGTCTGTGTGAATAATTACTGAAAACATAATAAAATTTTGAACTTTTTCGATGAATCAATTGTCTATGTTTTTTGTTTACATTAACCTAACCTCATCTTTTGTGTGTGTTGTTTTTCCCGGCGCATTTTTCCAAGAGGCGTTCCTGTGAGATTTCCCTAGACAATTTCACCATGGAGCACTCTGTCCCATCGCACTTTATCAATTTCAATGATCAGATCTCCTGCTTCGACCTCTCCAGCCACGACTGGTCGCAGAATCTCTGCTGTGTGGCGCTGTCCAATCGCATCATCGTGGGAATCATCCGGCTGCCTGAAGAGTCTCACTCTGACCACTTCGAGTGGCAGGTGCTAAAGGAGATCCACCACGAGTCGCGCTGCTCCAGTCTGGCCATTGCCCCTGAGACGTCCCTCTCCATCAGCCCGAAGAACGTCGTGATTGCCTCGGCGGGAGCGGATTTCAACGTCCGCGTGCTGCAGACCGACCTGGAGGACAATCACTGCATCCGCGTGCTGAAGGGTCACAGCAGTTACATCAACAGCATCGCATGGGAGCCAGAGGGAGAGTTCCTGGCCTCGACAGGCGATGACTACTCGTGCATCTTGTGGGACTGCCGCAAAGTCTTTGAGATCTCCACGAGATTCTTCCTCACCGCCGCCGGGATGAGCGTCAAGTGGCACCCCGAGGCCAAGGACAAGCTCATGGTGGCCGCCAAGAATGGCATCATCAGCATGTACAGCGTGAAGTCCGACCAGGTCGTGCTGACCATCGAGGCGCCCAAATCTCCGCTGATGAGCGCCGACTGGTCCAGCCGCAATCGTCACTGCATCGTGGCGCTGGCGGGCGGGGAACTGTTCGTGTGGGACCTGCGGAAGCCCAGCCGGCCTGTCAACACCAAGCCACTGCACGAGGACGGCGGCTTGGCCGTGAAGATCTGCCCGGCGAACGAGAGCCTCACCGCCAGCATCGGTCGCCCGGATCTCACGCTCAAGGTGATTCACGCCAAGGCGCAGCTGCCGCAGATCACGGCGCCGCTCAAGCTCTTCGGCGGCCTCTCGTGGCTCAGCCGCCACGTGGCCGCGGCCTACGACCGGAAGCTCTGCCTGTGGAACGTCCTGACCAAGTGAAAGTCGCCACTTTTCGTCAATTCACTCTTTTATTCTCAATGTCCTCTTCTCGGTATAACAACTTCTTTCTCTCATTCTCTCTCAGTAAAGAAAGATAATTCTTCGGAGTACGCAAAAATAGTTGTACAGATAAATTTTATTTGTGAGAAGGAAAATAAAGGAAAATATGGTGCATTTGTACGTTTCATTTCTTTTTTTTTTCTCTTTCTCTTTTCACTCCCGCGGAAAGAAAAGAAGGAATTGTCATTGATGATTTTCCATCGCGACCCTCTCGCGTTCCCTAAATTCATGTCTTTTCTCTTTGTGCTTTTTAGATAATGATTAATAAGAGATTGGTCAAAAAGTCACTTACCTATCCTGCTATCTCGCCTCGCGGCTTTCGTTCAGGTGACTGTAGTGACACTCTGAGTCCTCACACTTGCCCATGAGATCAAATGGACACACCACGGCGTCCGGATTGGCATTCCTGCAAGGGGAGATCGTCATAAGTCCAGGCATTGAGGGAGAGAATACAGACGCACTCACGGTTGAGAATTCATGTGGTCCAGCGGTGATTTGTAGGGATTGTGAGATGCCTGACCACTCGTCGATGTGGCGCCGCACGCCTCCCACTCCCCCTGCACAGCCTCCGCAGATTCCTCCTGCTCCTCCTCGGCGCTCTTCTTCGCGCCATCTACCACCTGAATCTCCTTGAGACGCTTCGTCTCCACAGTCAACACTTTGAACTTCTCCATCAACTTCCTCTTCGTGTCGCTGGGCAGGTGATACGTCTTCCCCACGACCAGCTCGCCCAGCTTCAGGCACATCTTGTTCAGCGACACACACTTGTTGCGCTGCTTCTGTATCACCTTGTGCTGCAGCGTCATCTTTGGCGTCAGCTTCTGCACCACACTCCTCTGCTTCCCCAGAGCGTCCTCCAGCGCGCTCATCTGCTTCCTCAGTCTCATCAGCTCATCCTGCAGCCGGTACTGCTCGATCTTCTCACTCTGTACGCGCCTCACCATCACCAGCAGATTGTCCAGTCCCTCGAGGAATGTTGAGCTGCGGGAGGAGGCAGAAAAATGGGCTCTTCTCCCATCGCAAGGATCTGTTTTTGATTACAATACCTGGTGTTGGCGAAGTGATTCTCATACGCCTCGAGAGCCTTCTTCTGCTTCTCCGCCGGAAACTTGGTGATCCTCTGCAGGAACTTCTCCAGCAATTCCTCCTCCTTTGCCGGCATCGCCGCCGCCTTCTTCACCTGCTTCACCGGCAATTTCACGCCATTCTTCGCGCCACTCTTCACACCAGCCGCCGTGGCGCTCTTCACCAGCACCTTCTTCCGCAGCGTCTCATCCTTCCGCACCACCACAGCCAAATCCGCCACCTCAGCCTTGGCAGACGCCTCCAAGTCATTCTGCACGACCACTTTTATCGTGTTGCACGTCTTCAGGACGGTCTTGTCGGAATCCATGGCCAGTCTCTTGGCAGTCGGAAGACTCTTCTGCTCAAGCTGACGCTTCTTCTGCCTCTCCAGATGATTCATCCTCGCCACCAACCGCCGGTACTCCAGCTGCGACGACACTGGCAGATGCGACAGCGCCTAGACGAGAAGTATAGTGAAAGTTAGAGCCCAGATAAGCTCAGCAATGCTGATTAGACACACATAAACAGTCAAACATAGTGGTAAAGAGCGCTGAATCCTGTGGCATCTACTTACTAAAGGCGTCTTTGGCAGGCTAGCAATCTTTGGCACCACCGTCTGCTGCTCCACATTCGTTCTGGCACGCTTTAGGAACAGATCCAGCTTCTCCTGGAAGGCATTCGGAGTAGGCTCCTCAGTGGCCGCCACATGAGGACTGGCTGGCGAATTACAGGGACTCTCCATGGCCAAACTCGACGGACTCTTGTTGTCCACATTCAAAAGCCCATTCTCCAGCTCACTCCCCTGGCCATCCTCGAGATCAGAGTCACTCTCGCGCAGATTGATGATGAGTGGCGAGACTTTGACGGTCGGCATTTCTGTGAGTATCTGCGACTTTCGCTCCAATGGCACAATCACTTCCTGCTGAGCCACTTTGGGCTTCTTCATGGACGACAGGAGAAGGCTTCTCAAGCAATCCTCCTCCAGACTCACCTCAGGCGACTCCGGAGTCGCTTCCTCCCTCTTTGTCACACTTATCTTCGACAAGAGCAGCGTCCGCAGCGTCATCTCGTCCTCAGACTCTTCCGGCGGCGCTTCCAGCGTCGGAGCGTCGCTGGAGATCTCCATGTCGACGGCCACGCACTCCTCCGCAAGCACACCCGGCGAGTCCAGCGGGCTGATGTCCATGTTGCTCTCGTCAGCCTTCGCCTCGGCCGGTGAGGCGATCTCAACCGTGTCCAGGTCGTCTGTTGGCGAATACGGACAATCCTGCTGTATCTTGCGCCTCTTCCTCGCCTCATGCTTGTTCACCACGGCGGACTTCAGCGCAATCAGCCTCAGTTCCTGCTCCTCCGTCTCCTCTTCCGGTCGCACAGCCGTCGGCAGCTCGTCCTTCAGCTCCTGCTTCGACTGCAGCGCCTCCAGGCGCAGCTTCAGCACGTCCTCCTCCTCGTCGTCATCGTCAATGGTGATCACTGGCACGTCCACAGGTACGACAATCACATCATCCTCCGTACTTTCTATCGACCGATTCAGAGCCATGCGCAACTGGTCGCGGTTCAGGAACTCCTCATCGCTGCTGGAATCGGATTTGGGCCGTTTCCTGCGCCTCTTCTGTCGCTGCGCCTTCTCCGCGTGCCTCCGCCTCGGCAGCGGATGACTGTGCATCACCTTGACGGCGCGGCGCACCTTGCGCGGCGTGCGCTCCTCCGCGGATCTGCTCCGGAACTTGACATTCTCCTTGCCCACGCGCTCCTTTCCTGCACCTTTTCCCCGTCGAGAGGGTGGGGGGCGAAACAAACTCAGGCACATTTATTGCAAATGATCACGAGAAGCGGCAGAGCGCCCCAGACTGGCCGCGACGCTCCGCCGGAGGCGCACACAAACTCAACAAGTGCGCTCGCAAAAAATCCTCGAGGAAAACATCGAAAAACAGTATGAAAGTGCAATTCTATGTTGTGTTTGTGTGCGTGTGTGAAAATCGACACATCTCGCTGGATGACTTTTCCACGCGAAAAGCCAATGAAAATGCATACTCACCCAATTCATACGGATTCGTGGCGAGTCCAGATATGTTGGCAATCTGCTCCAGCTCGTAGTTGCGCGCCTCCAGCTCCTCGATCCTCAGGCGCAGCGAGAACTCCTCATCCGACGAGATGTCCTCGTACTCCAGCGACTCTACAATCTCACCCTCCTCGCGCTCACCTCCAGCCTCAACTACGGTATCCATTCTCCCGCTCAGCACTGCATTTGGAGCGAGGAATTCACTGATTCTGCACTAAATACACGCCTAAAGGATTTTCACACTTTGCCACTCACTTCACTGTCACAATCTGCCCAGTGGCGCTCGCTTCGCTAAGGCCAAGAGGGGAAAGTGGACCAGTCGTAGGACAGTTCACTGGAAATTCATCGCATAGAAGACTCCGAAGGGGAAAATCGATGAGTTCCCCTAACCACAATTTTTTGGCATATTTTGCGTGCGTGAAGCTGTTATATTTCGCGGAAAAGTGCTTTTACGCCGAGAAAATGGTCAATAAGGACTCCTCTGAGAAGGATTCCAGTGAGAAGAAGCGTCGAAGGACCACCACATCGTCTTCATCAAGTGAACTCACGCCCACGAAGGTCTTGAAGGAGGAAAATGTTTACATGGTGAGACGCTTGAAAGCTAGTGACCATTGTTTATTCGGGAAAAATCAAATTTTTCCTCGCTTTTCTGCAGAATTCCATAAAATTCGAGGAGCAGGAGGCTGCCAAGAGAGCCCCGGAAAAGGACTCGAAGCTCTTCTTCCAGACTTGTGGTGATTTGAAGAAGATCTTCGCGGATGTTTATGCACTGAAGAAAGATCCGGAGCGGAACCGGCAGGAGATTGCCGAGAAGCGCGTGGACGGATCGATGATGGTGGTGCTGCTGAAGAAGCTGAACAGGCTGGACAAGCTGCGCATTAGATCGGGCAGAGATGCTCTGCATCGTGAGAAGTTGAATGTGGACAGCAATCGGCTGCAGCTGCAGAATCTCCTGTATGAGGCGGATCACCTGAAGCGCGAGGTGCAGCGCTGCTATCAGTTCAAGAGCCAGGACGAGGACATTGATTTGGTGCCGGTGGAGGAGTTTTACGAGAAGGCGCCGGAGAGCATCTCGCGGCCGGACAAGACAAAGGGCGACGAGCATGCACGACGCTTGGCGCGTCTGGAGTGGGAATTGCAGCAGCGCAAGGAATTGGCGACGCTGTACAAGGAGCTGCAGGCGTCCAAGGAGCTCGTGACTGAGGAGATCAACAAGAAAACTGATCGTCTGGCTTCGCTGGCGCCTCGCTTGCAGAGTCTCCTGAAGTCCACGCGTCCACTGCAAGATGCTCTGGACATGGAAGTGGAGAAAGAGTGGGAAGTGCAGAGATTGGCGCGTCTCCTGCCGCGTCCGCTGTATCTGTTCTACTCCAATGCCCAAGGATACGCTGATGCGTGCGACAAGTACTTGACAGTGTCCATTGAGGGAGACGACGAGGAGGCGAAGCAGATTGAGGAATCCGTCAAGGAGGCACAGGAAGAGTCAGAAGACAATGCAGGAGACTCGGACAATGAGGACAATGACGGTGATGGGAAGAGTCACCATCGCGGGCGTCTGTCGAAGAGTGTGCTGCTGGAGAAGAAGCGCTCGAATCTCTTCAAGCCTCATCCGCTGAGCGTGACCATCAGTCTGGCGGCAAAGAGCAAGGACAGCGGCGTTCTGGCCGTAATTTTCAACTTTCTGCCAGAGCTGGGATTCGTGGCGGTGCGCTGCAAGATCCGGGAGATGCAGAGTGTCGGAGTGAGTGCTGGCGATGTGATCAATCCCAGCTTCCTCCTGAATTGTCTGTACAACGAGGACTTTGGCAGCGAGAGTCCATCGCCGCGGAGTAAATTCCAGCTGGAGGCTGTGGGTCTGGAGGCCAATCGTCTGATTCCGATGCTGACGGAGAAGCGCCTCGGGAAGCCCTACAAGTGGGCTCAGCGCGTCTGCGGCCTGGAGATGTTGCCCAAGGGAGGCGCCGTGGCGTCAGATGATCTCTGTCAGACCTCCATGTCGAGTGTCATCAAGCAAATCCGCGCCCGATGGTCGTCCAGGGTGAATCTCTGTCGGCAGATTGTGGCGCTAGAAGGGAAGAAGATCGATTTGCCGAAGAATCACCCCGACGAGAAGATCCCCATGAGGATTTCTTGTCATCTCACCAGCTGGATCGCCTCCACGTGGCAGGAATTCACCGCTCATCCGTCCAGTGAGAAGTTTGTCGAGGAGAATTTCGTCACGGAGAATGACTTGTTCTATCAGGCAACGCTGGTCCGGGATTCTGCCAAGATGACGTGCTTCGTCGCCGTGGGATGTGACTTTCCTGACCAGTTGCCAATCTGGCTGCTGCGCCTCAACTGGAACAGGCAGCACGACGCCACGAACAATCCAGCGGTGCGCGATATAGAGTTCTACGTGAACTCCCTGGACGAGGGAGTGCAGCCGAGGAGGGCGTGCGTCCTGGTCAGCCAGCTGCGTCGGCTCATGACGTCGCTGGACATCCTCCTGGAGACTGAGTCTCTGCTGCACGCCAAGATGGATTTCCCGGCCGAGAAGACTTTCCTGAAGGCATTCCGCGGCAGGCAGAGATCACGTCCGTTCAGGATGGTGGAGAATGGCGGTGGCGTTGTCTACACTCAGATTTAACCATCAAATCCTGTAGTTTGTGAATTTTTTTTTGTGGGAAATACAAGAACGCAAGCGCAGCATTTTGGACGTTGACGTCGCCTCGAAGAGACCTTGGAGGGGTTGTTTGAAGATCCCACCTCGCGGTTTTCTGGTGTCCACGGACACCCTGAGTTGTCCAGGAGTGTGAAAATTCAGCCAGGTAAGTCTATCCCGAAGACACTGCCCGAAAGAGATCGAGAGTCGTGGAAAAATTACCCTCGGGGAGTTTTTTCATGCAACATATGGTTGTCTGGTGACTGTTTCAGAGGATGCCCACCGCCAGGAGGATGATCCTTGGCCACGTGATGAGTGGCGTCTGCCACAAGATGAATCGCACGAAGCGCCTGCCCGAGGATCTGATGGAGACGCCCCTGAACCGCTGTCTCAGCACCCTGGACATCTTCCTGCTGGGCGTGGGTCACATGATTGGGGCGGGGATTTACGTGCTCACGGGCACAGTGGCCAAGGAAGTTGCCGGTCCGGGCATCATAATCTCCTTCATCCTGGCGGGATGCGTCTCCATGTTGGCCGCTCTGTGCTACGCTGAGTTCGGAACGAGAGTGCCCAAGGCGGGAAGCGCCTACATCTATTGCTACGTGTCCGTCGGTGAGTTCTGGGCTTTTGTGATCGGCTGGAACATCTTGCTGGAGCATATGCTGGGCGCCGCCTCGGTGGCCAGAGCCTGGAGTGGCTATGTGGACTCAATGCTGGGCGGAATTGTCGCCAACACGACTATATCCATCACTGGAGAGATGCACGAGCAACTCCTGGCCAAATACCCGGACATCCTGGCCTTCCTCGTCTGCATCAGCTACGCAGTGGCTTTGGCATCTGGCGCCAAGGCCACGGCGGTTATTAACGGTCTTCTCACCATGGTTAATCTCGCCGTGATGATCGGCGTGATTACTCTGGGCTTCTGGCATGCGGATCCCAAGAACTGGTCGGCTGAGGAGGGAGGATTCCTTCCATATGGCGTGACTGGAGTGTTAGCAGGCGCCGCCACGTGCTTCTACGCATTCGTGGGCTTCGACAGCATTGCCACGTCTGGTGAGGAAGCTCGCAATCCTTCAACCTCAATCCCCATAGCCACAATCCTTTCTCTGACCGCTGTCACCTTCGTCTATGTGCTCGTGAGCGCCGCCCTCACTCTCATGGTACCCATCCGCAACATCCACCCTTCAGCGGCCATTCCCGAAGCCTTCGGGGCGCTGGACTTACCCTGGGCGAAGTATGCCATCTCCATGGGGGCGCTCTGTGGCATGACAACCACTCTGCTGGGATCTCTCTTCGCTCTTCCGCGCTGCATGTATGCCATGGCTTCGGATGGCCTGCTCTTCTCCTGCTTTGGCACTGTGAACGCCAAGACCCAGGTTCCCCTGCTCAATCTGGCCGTGGCGGGCTTTCTCAGCGCCCTGTTGGCACTCCTGTTCGACCTGGAGAAGCTGGTGGAGTTCATGTCCATCGGAACACTGCTCGCCTACACCATTGTCAGCGCCAGTGTGATCATCCTGCGCTACCGAGCGCCTCTGGTCGATTCTGGACCTGTCTTTGCTCCCGACACTCCTGAAGATGACAACTCCTCACATTCCAGCATCGATACTGCCTCTCCCACGAGCGATGTTATAGAAATGGCGCTAACAGGTGACACTCAAACTAATGGTTAAGCGGCCATGATGGACGCTAAAACTTTTGATCGTTTCAGGTCGCTTGAGGCCTCAATTCCGATGGCTGGATCCTGTTCTGGGACGATGCGAGCCAGGCGCCGCCGCCTCGACTGCTGTGCTTCTCTTCACGGTGTTCAGCGTGGCCATTTGCCTGCAATTGAAGGTGTCCTGGACGGAACTGCTGCACGGAACATGGTGGGCTCTTGGCCTGTACGGCTTCCTCATCTTCTGCCTCGTGGCATGCGTGGTGGTGATGGCTGCTCATCACCAGAACATCCGCAATCTGGACTTCAAAGTTCCTCTGGTGCCATACATTCCCGCTCTCAGTATCTTCTGCAACATTGAGTTAATGGTGCACTTGAGTCTCCTGACCTGGATTCGCTTCTTCATCTGGATCTCCGTGGGCATGCTGGTGTATTTCCTCTATGGCATTCACCACAGCAAGGAGGCCGAGGACTGCAGCACATCCTATTCAATGCTGATGACCTCTGCTGAGGCCAGCAAGGGTCACTGGGGCGCTCTTCAGACCAAGTCTTCGGCCAAAGACACACCGGCAAAGGAAGATAAGAAGCCAATTATCGAAGAGGAAGAGATTCCAGAGTAAAAATCCTCAATCGCTCAGGACGTGTAGAGAATCCATTTTCCAAGATAGTTTTCGCACAAATTTTCCTTTCTTTTCGACCCCATTCGACCTCCAAAAACATATCCGAATCCAAAGCATTTTCCTCCATTCTCTACCGTCAAGAGGCGATTTTGAGTAGAATAGCGGAAATCTTCATTCCCTGGCCAGGAGACGCATCAAGGTGACACTCTGAGGGGACTCTGCGGATCAGCAGGTCGGGAATTTCCACCAGCCACGTCCAGGAAGGCAGAGGATGTGTTTGCCTTCCTGGATGACCACGAAATTCCCTTCCTGCCCATGAAACTTATAATACAAACGACACAAATAATCAGTATGTTATAAACATTATAAAATTATATAACAATGTTGAGATTATAATCCCAGAAAAATATATTATATTGTGCAAATCAAAAGAGTTCATTGCATCAACATTATCATCGTCTTTTCCCTCACAGTTTTCCCCTTTTTCCAAGTGGAATTGGCGCTGAAGGAGCACTTCTTGGTGATTTCTTGTCTTTTGACGTTCGTTGATTCATGCCTTTTTCTTCATCAAAAGCCTTTTTAAACGCTATAATTCGAATCTTTATGCTCGGAGAGATAGAGTGTTATATATTTCATTATATTCAATCATCCTGAACTCCTTTTACTTGGTTTGGAGACGATTTAGGTGTTCGGTTCTTTGCAACAACAAGAATTGCGTTGGAGTCTAATTTTGTGTGACGCCATTTCAGTGTCGAGAGAAGAAAAACATGCTATTGTGATAGATTGAATAATGTCGGGACAAATACATATTATACAAATATAAGAAGTCATTAATAGATATTTTTTCATGTCAATAAATAAAATATTGCCAAATTCTTCGCGTCGGAAGGTGAGAGTCAAAAAGAAAATACTCTTCCTCAAAAATATTGCGCAAAGATCATGTTGGGACAGATGTTCTGGTTTTCACCCTGAAACGCATCATCAGCGCGGAAACGTAAGCAACAGCACATCTTCCAGGGACTATAAATTCAGCTTCTGGGATCTTCCAAACCATCAGTCGTCAAGACATCCAGTAAGCACTTAGCTAAATCGATACAAGATGCGTTTCCTCATTGTGACTTTCGCCGTTGCCCTGGTGCTCGCACCAGCGATGGGTAAGCGCTCTGACCTCTGGACAGGATCTCTCTCTCTCTCTCTCTCTGCTTGTGTAAGATTTAATACTTTTCCTTTTCTTCGACTCTTCCAGGAAACCCCCTCGATTTTGGAGGTATTTTTACTGGAATCACTGACGCCGTGAAGGGAGTTACTGACGCGGTTGTTGGCGCTGTTAATAATGTCATCACGCAGGGACAGCAAATTATTACTGATGTTACCGCAGCGCTCGGAGAAGCTGCTGGAAATGTTGCCAAGGCTGTCGTGGACACTGTTGGTGGACTGACCGCGGCTGCTGGAGAAACCATCTCGGCGACCGTTGATCAGGCCGGAAACATTGTTGTGCAAATTACCAACAGCGCCGGAGAGGTCGCCCAAGTTGCGGTTAATGCCGTTACTGGCGTCGTCGAAACCGCTGGTCAAGTGGCCGGAGGTCTTGCCCAAACTGTCCAGAAGGTCGTCGAGGCTGTCCAGCAGGCTGCGGCCGGTGCTATCCAACAGGGAACCGAGGCTGCTCAGGATGCTGCCAACACCGCTACTGACGCTGCTAACACTGCTACCGACGCCGCCACTGACGCTGCCAACACCGCTACCGACGCCGCCACTGACGCTGCTAACACTGCTACCGACGCCGCCACTGACGCTGCTAACACTGCTACCCAAACCGCCCAGGATGCTGCTAACACTGCTACCGACGCTGCCGCCCAGGTTCAGCCTTAAATTTCCGGAAATTATCATGCTGGACAACGAAAGCATACTTAAAATATAATATTGAAGCAAGCATAATCATTGATTGTTTTTTTTGAAGAACATGGCAACTTTCCCGTTGCGGTTGAATTTGTCTTTTATTCCAGTGCTTCTGTTCACTATATCTGCTTTCAAGGATGTTAGAATGAGCATGATACACTCGACTTTGATACTGTGGTGTTCTGAAGAAGCTATTTATTGTCTCCTTGCTGCAAGTATGTTATACCAATAAAATACATTTCATTCTGCACTTCTGCGCCAGTTACTGTGTTACTTGACCAACAGACAGCTTGTCGTTTATCTCACTCTTTCTGACTTCCACGCCCTCTGTGGGACACCACAGAAAAAAATCTTTGCAAAATAAAATACATAAAATTTATAACACGTCGTTTTATTGATTTTATTGTTAATTCAAAATATTTTAAATATTTTATTGGTTTGAATTGGCTTTATTAGATACATCGACTTAGAGCAGATGATGTTGTTTTTCTGCGTGAGCTGGATTTGATCCATAGTGAAAGTTTTTCCTTCATGGCCACCTTCACTAATGATGCTCATGATTAAATCATGAGTGCTGAAGGTTACAGAGAAGGAGTTAAAATGAGGCTGTCTTAACATCACGAATCAGTAAAAAAGAATAAAAATTTCTTGAGAGAACCAGCGGGAATTTAGTGCCTTTTTACATTTTTTTTTCTTTTAAACTTAGAAACTGGCACCAACTGTCTCAAAAATATGTATGTTGGAAAAACGGTGCAAAGGGTAATACTTCCAGTCGTTTGATGTCTCCCCTCCTGAGACGCCGTCTCCCTCGTCTCACTCAAATTGATGCAAAAGTTGTTCTAATGTGGCCTTCGGGAATGAATAAGGTAAATTGATTAAATATTTAGTGGCGGAGAGCAAAATTGTCTCAGAAATAAACTGTACGCAACGTACGTAATTAAGTATTTTCTTTTGGCAAATAACAAAGAGAGGAGAAAAATACATTTTTCTTTTGCATATAACGCATATAATAATTAATCAGTTGAATCAATATGTATGTATATTCCACATCACATGATCTAGACTTTTTTGAGAAAGGCAAAGAAAGTGAATTATTGAGATATTGACAATATTTCAAGTTCATGTGAAAAACAAAACGTGCTTTCGAGATATTTTTCCACCTTTGCCAAATTGTTTAAATATTTCCAAGACATTATGTGCGTCAGTTGCAATGTTAAAATTTGGAAATATCTTCCGTTTGACATTGAGAAATTGATATAAAAAGGCGAGGATGTGCGATGAAGATATCAGTAGCAAGAAATTGGTACAAAGATGCGCTTCCTGATTTGCCTTTCTCTTCTGGCGCTCGTGGCGCCCGCCGTTCTCGGTATGTAAATCTTTTGGTGTTGGAAAGTCTTTGTTCAATTTTACATCAAGGATTTTCCAGGGGAAAATTGATAAAGATTTTAGCTAATCTTCTACATATTTTCAGGCGTGCCTCTTCCTCAAACCCAGACGGATACTGCTACCACCATTCCAGAGGCCCCAGTTCAAGAGACCCCCGCCCCAGAGACCCAAGTTCCGGAGCCCCAGCCGGAACCCCAGCCGCAGCCACAGCCGGAACCGGAGCCCCAGCCGCAGCCACAACCGGAACCGGAACCCCAGCCGCAGCCACAACCGGAGCCGCAGCCGCAGCCACAACCGGAACCGGAACCCCAGCCGCAGCCACAACCGGAACCGGAGCCCCAGCCGCAGCCACAACCGGAACCGGAGCCCCAGCCGCAGCCACAACCGGAACCGGAGCCACAGCCGGAACCGGAGCCGCAACCGCAGCCACAACCGGAACCGGAGCCCCAGCCGCAGCCACAACCGGAACCGGAGCCCCAGCCGCAGCCACAACCGGAACCAGAGCCCCAGGAGCAGCCTCAGCCTGAACCGGAGACACAGCCGCAGCCACAACCGGAGCCACAGCCGCAGCCACAACCGGAACCGGAGCCCCAGCCGGAACCCCAGCCACAGCCGCAACCACAACCGGAACCACAGCCGCAACCACAGCCGCAACCGCAGCCACAGCCGCAACCGCAGCCACAGCCGCAACCGCAGCCACAACCGCAGCCCACTCAGCCACCCAAGCCAACTACACCCATTATTCCGATTATTAATACTGCCGGACAAGTTGTTGCTGGTGTGGTTCAGACCACTGGTACTGTGGCTACCAGCGCTATCAAAACTGCCGGAAATATTTTCTCAGGATTTCTGAGTATTTTTGGATAGAGTGAATATTTATCATAAGTTTCAGCATGCAACAATGAATTAATATTCTACTTAAATTCAGACCAATGGAAAAAAAACTAATAAACCTATCAATGAGCAATTAGTCAAATACTTTTATTGATCATCATTGAATGGTCGTTGATGTTTGGTAATGCCTGCAATATGATCCCTATCGACAGCATTGAGATTGATTGGGGGTGAGATAATCAATTCGGCGTGTTTCTTTATCTCGTCGATGCTTCTTGTTCAATGTTAATTAATCTCGGGCAAATACTGTCATCATTAATAGCTCATATCTCCCCACCGCGATCTACCTGCTCAGTCTGAGTTCAGTGCCGAGACGATCGTTGGGCGAATGAGATGTTGTGCGGCGTGTCTTTTTTTTTTAATTAAAAACGTGCACTAGAAAAAGGAGAAGAAACTTTAAATGAGTACATAAATTCCTTTATGACCCTCGCGACCCTGAATTCAGTGTCTGTGTTATCAGTGCGATTTGGATTTGTTTGCAGAGCGTCTTCAACTTCTCTATTGAACCATGAAATGTGATAGTGCATTCGAGACACTGCGCAGAAAGAAGCCCCTCGGCGAAACTGTGAATGCCACCACGAAGCTCGCCAAGGTCCTTACCACCCTTGATCTCACCGCTTTGGGGATAGGTAGCACGCTGGGCGTGGGTGTGTACGTCTTGGCAGGTGAAGTGAGTAAAACTACGGCGGGCCCGGCAGTGATCCTTAGCTTTGCCATTGCGGCGATTGCGTCGGTGTTCGCAGGCCTATGCTATGCTGAGTTCGGGGCCAGAGTACCCAAGGCGGGTTCAGCCTACATCTATAGCTATGTGACCATCGGCGAGTTCATAGCCTTCGTTATCGGTTGGAATTTAGTGTTGGAGTACGCAATTGGTGAGCAATAGAAGTTCATTGAAGAAAAGCTGAGAAGACACACCTTTAGGAATCCTGTGTATTATCTTATCTTATTATCACAGTATTATTTTATTTGCCCATCTCTCGATTAACACATTAATTAGGGGGTAATTGATGGAATGCCGTTTCAGGCTCGGCGAGTGTGGTCAAAGGCTTGAGCACGTACTTGGACTCCTTGATAGATCATGCCATGAGTGATGCCTTCAAGTCCTTCGCCGCAATGCACGCCGACGCTCTTGGTGATTATGTGGATTTTTTTGCCTTCAGCGCGACCATGATCTTCTCACTGGCTCTGGCACTTGGTGTGCGGGAATCCATCTCCATAAACAACATCTTCACCCTCACAAATCTCGCCGTGGTGCTTTATGTCGTGGTCACGGGTGCCTTTCGTGCTGATCCCGCCAACTGGAGAATCCCCACAGAAGACGTGCCCACAGATCGTGACCAGGACTTCGGAGTAGGCGGATTTGCGCCTTACGGCTTCGCAGGCATCATTAAGGGCGCTGCAATTTGCTTCTATGGCTTCATAGGCTTCGATTGCATCGCCACAGCTAGTGAAGAGGCTCGGAATCCACGAAGATCGATTCCTCTGTCCATCATCATCTCACTGAGTGTAATCTTCGTGGCGTATTTCTGCATCTCCACTATCCTCACAATGATGCTGCCCTATTACGATCAGGACGTCAACGCGCCCTTGCCACATGTGTTCAGGTACTATGGCTGGACTGTGGCGCAATACATCGTGAGCGTCGGAGCGATCTTTGGGCTGTGCGCCAGTCTTATGGGCGCAATGTTTCCCCTGCCTCGCGTTATCTACGCCATGTCCAATGACGGGCTCATATTCGAGTTTATGGGACGCATTCACCAGCGCTTCAAAACACCCCTGATTGGCACCCTTGTGGCGGGATTCCTCACTGGCACCCTCGCGGCGATCTTCAAGTGAGTATTAAGCTAATTTTCGCTCTGTTATCATCAGTATATTTCCACTGATCGGGAATTAGATGTAAACAGAAGACAAAGTTGTTTGCTTAGAGAATAAATCAACACTGTGATTATTTCTCATTGCAGTCTGGATCAATTAGTCTCGATGATGTCTATTGGCACCCTTCTGGCGTACTCAATGGTGGCCGGATGTGTTCTTCTTCTGCGATACCAAACTGACGACTCATCTGCAGAAAGCGTCTTCTCTTCTGGTCAGATACTCAACCTGGCGAAGCTCGACACTCCCACGCGGACAACATCGACTCTTGTAACGTGTTCAGTGTCATTCTACGTCTTGTGGTGCCTGGGATTATCTTTGGTGATCACACAGCTCGAAGATAGCATCGATCAGTGGTACTCCATTCTGCTACTCTGTCTCTTCATCGTCCTCATCATCCTCACTCTCACCATCATCAGTCGCCAACCCCGATCGAACAGAGACATCGTCTTCACAGTGCCCTTAGTGCCTTGGCTTCCGGGCCTATCGATCTTGATCAACATTTACCTCATGACTCAGCTTGATGTCATGACGTGGATTCGGTTCGGTGTGTGGATACTCGCAGGGCTCGTCATTTACTTCGCCTACGGAATTTGGCACAGCGAACTACGCCTCAAGGCACTGGCAAACATCGCAGATGCCAACAGCAGAAGTAACTTGGTTGACGAAAAAGCTTTCCCGGGCTTTGGAAAAGACGACACTCTGGCCACGAGATTATAAGATGATCAGGAGAAGATTGTGAGGTCACAAATGGCTGCACAAAGCTTATACATGTCATCAGTCTAAATAAATTGAACAAATATCGTATATTGGCAATTTATGAGTAAGAAAACACGGTGGAAGAATTTAAAAAAGCCAATAAATTAATTATAAGTAAATAGTCAGTATTAATTGTAGCCGTGAAATACAGTTTGTCGCTGAAATCTCTATATAAAGTGAGCACAAAGGAATTATTGTATCTTTCGAAATAATAAAAATCCACATCATTTTCTTACACTTTCTTAAAGCGATGTTGATTTTGCATTTAGAACTAGTATTTTTCAATTCAGAAAAGAAAATAAATTATAAATTCCATTAAAATGTCTTAACAAACTCGTTTCTTTTACAATAGTTCTCAAACACGTGCGGAATGAACGATAAATAATTAATTATTCATATTATTACACACAAAAGTGTGATACAAATATTTGCAGCAGATCATTTGCCATCAGGTGAGATCGGTGAGATATTCTGTCTGCACAGCAGTGCGTGATCTTTTCGTCTCTTCATCAATTCTGTGTGACAGTCGTTAGGGATCAATACAGAACATGTGAGTGAGCGATAATCGCGAAAGAATACGGAGTCTGTGCAATAGAACAAGTGGATTGAATCATCCAGTCGATTCAATGCCATCTGAGTGCTCAGCATTGGGAACACTTGGCGATCTTCCTGCTTATTTTTGGAGCGACTATTATATGTGTGAGGAAAAAAAAGGCCTAATCGCCCTTGCCATGGCACTTCCGACCAATGTTTCGCATCAACACCACGCCGGGTGTGAGAAATTTGCGTATTTTCGCGCCGAAGTGCACTCAAAAGCTGGGTGCTCTTGAAGTGATCGCGAGGGAGCAAGGAGTTGAATTTTATCGCCACCGGTCGACGATCGCGCGACCGCATCCTTGACCATGTTGGAAAAAAGCGTGACAGTATCTGCGACTGAAGCCACCACTGAAATTCCTCGGCTGCAGTCAATGTTCTGGGAAATTTCCTCGAACGGGAAAGTGATAGTGCACACTCAGGAGTCGCAGCACTTGCCAGAGGGGCCGCAAAAGAGCCCCCCCCCCCATCGACTAGTGTTTCCATCGATTGACAAATACACAGTGCGCGAATTGAGAGCGTGAGAACGGAAAAAAGTCAGACCGGCAAATATAAAATAATATAAATAAATATCATGTCAATGTCAGGCAATTTGAGAGTTCAAATCAGCACACGATAGTCGAAGGAAAAATGCCTGGCCAATATTTAGTCCAGCGTATTGATAAGTCATCTCAAGACGTTTTTCTCGCATTTTAGGTCAACCGAGAGCTTTGCGTAATCACAATCCACCTCGTCATCCCGGCCAGTTCACTTGCTTTCCTCCCCAAGCATTCCACACAGCTTTTCTCGCGCCCCACCATTCGCCGAGTGCTCGCAAACTGGGAAAGATAAGGCGGTTAAACTCTACTGAATGCCCGCCAGAAGAGTGTCTTGTTGTGCTAATGCTACACAAACAATAGATCTACACTAAATGAGATTTCAAAATCTGCTTCACCTTATCAATACAGCATTTGAGGAATTTCCTCGTTGAATGGCAGAAAAGGTTCTAATGCTTGATGGCAAGATAGTGGAAGAGGAAAAATCACATTGGCTGACAATTTGCTCGTCACTCGCGGGCGTCGCGATGAGATTGCGGCATTGTAAACAAACCTAGCTCAATAATAACTGATAAGGGGCCACTTTTTCCTCAATCATCCCGCCTCCCATATCACCGCGCATACATACTTGCGAGGAGAGAGGCTCCAATGGGCCAATTCAAGTCTCATGTGTCTGTTGGAAGGCTCGCTGGTGGTTATAAAGTTGAGATGTTGGCCTGCGCGAACAGTCTCACGATCAGTCAGTGCTGAATCTCGCTGCAGTGAGGACATCAGGCAGCACATCAGGACGCGCGAAGGAGCTCTCTTGGGCAGGAGTGCAGAAGAGTGTTGGTCGTATCGCGGGTGGGAATTGGAAAAGACAATTCAGCGGCGCGAAGAGACACAAATTCCCAAGTGCGCCGAGTGGAAAAATGCCTATACGAAATTGGAGTTGTCGCGTATCTTATCACTGTGGCACTATAGAAAACACTTGGTTTTGTTTATCACCACATATTGCTGGTAAATAATCACGGGAGATTACAATTAATTTGCCATTGTATGAGGCTGAAAGAGAACATTTTGAGAGATTCAGTGTGGACGCAGCGCGAGGAGTCGCATTAGTGATTTTCCGGGATCTCGGGATTGGGGAGCATTTGAGGAGTGCAGTTTTAGAAGATAAGTGATAGACACATTAAGGTGAGTAATGCTTGTGAGAGGACCATTGATCGGAATTACTCATCGTGATCACATGTTCAGTTTGATTTTCTCTCTCGTGCTTCAAATCTTATCGCAACCACAAGTGTGTCGTAATCATCATTGGGCTAAAAGTTACTCTTCCCCCAATTAATACTCTCCAAAGCTTTTTGTCACATCTCTGCTATCATCCTAAGTAAATTATACTGAGCCAAATTGGGAGAAGTTTGGGAACTTTAGTGCGTTGTTGAGCTGACTCAATTCCTGTTCACTTACGTAAATTGCTTTGGGTCACTTGCGGGAAAGATAACTCATGAATTTTTGCCCGGAGCAGATCAATTATAGAAACTTGTAGAATCGAAGCCTAACGGTCACTTTGTGCATCTCACAGACTTAGCGGCACCTAGAAAGGCGTGAAAAGTGCCAAAATGTCCCTACAGTGGTGGCGTGTCCTGACCCGAAGGAAGAACTTGCCTAACAGACCTGTCGCTGGCGCGGACAGCGACACTAGACTGGGCAGGGTTCTCAACACCTTCGATCTCACAGCCTTGGGCGTGGGTGCGACCCTAGGAGTGGGAGTTTACGTCCTTGCTGGTCACGTGAGTCGTGATCAGGCTGGACCAGCTGTGATTCTGTCCTTCCTCATTGCCGCCGTGGCGTCAATTCTCGCAGGCAAGTTCAAAGCGATCACTCTTGTTGCCTCTGTGTGACACCGAATCCTTTTCCCAGGACTCTGCTATGCTGAGTTCGGAGCCAGAGTACCCAAGGCGGGTTCAGCCTACATCTACAGCTATGTGTGCATAGGAGAATTCGTGGCCTTCATCACGGGTTGGAACCTCATTCTGCAGTACGTGATAGGATCAGCCAGCATCTCCCGAGGACTCTCGCTGTACCTCGACACTCTCATTGGGGACACGCTGAAGAGGAGCTTCAGGAGTGTGGCGCCGATCGATGTGGAGTTTCTGTCCACCTACTTTGACTTCTTCGCCTTTGCGCTGCCCATTCTTTTGGCAGGTTCGTCTATTTCTGCAGGATTAATCTCCTGATCATTATATGATATTTTTCTCCTCCAGTCGCCTTGGCCTTTGGCTTGAAGAAGTCCGCTGTGATGAACAACATCTTCACAGCCACCAATATCGCTATCGTGCTATTCGTGACGATCGCCGGGGCCTTGAAGGCCGACGTGGCGAACTGGCGCATCGATCCGGAAACCCTCAACAGCACCGTCACGGAGGGTCTCAACATCGGCCAGGGTGGTTTCTTCCCCTTTGGCGTGGAAGGCATGCTCAAGGGCGCCGCCACGTGCTTCTTCGGGTTCGTGGGCTTCGACTGCATCGCCACCACGGGTGAGGAGGTGAAGAGCCCCCAGAAGGCCATTCCGCGAGCCATCCTGTTCTCCCTCATCATCATCTTCCTGTCCTACTTCGGCGTCTCCACCGTGCTGACGCTCATGTGGCCATACTATCTGCAGGACGTCAATGCGCCGCTGCCCTTCGCCTTCGAGCAGGTCGGCTGGTCATTCGCCAAGTGGATTGTGGCGATCGGCGGCATTGTTGGCCTCATTACGAGGTAAGACCATGCGATCACGTGACTGGGCGGCTATTTGCTCATTCGCTTGACCCCTGATCTGAGAAAAAATTGATTAACACTAGTCAATCGCGATTCCTGCCTCTGCTGAGCAGCGAAAAACCGAATTTCGGGCAGTGTGTTTACGCCGTTTACGCACTGATGGGTTGAAATTGTTCAATTTCTTTTGCAGTCTCTTCGGGGCCATGTTCCCGCTGCCGAGGATCATTTACGCCATGTCCCAGGACGGATTGGTCTTCCGCTTCCTGGGCCAAGTTCACACTCACTTCAAGACACCCGTCATGGGCACCATGTGCGCCGGCGTGCTCACTGGACTCGTGGCTGCGCTGCTTGATCTCAAGCAACTCGTCAGCATGCTGTCGATCGGCACTCTCCTGGCTTACACCGTCGTGGCCATTTCCATCACCATCCTGCGCTTTTCCAATCGCGCCGAGACGTTCTGCGAAGCCTCAGAGTCCTCCAGCTCCATGAAAGCCAAGAAGCAGTCATTCTTCTCCTCGTCGCTGTTGCAACTCTTCAACTGTCGCGCCCTGAAGCGCCCCACGAGACTCTCTTCGCGAATCGTGGGCGGCATGATCTTCCTCTACACGGTCTTCTCGCTGGCACTTTGCCTGCTGATCCTGTATTCGAAGAAGGAACTGGCGGCTGGCCAAGTGTGGACGATTGTCGTGTGGACGATCATCTGCGCAGTGCTGGTGATCACGCTCATTTCCATGGCCGTGCAGCCCAGGGATCCCACAGAGGCGCCTTTCAAGGTGCCTCTGGTGCCTCTAATCCCAGGCATCAGCATCTTTATCAACATCTACTTGATGCTGATGCTGGACGCCTACACGTGGATCTTCTTCAGCATCTGGCTAGTCGTTGGTGAGTTGCAAGAACTTTGGTGTGATCATCCGCTAACTGGCACTAACATTTAGGCTAACATTAACTGCATGCGCTTGAGTTGTTGCTATTCTCCAGGCCTGACCATTTATACCGCCTCTGCGATCCTCTACGCAGAGGAGAGTGATCAGGAGGCAGAGAAGAAGGAACCCCACAGCACCAGCGTCACTGCGTCCTGTAGCGGATCTCTCGGCGAGCCGCGGAAGCTGGAAAATGGCACGATCAGCAGGGCGGCTGAAGATGACGTAGAGCCAGACGTGAGGAGAATCAAGCTGTCTGAGGATCTGCACGAGGAGTCGGATGTGGATGAGGATCAGAAGTGTGAGGAGAACCCGGTGTCTTCTTCTCTGGATGAGATTCATCTCGTGTCGGAGATTTCTGACACGCACACGGAGAAGAAAGAGCCCAACGGGACGTCGTACTTCGTGGAGGAGAGCAGAACTCCCTCTCCTCCGCAAGACGGGGAGGCCAGGGTGTTGGCCTTGCTGGACGGCGTGATCGAGACTGAGGACACGAGTCCTACGAACGAGAGAAAGAACTCAATGGACTCCCTGGCGGAGAATGAGGTCATTGAGAAGTCAACAGTGGCGATGATTCACCGCGAAGATACGCTGAAAGAGGAGGACGCGGAATCGATAATGCCCGCTGAGATCATAGAGGAGACTGTGGGGTCAGAGAGTGACAAGTTGACTGCCACAACACTGCCAAGGAGAAGCCAAGATGAACCCAGTATTAAGCAGTCCAAGAGTGAGTCAGACATCAGGGCGCTTCTAATGAAGGAGCTTCAGCTGAGGAATCCACCCCAAGAGGAGCCTGAAATTCCACCAATAGACTATCCTGAAATTCCACAGACGGCTCCAATTGCAGAGGGAAGCATACCCAAGCCGCCAATCTTCGATCCTGTGCTCTATAATGCCACGACAAAGAAGAGTCCAAGACTGGAAATTCCTCGGCCGAGGATAAAAACATCGCCAGTGGCCCCAAAGATGTACTCCACAAAGCAACAGCCTCCGCCTGACATACCCGCGGAGCAGGAGCAGACCAAGGAGCAGTCAGTGGAGGACGAGGAGGAAGATGAGAACAACAATGGGAAGAAATTTGCGGGGATTAAAGGGAAATTGGAGGAGATTCTGCGGCGAGGACCACCTCTGCCTTACTCGCGGCCGCGATCGAAGCCTCCAGAGCCCGCCGCCCCGGCGACTCCAGAGAAACCACCATCGCCTGAAATTGACCAGGAGGAGCCCGTCTTCACGCCACCAGTCACGAATGTCAGCAAGCCCTTCGACACTGTCCACAAGCAGAAGATCCTCTTCAACGATGTCCTCAAGTCCATCCATCCAGACACCAGACCCAGCGTAATCAGAAGCGAATCCATCAGCCGGAGATCAGCAACGCCAGAAGTCCAGTCGCACTAACTAATACTAACTAGTCATTGAGGAAAATGCAGTTTTGGGGTGAAAAACTAACGTTTAGTCTCTATAATTTCCGCTAAAATGTCTTCACTTTTTACACTTTCCTGTACAAATCATTGTCTCTCCTTCCAGGATTCATCCTGTACACCTGCTACGGATTCCGCAACTCACTGAGATTGACCGAAATGGAGCCGTTGCTGCGAAGTTCCAACAATCGATTTAAAATCTACTCCGTTTAGCCCACAATTCTCCCATGAATTGCCAACAAAATATTCCCACAAAGTTATGTGATTTGATTAGGGTGTGTTAAATATTCACAATATATAATATATATATTAATAAAAAAAAAATGAAGTCAATTTATACAATCACACTTCCCCTTTATCAGCATTAGGAAGGATTTCTCGTGGGAATTTTCTTTTCCTGAACTACATCCCTAATCTCTGTCGCGCCCCAAATATGGCACTCGAGAGACTAATATCACGAAATTTACAATGCTTTTCTCCGCCGCCTCGCATTCTTAAGTAATCTCGGGTGACTTCAGCGCGCACAACCTTCTTGAGAAGTACAATCATTCTCTCCCGTTCACCCATAAAACAAACAATAAGGATGATAACAGCTCTGCGGCGCTGCAGAGAAAAAAGGTATTAAGTATAAATGTTCTGGCGCTCTTCTAGTACTTGTTGATGCCGAAGAGACGAACGCCGTGGAATTGGGGCATCTTGGGCAGCAGCACCACGACCAGCGACAGGAAGTTGGCCACGAAGTGGTCATTATCGTTCCTCGTGTACATGCACGTGAGGAGGAATCTGCAAAAGATCGAAGATGGTCAATTTCTGGTGCTCTCGGGAAGCACTCGGGGACTCACAGGATGATGGGAACGGCCGTGAGGAACTTCCTGGTCGCCGTGAACTGCTCCCCATTGTTGATCTGCTCCCAGTGCGTCAGCTGGCTGCAGCTGTCAGTGTCCGTGCTCATCCAGGGAGCGCCCTTGATGGAGTGCAGGAAGTAGAGATGAGCCTGCAAGACAATCAATCCTTCCACATAACCACTCCTCGTGGGACTCATGGTAGCGACTTACAAGGTTGTGCAGGACATTCGTCACTGTCCAGGCCAATGGGATGGAGACGAAGGGAATGGCCAGGAAAATCACATGGAAAGACAACACGCCCAGCACATATGCCAGCCACATTCCGCGTGAATCCAGCCAGGATGTGTTGGGATTGGGATCTCCGTGTCCGCCAGCTATCATTGTGTTCCTTTTACGCACTATATTTGCCTTTTACACTCTTTATCACTGATAAAAAGACATCAATGTTTTCCACAAAGTTGCAGCGGATTCTCACTGAGGGCGCACCATCATCACGTAGCGGGAAAGTGGCCGGAAATCGGTTGGCGTCTCGACTAACCGAATACAGAAATACTTTTTCCGAAATGCGTTATAACCTGAAAATTTTGAGCCTATTCGAGAGAGTGTCTTTGAGTGGTGGTGTCAAAGACTTCCTGTGTTTTCTCTCCTGGGGAAATGCATCTGTATAGTGTCCCTGTGATCCAGCAGGATCTACGCCACGAGGAGGCGATAATCCAGGCGGCGAATGCCTTTGAGCACCTGGAGAATGTGATTAACGATGTGTTCCAGACAATCAACAGGAGAATTGAGAAGAACAATGGCAGAGTTGAGGACATCCGGAGGAGGATCTCTGCAGCCAATGCCAAGATTGACAGTTTGGTGGGCATCAAGAAGGCCATCACAATCTACTCCCCAGCCAAATATCCAGCTGGAGACAAGGTGCAGGACATTGAAGTGACATTCCCGTCGCAGAAAGAGCCTCGGCTCAAGTTTAACAAGGACTATTCCGTGGAGAGCAGCCTGGATCCTGTGAGTCACAAGCGTCTGCAGGACAAGTTGCACTTCTACCATGTGAGGAAGGTGGAGGACAAGACTGGAGACGTCATTCCTGAAGGTCTGGGCGCTCCGCCGAGGAACATTGAATCTGTGAATTCGTTCTTGCTCTTCAACACCACAGAAAATCCTTATGAGCACTACAAGAAAGTCGATCCTCTCAGTGGCACCATCAGGACGACGTCTTCGTCGACAGCACTGGAGGATGAGAGCCAGAAGATGGAAGCTGCTCCTCTGTCCATCTCCAATCGCAACGCGCAGCCGAAAAAAATTCCCGAGAACTTCTTCTACACGCCACAATTCGACGACGCTCCAGCCTTGGACGTTCCCGATGATCTGCCGGATCTTCCGGGAATCGCTGGCGATGTCACGTTCTTCGAGGAGGCACCGAAAGTGCTAGCAACTAAGCCTGGAGGCATTTCCACACTCCTGCCGACAGACGATGAGATTGACTTGAATATCTCCGTAGGGAAAGTCGAAGAGCCTCCGAAGGAAACACCAAAACCTGTAGAATTGACTTCCCCGCCTCCCCCGCCGCCGCCTCAGCCGGCTCCTGAGCCACCAGCAGCTCCAAAGAGCTCTTCCGGAGGGAATATGCCTGTCATGACGGACGCCAGGAGCAATCTTATGGAGGCTATCCGGCGCGCTGGAGGCAAGACAAAGCTCAGGGCAGCAGAGCAGAAACCGGCCGGAAAGGAGGCGCCAAAGCCAGCGGCTGGAGATCTGATGGCGGATCTTCACAACAAGCTGTCGATGAGAAGGAAGGGCATTTCTGGCGCCAAGGATGCTTCAGGTGTGATGGACAGGATGTCAGCTCTCATTCCACCACCTCCGAAGCCCACAGCGCCAGCTACGGATGCCAGTGACGATGATTGGGAATAAAATGATTTTTTTTAGATAAAATCCGCATATCCAAAATCGCGCCTCTTCCGGATAGCCTCTGCAGCAGCGCACTCTGCGTGTTCGCGCGAGAGTGAGGCTGATGTCTCTTCGGGAGCCGAAGTGGCGGCCGAAGGGGGTTTCCTCAGCCGACCGCGTGGCGCGCTGACGGTTTACGGGCTCGAATCGAGGCGATGCTTCGTGCAATTTTCAGACGAGTCGGATTGGGATGGCGCACACAATCCGACGAAGTAAAATTGCACATGGCGGCCGCCAGAAGACGTTCTCGGGGAAATCTCGTGGAAGTTGTCTGAGATGTAAAGGTAAATCGAGCTGCTGGCGGTGTGGTTTTTGTGGCAAAGTGCGTGGGAATGTGCTGGGCAGCGATTGGCGGTGGAGAATTGGGGGCGGAAGTGGGTCTTGGGGGTGAAAATTGGGAATTTAGTCGGGCGACTTCATGTCGTGTAGTTGTGAAATTACATCACTGCTCAGGCCTCCTCGAGCCGCAAGTTTCCGCGTGATTTTGGGGGGTTGTAGGCGATACGGTGGGTGTTTGAGGGTGGGGATGGGGTGGGAACGCCGCGGGGAGCTGGCTGGCGGGTGTTTTGGCGGGCTGAAGTGAGGACTTTCGGGAATATTCGAGGGAAACTGAGTGACCTTTTTGTCGGCCAAGAATAGCCGAGAGAGGCTTTTGTCTCGCGCGTCTGACGTGTTCCTTCTGCCCACTTTCAGAGCTGATCGCGAAGCTGTGCCTGAAGCAAGTGACAAAGATCTGAGGAATCGAGCGCTGGGAAGCCGCAGAGCCGCCATGACGACGAGCAGCGAGGATGTGCTGCTGCAGATGGGCGAGGTGAGGTACAAGAAGGGCGATGGCACGCTGTACGTGATGAACGAGCGCCTGGCGTGGATGGCGGAGCACCGCGACACGGTGGCGGTGTCGCATCGCTTCCAGGACATCAAGCTGCAGAAGATCTCGCCGGAGGGCAAGCCCAAGGTGCAACTGCAGGTGGTGCTGCACGACGGCAACAGCTCCACGTTCCACTTCGTCAATCGCAGCGGCACGGCGGCCCAGATCGCGGACAGGGACAAGGTGAAGGAGCTGCTGCAGCAGCTGCTGCCCAACTTCAAGAAGCGCGTGAACAAGGAGCTGGAGGAGAAGAATCGCATCCTGATGGAGCACCCTAATCTGCTGCAGCTCTATCGCGATCTCGTGATCACGAAGGTGCTGAGCAGCGACGAGTTCTGGGCCACGCACGCCAAGCAATACACGCTGCAGACGGCGCAGAAACAGGACATCGGCGTGTCCGGTGCCTTCCTGGCCGACATCAAGCCGCAAACGGACGGATGCAATGGGCTGCGCTACAATCTCACCGCCGACATCATTCAGTGCATCTTCAAGACATATCCAGCCGTGAAGCGCAAATATCAGGAGCACGTGCCGGCGAAACTCAGCGAGTCGGAATTTTGGACCAAGTTTTTTCAATCACACTACTTTCACAGGTGAGCGCGTGAGTCACGCGATTCACGGCGTGCATGACCTTTCGTCACCTCGAGAGTGCATCGCGCGCTTTTTTCGCTCGCGAGCCTTGAGAAGTTATTGTTTTGCACTGTGTAATTTCGCATGCTTTCCATTGGCTGGAATTGTTGTTTGTTGGGAAAACAAGATAGGGGAGAGTGGAGTCGGTGCCCGAAATCAATCTGAAGTCATTTGATATTGCGATAGATAAAATTCGTGAAAGAAAAGGAAGGAAATTGAGATTTTCTCAAAAGATTAAATTGGATTTCTTGCTAAGATCACAAACTAATGCTCTGTTCTTGCTTCTCACGTTGCTCCACAGGGATAGAATCACTGCCGGAACCAAAGATATCTTCAGTGAATGTGGCAAAATTGATGATCAAGCACTCAAAGTGGCTGTGGCGGACGCTTCTGGTGATCCACTGCTCGACATAAGGCTGTTCGGGGACAATTCACTGGAGGAGGGCTTTGGTGGTGCCTCGTCGGATCGCAATGTGGCCAACAGTGGCAACATTGTGCATCAGAACATGATAAAGCGCTTCAATCAGCACTCGATTATGGTGCTGAAGACGTGTGCCGATGCCACGCAAATGAGTGGCACGGCCAATTGTGCGCCGCCGGCGGCTGGCAAGGTGACAACGAACGGCGTGAAGGGGGATGGCAATGGATTCGCCAGCAGATCGCAGTCACCGCAGCCGCCAGTTACCAAGCGCGCCCGGATCATGGAGAAGATCGCATTTGAGGATCTGCAGGGTGATCCGAGCGGTGTGGAGGCTGTGAAGACGCAGCTGAACCTCACGAAGGTGGAGAGATACTTGCACGGCCCGGTGCCGGCTGGCGGCGGTGCCGGCGAGGCAGAGGAGCAGCCGATGCAGGATCTGGACTCGGTGCAGATTAACCTGTTCAACCTCACGGACTCGTGGCATGCGCGCACGCCCCACAAAGTGCTGGTGAGCGCCACGTCGGCCGTGAACGCTCTGGGCGCACTGAGTCCGGGTGGGGCTCTAATGCCGGGCTTCCAAGAGCAATCTCTTGCCCGTGAGTATTCAAGCGTGCAAGGTTTCCGAATGGGTGTTTTTGGAATGCTAATCGCGTGTGTTTCGTTGCAGAACTAGTGCCTCCGGAAGCTGAGAAGGAGCTTAAGAATTTGTATTTGTCCATGTCGGAGTTGCTGAAGCACTTCTGGACGTCATTTCCACCCACAACACAAGAACTGGAAGCCAAAGTTGTTAAGATGCACGAAGCATTGCAACGATTTCAGATGGCAAGGTTGAAACCATTTGAGGTAGGGGTTGATTTGGCTGGTGGGGTGGTGATTTAAATGGGATTCTCACATGCTTGACTCCTTGCAGGAACGTGCCATTCGAGAATTTTCACCGGTCGGTGCCTCATTAACACTCCATTTGAATCAATTACTGCAAGCGGCCGATCGCAAGTTTGTCAAATGGCGAGAGATTAAACTGCGACGGTAGCCCACAATACTTTTATAATGGAATATAATCACACTCCTGCGAGAGGGAGAAGTAGAGAGAGAGAGAGAGACGTGTTTCGTGAGAATAAAATTCGTTCTTTGGAGATTAAATCCGTTGGTCTTTGAATGTTTCTCTGGCGCGAAAAGGTGTGTGGTTGTGGCGTTGCCGCGAGGGCGCAGCACTGCGCGGTGTTTTTTGTGATCGCCCGACGCGGAGCGCTTCAGTCGCTTCGTGGACGGACAGCGAGAAAGTGCGCTTCGCGCGAGAGTTGAGTGAAAATTGCTGTGAAAAAGTGTTGAAAATCCAATATGCCAAGTGTCGTGATGGGAAAGTGCGTGGCGCGGCGTGCATGGTGAGTGGCTGTGCGGCGCGCGGGACACGAGATTGCCAGTGCGGTGCGACGGGGAGCATGGAAATCGTAGGAGTCGAGTGACATTCTCAAGAAACTTGTCTCGCCCCAACGCTTCCCACCCATCCGGAGGGCTCCAGAGCAGCACCTTCAGCCTCCACCCATTGCGCCAGCATGTCTAGCTGGGCGGCACGGATGCACCGGCACGCCGCCAACTTGGGCAGCGTGGTGACCAGCTGTGGCCACCCGGAGCCCGGACCGTATCCGCATCGCCTCGAGAAAGTCAAGTTCGGCATCCCGCTGGACGAGGTGTGCAAGAACGACATCCCGGGGCCGCTCCTCGTGCTCATTCTCAAGCTCAACAAGGAGGCGCCGCTGCGGAAGGACGTATTCCGGGCGCCCGGCCACCAGGGCGCCATCAAGAAGCTCATCCACTTCCTGCAGGCCGGCCGCCTGGTCAACGTGGACAACTACTCCGTGTACACCATCGCCAGCGTGCTGAAGAAGTTCCTGCGCAAGATTCCGGGCGGCGTGTTTGGGCGCCAGGGCGAGGCTGAGCTGTTCGCCATCGTGGATCTGGCCAGCGAAGATGAGCAGCAGGAGAGAATTCACAGGTAAATCGATCCGCTGCTGACGCACGAGCTAAACTCCTGGCGAAAGTAGGTTAATCCCGCATCAGGATGTCTCTCGGCGCCATTAGCTTCCCTGCTCTGGAGCGATAATTGAAGTCATGAAAAGTTTTTAATGAGTGCATCGATGTGCAAAAGCGCAGATATTTGGCTTTTGTGCCCCAAATTCCCACACAATTTGCATACAATGCACGCACGAACGCCCAAAACTTCCCATTGTGCTGATCCGCGTTGGTCAGTTTGATGGACTTTTGCGTATCTTGAGCTACTTCAGCTCACGCTGCTTGAGATTCTCAGCTGTGACACATGAAAAATGTAATATTCTGAAGCTTGAGGAATTTTCTCTGACAATGCTTTGGCCTTAAATGAATTTGAGAAGAACAAGAGAGAAAAAGAGAAATCAAAAACGACAGAAAATTTGTAAAAATTCAGTAATTTTCTACAAAAAGTCCAATTTTATTCTAAACCATTTGAATTCGGACAAAATAAGCTTTCAAACATTAAATTTTCCTATCAAATGAACAAAAATTAGGGTCTTTTATCGAAAAATAATTAGAATTAGACTTCTTCATTTTTCAAAAGAAGGGAAAATCATACTAATTTGGCGGCAGACGCAGCGCTGAGAAGTCTTTCAGTCTCTCTTTATGTGTCCAAAAGCGAGCAAAATGGGCTGGATAATTGTGTTGATTTGATGCTGGCGCGTTGGAAAACAAGAGCTGCGAATGTGGCGGAATGAATAGGTTGGAAAAATGTGTTGGGAAAAAGGGAAAGTTCACTGAGCCCCAGAGAGTGTGTGTGACTCCATAAAGGCCAGGGAGTGATGGCAATTTGTGGGGGAAGAAAGTGGGTCACATTTTTAGCAAATATAATCACAAAATTGGAAAGTTAACATTCTTCACTTCTGTCTTTCCTTCCGAAATTTTCAAGCACATATTGTTCTTACTTGAGAACTGTTTTGTGTGTGGTTCTCTTATCAAATGTTCACCACACACAAATTGCTGACGCTTCACAATGGGGGCGAAAGAGCGAGAGAGAGAGAGAAAGAGGGGAAAAAACTAAAAATTCTCTGAACCATAACCAGGAAATAACTTCCATTTTTGTAGTTCTTTCGGTTCTTTCTGCGTTTTTTTTTTCCTCCCTTCCCTCTTCTACATATATGTATGTCAATTCCAATAGTGCACGGGAAAGAGAGTAGAGAGAGAATAATCAGAGGAATAAAGCGAGAATTGTTCTTTTTTTCTGTGCCTCTGTGTGACAATGTGAAAGAGTTTTGTAATTTTCGACAAATCAACAAGTGTGTGAGAACCTTTTCTTTTCTGTTTTTTTTTTTGCTGTGAGTCGCGCGCATTAGAGAAAATTTAGTTGGATTTTCTGGTGAATTGACAGTGTGTCACAGTTGAGAAAGATTGGGCTCTTAAGCGTTCCTATTAACCCGTCAAAATGAATTTAAGTTTCTGGGTGAGAGAAATTCTGGTGTGAAAATGGCAATTTGGGCGCAATTTTCAGACTAAGAGAGAGAGAGAGTAATTGAGTGTAATAGGTTCAGGAAATTTCTAAATTATTCGACCCAGAAAGATAAGTTGATTTCTCAGTGAATCAATAGACGAGCATGTTGATAAGATGATTGACTCAAGTTTTCCTCCATGGCCTGAGTCACATCAGGAGAGGAAAACAGCCAATATTTCCCTCTTCGGTTCCAAAAAGAGTGTTGCATCACGAGGAATTCAATGAAGTATAATTAAGTCAAATTATGCTAATAGCATTGAAATTGAGAAGACGTTGTGGAAAAGGGCTTTTTTTCACAGCATCTTTGGCTTCTGCACTGTGTGTTGAAGAATTGTGACACTTTGTGTTGGATTGTGCGCTCAATGAATATTTTTTTTCCGCTGTAATTTCACTGCAAATTGAATTATACTGTCTTGCTCAAGAGGTCGTTTAATTAAGAAAGTATTTATCAGACACATTTTCACCATGTCTAAATTCACTCCTAAAGTGGAGTCATAACAAAGAGAGTTGCTTTTTTATCTCGCATTGCTTCGTGTGTGTTTGTCATATAATTGGGGTTTGTCATAAAAATTAAAACACCAAATGATCTCTGCATGAGTGAAAACTCTCGTTTAACTCCAGTTGTTTTTTCTTACCTCAAAAGTGTGATTCAGAAGTGTTAATTGAATTTTTTTTCAGGTGGATTTGTGCTATCTTAATTGAAGGTGGGATTTATTTAAGTAATTGAATTGACAATCGTGTCATCGTTGGATGATTAATGATTTGATTATTGCATCGATTGCATCAGAATGACTCGGAATGAGTGTGATTATGCTTTTTGCGTTCTGAAGAAGGGAGGAAAAGACAGTAATTTAGTGACTTTTCTCCTTTCTATTCTCAGTTTGAATTGTTAATGCCAAGGGGGAGATAATATGGCTCAAATCTGTACACCACTTTCTGGACACTTCCACAATTCTTCTGCAGAATCTTCAACACTTCAAAATGTATTTCAAGGCATTTTTTTAGACTTCTTCAACTGTTTCCTACACAAATTTCTGACTTATCACAAATCAGACTAAACATAATTTTCATGATTTAGAGGATTTTCTAATCACCAGAACAAAATTATCCAGAAAATGCCTCAATTTGTTGAAATAGAAGGTTTTGTAGTGCAATTATTTGATATATTTTACAAGTTCCAATTCCAAAACACTTTCGTGAAGTTTGTACACCACATTCAGTTCATAATATCTGCCCCTTGGTTAATGCAAATGTTCTTGAGAATTGAAGTTTTTCTTGTATTTTTCCTTCAACTTATTTTTCCACCTCTCGTTGATTTATCATATTGCCGCGAAAGAAGAATGGAGTATAGATCAGGGACAAGTAATTAATGTCTGCGGGCTATAAAGTCAACTTGGCATTTTCATGTGGAGTGTTTTGCAGAGTGAGAGAGAGAGAGAGAGAGAAAAGTGAGCAGTCTTTATCATGTTCAATTACCGCGATTCTGATTCTTTTTCCATTGTCCTGCTGATGATGATGAAAGAGTTGCAGTATAATAATAGATGGACTTGTTGTCTTTGTTTGCCTTTTTTTTGTTAGCGGAAATCCGCATGGAGAAGAGATATGATAAAGAAGTGTGTGATATGCAGTGAGAAATAAGGACGGGGGGAAAAGAATGAGTAATCAATCTGATATGCTGAGTATGTTTGTGGTGAGAAATGCGACTATGTGTGACCTATGAACTTGACGCTGAGACAGGGGAATATCATTCAATAAGAGCAGAGCAGAGTGAGAGAGAGTGAGAAATGAGTTGGCAGCAATTGGGTGGAGTGAATGAAATGGGGATTTAATAGAGAAAACTCTGAAGAATAATGATGGCAGTGAATCGTGAAGTTATGCCCATTGTATTGGCGCTGGGTAATGTGGGGATAATATAATAAATTGGAAGAAGGAATTTAAGTTATGATGTTTGTGTTATATTCACTACTGTACTTAATTTCACTTGCAATTTATCGGTTAATTAATGCAATAATCTACATTATTGACTACTCAAGCCCATTATAAACTATATAATTCACTCTCATTCTCGAAAAAGTGGTACGGAAAAAGGTAACACATAAAAAATGTTGAAAAGCAAGTGCAAAAGTAAATCATGTTGCTGAAGGTATTCTTTTTTATTATTATTTATTGTCTATATATATATATAAATTTCTCACAGCAACAGCAATAATAACAACAACATTGTTGCAGTTGGAGTTGAAACTCGATTTAGCTTGTTAAACCTTCCACTTGTGGAGTTGTTATTTTCCTTTCTCAAGCTGTTTCCTCAGCCAATTGCACTTTAACATTCAATATTTTTCTTGTCTATTTCTCACTATCCATTTCACAGCATGTTTTCATACATATATATATTTTGCAAAATGCCACTTTCACTAGAAGAGCGACATGCATTCACAGAGCTCTCTAAGAAATCAATAAGCACGTGCAAAATATGGAAAGGAGATGATAGAATTTGCGTACATTTATAGTTGAGTTTAATTTGTATTTCAAATGGAGTATTCTGAGGATGTCCCAGTAATTTGTGAAATTTAAAAGCTTTTGTAGAACTTTTGAATAGTTTTGCATCTAATAGATATTCTGAAGACAGAGAAAACTTGCTCTCAGTTTGAAATGTCATTTCGAAAGAATATCATTTAGAGTGTAGTTAAGACATTTTCTGAGGATGTTCTTAAGATATCACAGGACAGTCCTCTATATGTCGTATGATTATCATGTGGCATCAAATGAATGAATGCAAAATTCATTAAAATCTCTTGTTTAGATTAATTGGATTGGAAAATAAACTCTAATTTTGCAGTGATTCAAGTTCATTCTGGGACATTTCCCATGGATTTCTATCAGAAATCCAACATATTACTGAATGATTCGGATGTAATTTTTTTTACCCAGAAGAAAGTGTTTTATGGTTACATTCAGCTGCTTATGAAACTGGAAAAAACTTGGATTCATGCATTTCCCCCACCCCCCCTTTTTGAGAGTGGAAGTAATTTTGCTGGGAGGAAAAGAATTCTATTTGTATGTGCGGTTCCACTCGACTGTGCATTGTTGTTGATGTTGTGTAACAGATATTGGGTTGAATTGGGAGAAGAGGAAAAGGAATAGAAGAAGTATTGCAAAACATATGGATTGAATTTCCTTTTTGCCAACAAGTTAGAAGCATCTCTTCTTCAATGTAATTTTATTATATCGCATTGAATGTGGGTGGGCTTGCGCGACTGCGAGGGTGAAATGAGCCGTATTCCACGGTTGGATGAGTGACTTCTGTGCACAGCACACAAATTAATTGATATATGTTGCTATTTTGTCTTTCCAGACTGTTAATGTCACTGCCAGTCTATACACAGCGACTCCTTGTGCTGCTGTTTGGAACATTCCGTGTGATTGCGAGCAATGCCGAGAGGGCGGACACGGGGATGACCAGCGAGGCTCTCGGCGTGTCGGTGGCACCCAGTTTCTTCCACTCGTGCGTGAGTGATGGCAAGACGGCACGAATGGAGGATGTTCTGCGCTTTAAGGTATGCCAAACACACATTCACACACACACAGAGTCAGGGTGCTTTTTCTCTGATAACGCGCTGCTCCCTTTGCAAATATAGCCATGTAGTTCGCGGGGGCAGCGCTTCACCTCACATCTCACCACTTTTAGCCCCACACACACACATCATGTTTAGCTTAGCTGAGTGGCGGGAGTAGGAAAAACAATGCGGGGTTGATTGCGAAAAAGGACAGACGTTCAAATTTCGTGACTGGCGTGCTGTGCATGTGACGGTGAAACTATTAAATAATTGTTGATCAATCCCGATAACACTCACTTTATTAAATTAGATCGCAACTATAAATACACTATGCTTACTAAATGTCCCAAAGTGGGTCATAAATAAGGATAATTGATAAATTTTTCACTTGAAATTAAGGAAAATAAAAACATTCAATAACATTCCTCACTTATCATAATCCAATCCAGACTCTTGTCTTAACAATTATCTTATGGATTTCCTCAGTCTCTCGATGTAATTTTGACAATGTTATCAAGGTGAATTTTTGATATTTTCACTGGATTTTCTTGTTTGTTAATGGAGTTGTTTTCCAAACAGAGATTTTTGCGAGTCTTTCACAGCTTGATAAGAAAGATTTTCCTGGCATGGAAAGAACTGATTTATGTCATTTGGTAAAAGGTTGTCATTTGAGATATTACTCAGCGTTGAATCATCTCAGACAGAGTGTCTCTTATGACGTGTTTCAGTGATGCAAAATGACCTCTTATCATTTGTTGATAAGTTTATTCATTGACGATCATTGTTGAAGCATAATTTGCAGAAGAACTTCACGTATTTGTAGGCAGAGAAGAGAGGAAAAGACGCTGAGATTTCACATGGAAATTGGCTTATGTTCTCGCGATGTCTAAATCGGTGAAATTAGGAACAAGATCATCGAAGAGTGAAAGATATTTTTTGATTTTTTCACATCAGCTTCCCAATACATTCGTCTCTCGATGGACTTTTCTTTTTCCTGCACGCTGGCGTTCGTGCGTGTGTGTGTGTGTAGTATTGGGGGAGTTCATCAGTTCATTGCTCTCCTTCTTTTTCGAAAACATAATATACAGCAACTTATGTACCCCACATATTATATAAACATCTCCACGCTTATGTATTTGCAATAGAGTGAGAGAGAGAGAGAGTGAGTAGAATTGTCTGCAAAAATCATGGCAAGACGGACGCGCGAATGAGTGTGGTTTGGAAATAAAAATTGACCTTGCGCAAAATTAAATTGTAGCATTAATGATGGTAAAAAAAGGCAGTCTATTTTTGATCGCACAATCACACATGAGAGAGAGAGAGAGAGAAAGCCACCAGGAAAATCACATAAAATGCTCACAATATAATCCAATAATTATATTGGTTTTGGGTTCTGGACTGTGTATATTTAACTGTGGTGGAGTGTAATTTATTTATTACACAAACACTTAATAAATCTCAATTAGAGAAATGTGTTTTTCTCTCCTTTTTTCCCACTTTCACGCGGTTTTTCCCGAGCGCGATTCTTTCGCCATGTCTTTCTCTGGTCTTCCTCCTTTATGGGCTTTTGACTGGTGCACGCACACGTGAGGCGAAACAGAATGAGAGAGAGAGAGAGAGAGAAAGAGAGTGCAGGAGGAGGAAAATTGGGAAGAAAGGGAGTGTGAAGTGTTAAAAAATGAAAAGAATGCCAAAATATCTCTCAACTCTGCTGAGAATGAAGAGTGTGAGTTTTTTTTCTTCTTCTTTCTTCTCGCGTGTTGTGCGAAGTGACGATTAAAAGAAGTGATAAGAGATAAAAGGGGAGAGAATGTCTTGTGTAACAGTCAGAGAAGAATTACCCACAATCTCGATAAAAGGAATTGACAGAAATTTGTACTTTTCATGTTGACGATAATTCCTTATCGTGTGTGCAGAATTAATTTGTTTGCACGCTTTGCACAGTGAGAGAAAGAAAAAAAAAGAAAGAATGAGAAAAAAGAGGAAAACTGGAGGCGTATTTATTGAGTGGAATTGTTTATAAACGACATTTTAATGTGCGAGACAATATAAATCTCATTATTTCATGTTTGATGATAAGAGAGAAAGATGTACAAATTACACTTCATGTACTTTTCATCATTTAATATTTACTTGACACGCTGTGCTTCACACTGATAACGTGCGTGGCTTTTCTTCATTGCATTTCACATAATTTTTCTCTTTCTGCATACAGAAGGAGATAATATATATGTATATATATATATATCATGATAGTATGATATTAAATTTAATCTTATTAGTCTTTTTAGATTTTGGCTTTACAAAAGTCATTTGCTTTACTTTTATTTGTCTTTATCTTTTTCTTTGCCTTCCCAACATAAAGGCGGAAGTTAATGTAAGTTTAATGGCTATGAAGAAGATGGAAGGGAAGAATTTGACAGTGATGATAATAACATTTGCGTAGAAGAGTTCTTTTCAGTGTTAGAATTTAGGAGACATTATCATAGACGAAGTGTGTTTTTTTCCGTTGAATAGAATGTTTTTGTGTGTATTATTTTTGTTTTTGCTTCTAGAAGTGTTTAGAATTTCTGTGTAGATTTTAGTGATGATTTTTAGAGATGACTATATAGACAAACTTGATGCAGCGCTAAGTCGAGTGTATGTAGAAAATTTGGATGAAATGAAAAAGTGTTTTGCTAAAAGAAATCCAAAAACACTATGTTGAATTAGAGAGTAACATGAGAGACTTACATATCTATCTACCTTTTCTTTTAATTGAATGTTGATTTAATTGATTTGAGATAATGCAAAATGTGTGCGTATGTAAATTTTTTCTCTAATAACAACGTGTTTTTTTCTCTCCAACTGCCTTTGTAGGTCGCCACGAGAATCATGAAACAGATGATCGAACAATTCACAACATTCAACCTATTTGGACGTGAAAATTATGAATATTATGCAAGAGTGACGGGTAGAGTTTTACGTGTTCAGGATGAGTGGATCATTAGTTTTCGCTATCCACCCTTGCCGAGGGGTAAATTCGCTCAGCAGAATTATGCACGTGAGTATCAAATCTGCATTCATTTGCAGCACTGAAGTGATCGCCAATGGAATAAAACATCCTTTAATTCCTCAGAGCTCTTTATTCTGCTCTGCTTTCCTATGTTTTCTTGCTTTGAAAAGTGTTCTATTCCATTGGTGGTCACAGTGCGTCGAGGATAACTTGAATTCAGCAACTGTGAAGAGCACAGAGTGATTTTGTCTGTCTTTTCTTACAATTTCTCTGCGTTCGGCGCGGAATTGCACAATTTATTTATTTAATTGCAAAATGTTAATTATCTTCAGAGTTTTGAGATTGCACTTCACGCATTGTGTGGCAAATTCTGCGAAGAAAAGGTGTGGAAACAATGCGGAAAGACAGTGATGATGAGGATTGTGATTAAATTTTTACTATATTCAAACCTATAATCATCAGCGGTAACTTGAAGGAAAGCACACTGTTTGATGGTGTATTTTGAAAAGTGTTTCCTAATTTTTAGTCATGTTTTTCCTTTTAATTTCTATTTCCTTTTAATTGAGGAAAGGCAGCAAAGTGTGATCGCGATAAATGAAAGGAAAACTAAGTTTTTTTTAATAGTACAAGAAATTATGACTTAATAATAAGAAATAAGAGTGTAAAATGGCAAAATGCACGTGAGTTTTCATCATTTATCATCCACTGTTTCGCACAAATTTATATTTTATATAAATGTTGGATGGAAGCCAAGAAAGGCAGACACAGCGTGTTCTTTTCTCCCCTGTCTTTCGCAACAGCGAGTGAGAATCTTTTTGTGTAATTACAGTTCAATTGTCACTGGAGACGGAGAAGACGTGGCTTCAGTGCGAATGTGAGCGCTGGGGATTGAGTAAGTTTGACTTTCATTGAGATTATTAATTATATTTTGGTATTATCTCTACATTCTCTAAAATCCATTGACGTAGAATGTTTGGCCTCTGTCATGGACATTCTCAATGTTGTTGTTCTTCTCTGTGTTGTGTTGTTCCAGTTCAAGAGGAGTCTCACTCGACGCCGGCACTCCTGACGGCCGGCGGTGGCAATGTTGGCAACAGCGCAATGTCGCTGGGCATAATTCCGGAGCACTCGCTGCTCGAGTCGTGTGCCAGGCTGTCGGTGAGCCTGGAGGGGCCCAGCATTTTTGCCGGCGGCGCCACGAATCAGTCTAGCTGCTCGTCCTCGCTGTCCGGACACTCGTCGCAGTCCGAGTCGCATCACATGACAATGGAGGAATTGAGGGCGGTGAATCGCTATGCCGAAAGTACAAAGAGTCTCTCATATTTGCCACAGGTAATTCTGCCCGCCGTCAGCATTGCACTCCGGACGGGCTTTTATGCAAGACAAGTGCGAAATTTAACAATTTAACATCCCCACAATTGCCACTCTATTAAATTTATTATTACAATATCATTAAAAACTTTAATTGCCTCCCTGAGTTTGTTTTCCATTTTATATATATATATAATTTTATTTCGAATGTGTGCGCGTGTGTGGAATATATTTTATAATTCTCGCGAGGTTGGTTTCATTTTTCACTAACAAATAACACACTTGTTTGATTGATGATTTCTTATTTTGGCACTTTCTTTATTTCATCTTATTTTTAGCATATTTTTTGGGGGTCGGGGAAAGGAAAGACTTGTATAAATTTCTTTTTACCAATGTTTTTACATGATTTTACTTTCATAGGTGGTGGTTTTTCTTATGATTTCTCATCATAAAATACTTCTTTTCATGCTTTCTTTGCTCTATTTATTTATTTATTTTTTTGTCATTTCTTAAGGACACAAAAGAGAAAATGTGTGGTTGTGAACTTTATTGATCTCACTCTTTCTTCTCTCTCCCTCTTTTTCTCTCTCTCTCTTGTGGTTCGATGTGCTAAGAAACAGAACACGATTGATTTTTTATTTTTCCTTTGTTTTTGTGATACAAAACTTCATATATATATATGTGAAACCCCACTTTCAAAAGGTCCATGAACGACAGACGGCGCGCATGAGGACACGCTCCGAGTGGTTTTTGGGGGCTCGCGGTGGTTCGTTGGAACTCCATCCGGACGTGCGACAGTCCACGAGTCCAGGATGCAATCAGTCGTCGACACTGCCGCCAACAATCGGTACAATCTACGCTCAAGACTCACTTGCTACTCCTTTGCTAGTTGTCGCTAAGTCACCACTCACTGTCACATGTAACAATGATAACCATTCGCGGATGGCGCGCCAGGACTCACCCGACAGGGTGTACGTGGCTCCGGGGCGGAGGCGCACACGCCATCCGCCGCATCAGCGTCACCCATCATCCAGACACACTTCACAGAATGTTGCACGCCAGAATAGCGCCCTCATGATTTTCTTCACCGTCCTCGATTTTATATTTTAACCAATTCACACACGCTCATCCATTCATTCCCTCTGGCCTAACAGTAATACATATATATGTATGTGATTAAGTTTCCCTCCTCATGTTTTGGATGTTGTGTGTTGGCTCGATAATTTATTTGTCATTTTATACTTAACCTTCTTGTGGAAGGCGTTTCGTCACATTTCTTTTTGGGGGGATGAAGTTGCAAGTGAAAGAATGCGAAGGACAAAGTGGTGAGCAAACTTGGAAATATTGTCTGTCGGCAGACGTGAAAAGACGCTATTTGCATGAAAATTCTTGAATTTTATTGCAGAATAAGAGTGTAGTTTTGAAATCAACAGCAATTTCGGCTGTTGATGGTTGAAAAATTTGATTCAACAAGAAGATTCTTTGAGTCTTCTTGACTTGATTGAAATGCTTTCTTAGTGTTAAGAGGGATTAAGAGTGTTTCATAATCATATATTTGAGTATTTGACTCAGAAATAAAACAATTAGAACATTCTGATTTTATAGTAATTTATTCAACATAATTTTATTTGTTATTATTTAAATAGAATTGATATCAATTTTCAAGATTCTCAGAATTGAGATGATCAGAAAACTTCCTCATTCTTTCACATGTTCGACTTGTTATTTTAATAGGACGAAAGTTGGGTGTTATAATTTAATTTTACTAATAAGTTACACTTATAATCTCGCATTTAATTTTAATAAAATATTCACGAGTGATTTTATTCTGTGTGTTTGTGTGCAATTTCGCTAAGCATGTCGCGAGAATCCCATTCATTCAATGTTATAAACACTGTCAAGTACACAAAAAAGAAAAGAAGAAGAAATATCATTGCTTTTTTCCGTGCTAAATGAAATGCTATTTGTGGCGTGAAGAGTATTAAAAAAAATAACAGAAAATTAGAAAGTACAAAAATGGAGGAAATTTGGTAAATATTATATCGAGCAATTTGGCATACGTAATTTTCTTTTTTCTTTTCCAACAAAACACAGTTTACGCGCAGACCTCTTTTTATTTTTCCTCATGTTAATAACTCTGCTTCACACTTGAGTGTCACTTGTAAATAAGCATTCAATCGCTCAGGTTGTGTTGTGTACTCAATATACAGGTTTGCCAGGAATGGACACAGTATCTCTCTCTCTACAATTGGATATCTATCGATTAGCCGATTGCATATTTTTCTCTCTCTCTCTCTCAATAGTTCGCATTGTTTATCGCTATTGCGTCTTCTCAATTGTACTTTTGCCAATGTAATTTTATAACTTCTTTTCTCGATGTCTCAGTTTTCTTCTCCAAATGGAATTGATTTCCGTTTTAATTGCGCGCCTCGTGCTGTGATTGAGAAGGAAATTTGATCCATTGACCCAAATTGTGAGGCATGGCGAGTAGAATGTTGCTATAAAACTCTTTTTGCGTAATCTAAGAGATTACTAAGAGTTAGTGTATTGTCTGAAATTCAATGTTTCCGGCATTACTCGATGGGCTTTTTTTTCGCGCGCGCAATTTTGTGCACTTGAACAACACAAATTCTTTGGGTCACGTTTGGATTAGAAAGAGGGAGTGAGAGAGGGAGAAAAAGAGGAGAAAAATGGCAATATTTACTTATGCAGAGCTTTGCGCGGCATTCCTGTACATGATAAATATTATCACGTTCAGGTTGATTGTTTAGTCTCTCTGTGAATGCAAATGCTGTCTTCAACAGTCATCATCACGCGCTTCTCTGGAAATCAATTGACGACTCTTGCGATATCGCAAAAGACACACATTTGGAAGTGTGTGGAAAGGAAGAGAAACAGACTTTTATCGCGCGACAGCGCAATTAAGTGAATTTTCCCTCCATCGGCTAATCGACAATCAATTGTGTCCATTCTTATCACCCAGCGAATGTGAGAGAGAGAGAGATAACTGTGCAAATAACCCCAAGCGGGGGCCATTATCAGTGCCACAGAGGTGTCAATGTTCTTCTTTTTCTCCGGCCGTTCCGGCGGCAGCTGGCAACATCGGCCTGAGCGCCTCCGCTGAGTCCGTGCACCAGCTGAAGCGCGCCAGCAGCCGGCGTTCGCGCCACCATCCGCACCGCTCGTCGTCGCGGCGCAACAAGGAGAACGGCTCGCGGCCGGGCAGCTTCCGCAGCGCGGCCGGCAGTGGGCTGCAGGCCAGCAACAGCCATCACAACAGCAACGAGGGCGGCGCGGCGGGCGGACGCAGGCGGCCCAAGGGTGTGACCTTCGACGCCAGCATGTCGTCGCCGGGGAAGTGGTGCGACTTCCCCGGCGAGGACGCGGACGTGTCGATGATCACTGACGCGCAGGAGGACTGCCTGATGGACACCACGCCGCCGCCCCAGGACGCCATCATCCACCACTACAAGCCGCCGCGCGTATGATCGTCCGTGGAGGCGCAATGCACCAAAGACAACTCCTTCGCCGGCGCCCCCGACGATCCCCAGGCGAGCGACCGCGCAAATCTCAAGCTTCAGGCCCCACCGAATGTGGATGGACACTTAGATGTTTGACTTTAGCTGTATTATTCGTGTTTAAGATCAGTTGGGCGACCGCAAAACCACTCGAGAGCAGATGGGAAGACACATTCCTCAAAGGGCATTTAAGTAAGGTTTTTTTTTTTGTTTTTTTGCAATCAATAGAACATTCGTCGGCTGCATCGCCTGTTATTGCATCGAAGTGTGTCTCTTCAGATTGAATTATCGAGCTTTGAATGTAGTTAATTTTGTTAAAATACACATACAATAAGTAAGAATTGGCTCTGCTGAATCTAATCGAAGTCAGAGTCACTTAATGATCACTTTTCAGATACAACAACTGACGATGCAGCCAACGAAGCGCTAAAAAATCAGTATCAACATCGGAAAACGAAAGAAAACACCGTCCACAGAACACTGAAACGTAATAATTTACGTGAAAAATACAAACCGACGCATTATTTTACAACGAACAAACATTTTTCCTTTTCTTTTTAAAACTCAATAACACGAAATACGAGTTCTTCTTTCGGTTTTTTTTTGTGGGGGGGAGTGAAAAGAGAGAAAACAAAATTGACGAGCTGAACATGATTCAAACAAAAGTTTTTAGCGGGAAAAGAAGAAGAAAAAATTGATATTTGATGTGCTAAATTAAAAAAAAAGCGTTTCTTAGGTAGAGAAAAAGAAGAAATTAATAAAAATCCTATTTAAAATTTATATAGAAAAACAAAATATCATGACAAAGAAATTTCTATCGAGAAAACTTCTCACATTTTACGAAATAATACGCTTTTATTGTTTTTTTATTGGATCGATCTAGCAAAGAAATGAGTATATATTTAATATTTAGAGAGACACAAGAGGAGAATCTTTTAAATGTGAGTTGAGAAAATCATGAAGGTTGAATTTCAGAAGTGCGAAGAATGAGATGAACTTTAACATGGGAACCAATAAGTCTATATTTAAAAAAAAAAAAGAAATAACATTGCATAAATAAAGTTATGGATTACAAAGTGGAGGAGAAGATTCATTTAGGGAAGTAAGGGCTTTTTAAAAAGTGCACCACATTTTTTTATTGTAATTGTTGAATAGGGTAAATAAAAAGGAAAGAAAATCTTGCCAAAATGGAAACCAATATTTCACAACATGAATTTCGTCTTTTACTCTCATTTTTTTTGGGGCCTTCGAGAGGCGAAAAATTGCAAAAATTGTTTCAAAAAAGGAAGAAAAGCGACGAGGCAAGCTTAAGATGATGAAAATGCGGAGGAAAAAAAAACTAAAACAGACTGATTAAAGACTATTTTTGTGGAAATAGTTAAAAAAAAAAAGGAGAATTAAAAAAAAAAACACGAGAAATATTGATAAGGCGAAGGAGATTTAAAATGCCAACTAAACCCAATATTGCAACATTGAAGAAAACACTGGGAAATTCTGTTCTTGTTTTATGTTTTTAGTTAAGAAATTTGCTAATGGCGATGAAATTCTATCCAGTATTATTATTGAACTTTTAACCAAGGAGAAGAGATCTTTTGCTGCACCCTCGTTCCTCATTCTCTTGTATTTATTCTCGGCGCAGTTTCACAAAACAAATATGATAAAGAAAATAACAAACAAATAAAAGAGGGACGAAAAAGGGGAAATTTGCAAAGAATAAATTCGACAAATTTTATAGCATGTAAAGAGAAGGAATGAAGGAAAAAAAACACACTATTAGGATATAATGAAATATTAGTTGAGGCAGATAAAAGGGTGGAAACGAAATATGTGTTCGAAAAAACAAAGATATGAGAAAAAAGAGGTGAAAATCTTATAAATTATACACCAAGATTAAACTGCAAGGAAGAATTCTAGATGATATCAATTACAAAGCATAATGAAATATTACTATTGAATAAACTGATAAACGTCTAAGTAAAAGAAAATTATGTTTTCTTCTTCCTTCACTAATTTCTGGCTCATTTATTCATCTACTTTAAATAGCATTGCGCCTCACATGATTTATTTCTTTAAGTATTGCAACTTCACAGGAAACTCATTCTAAGAAAGCTGATTCATCTGCTGTGGCTTCTTGCGCAAGTAGGGAATCTCAATTTTGTGGCGATTCCTCATGTGCACTCTGTGATCCTTGATGCTCCACGAGCACTTTCCGCAGCGTTCGCACTTCAGCGGCGGCTCGTTCTTCGAGTGCACCTTGTCCACGTGAATCTGCCAAAGAACAGACGCGCGCGCATTAACATCAGCATTACCACAAAAGCCGCTGAAGCTCACCTTCAATTGCGACTTGTCCTTGTAGTCCGCACTGCACAGCGGACACTGATGCCTCTTCCCATTGTGCCTGTCCATGTGGCGACGCAGGAACTTCTCATTGGGATACGATCGACCGCAGCCGGACACGAGACACTTGAACTCCTGCTCGGGGCGCTCGTGGATCTTCTTCATGTGCAGCCTGAGCGTGCGCTCGCCGGCCATCTTGCGGCCGCAGATCTCGCACATTGGCCAATTCTTCTTCACCACAACGCCCTTGTGCTTCAGCATGTGCGTCTTGTAGCCACAATTCCAGATGAAGCCCTTGCCACAGATCTCACACTTGAGCGGCCGCTCGCCGCTGTGCGTCATCATGTGCTGCGATCAAAGAGAGAAAAGATCGTCAATTATTCTCATTGTAGAGAATAAAATAAACACTATTTTCTTATCACATTTGAAAGTCAAATTATGATTTGCTTTAGTTTGTCAAAATTAAGTGAAAATTAATTTTAAGCCAATTCTTCTGCTCTTTATCGACAAATCTTCTACTTTTGCATATTTTAACACTTGATTTTATTGTGTAAAAGTTACGCACAGAGTGAAAAACTGCAACACAAAATCCCAGAAGTCATTTCAGGTGGTAATTACCAAAACTCCCGATAAATTGAGTCAATTTCTGCGCTTAAATTCTTTTTCAGACGATTTTTTATCACGTTTTCTTCCATATTTTCTATAAAGAATGTGAATAAACTTATTTTTTAGATAAGAATTTTATGATTTTTCAAAATGCACGACTTTTCAAGTCATTCTTTCTTCAAATATGTGCTTTTTTTGCAATTAGTTTAATCACGGAATTCGTCTAGATCAGTCTTAAAATTAAGAGACAATGAAGTTCTGTGGTTTTTTGGCAGTGATTTTGGTCACTGTGGCATTTCCTGTGCTTTCAATGGTAAAAATATATCTCTCCTGTGGAATTTGTGATCCTTATGATACCCTTTTGCTCTCTGCAGGACTATTTTCCTGACTATAATGACTTTCCCATGATTGAGAGCAGAATTATTAATGGTTTAAATGCGACTGAAGGTCAATTCTGCTACTATGTCGAAGTGATTCAACTTCTACAGAATGCGAATCGGCAATACTGCGGCGGAAGCCTGATCAGGGCAGATTTTGTGCTCACCGCCGCACACTGTTGCTACCCTCCCTCGAATGCCACGCAGATCTTCAGTTATCGCGTCAATGCTGGATCAATAATAACACGACAGGCGCAGCAGAGCAGAACTGTTGAGGAGTCTCAAGTGACTGTTCATCCAGAGTTCAGTAGAACCACTCTGAACAATGACATTGCTCTCATCAAAGTCCCAGTCTTCACTTTCAACCGCCTCGTTTGCCAGATCAATCTCGTGCCGTCTTCGTGGCGCTATGAATCCTACGTGGGCAGAAATATCACAGCCTTGGGTCTCGGATACATCTCAAATGCTGGAGAAGAAGCCGATAACTTACGCTGGACAGACGAACTAACGATAATCCCAATGAACAATTGCACGCCTTTCTACACCGTAACATTGCCTTCCAACATATTCTGTGCTGTGGATCTGGGCGACGTCCCGGATAGCGCCACCTGCTCAGGTGATTCCGGAGGGCCGGTGATTGTATATGCCAATGACAATCTCAATCGGCCGATCCAAATTGGACTGGTGAGCTTCGGTCGGAGTGACGGATGCGACACTGGACCTCAAGGATTCGTTGACATCGCCAAATACCGTGCTTGGATATCAGAAACAACGATTCCGATCGGGGATATTGTCAATACGCTGCTTGACTCTGTAGATAATCTGCTTGGAGGACTTCTTTAAAATTCCCAGGCATTTGCCTCCATCTAATAAAGACCTTTGCTGAGCATGAAAGTAAATCTTCCAGTTCTTGCGCATCTTTTATCGATGATTCTTCATTTGTTCTAGTGAATCTACAGGCGAACTGGCATTAGAATTTAGTATCCTTGCCCAAATAAAGGCTTTACACACACTAGAAAACTGACAGAAATGCAAAATTTCTGCAAAAATTGAAATAATGGTGGAAGATTGTGAACAAATCTATTGCAACTGTGTAAGGAAAGTAAGTTTAACTCAAAATAAGGGAAAAGGGAAGAAACAGGAGATAAATTAAACGCTCTAGAATCTAGAGGATGAAGAATTTCCATTATTTAAGGATTCATCTTAACGTTTTGATTCCGAAAGAATACTAAAAACTCTTAAAAATCGACTTAGCTGAGTGAATTTCTCCAAAATCTCACGTCTAAGCGCATTGATTCGAGATCCTGGATAGATAAAATAATCCTGATCCTTCAGCGAGACTAAATGGACTCAATCGAGGCTCATTTCTGAGCATTTGCTGAGACTCTTGCAAAGGATTCGGCCTTACCTTGTCATAGGTGGATGTGGAGCACATCTTGCCGCACTCCTCGCACTGCTTGAACTCCTTGGGGCGCTTCTTGCCGCTCTCGGCCAGCGGCACTCCGCCGTCGTGGCTCTTCATGTGCGCCAGCAGCTTCTGCTTCTTGCGGAACTCCTTGGAGCAGAACTCGCAGGTGTACTTGTCGCCCGTGTCGTGGGAATTGGCGATGTGCCTCCGCAGATTGCTGAGGTACAGGAATGACTTCATGCAGATGTCGCACTTGAACTTGAGGTTCTCCTTCTTCTTGTCCGCGTGCGTCTCTTTGTGCCGTTGATACGATGATAGCCACTTGAAGGACTCGTCGCAGCCGCCGTACTGGCACTTGTAGCGCTTTGTGTCCATATGGCAGGTCTGGTGCTGATCCAGGCGTGAGAAGTTGGCGAAGAACTTGCCGCAGAACTCACAGATGAGCTTCTTGGCTGTGTGTCGGCGCTTCTTCTCGTGACTCCGCATGTGCTTTATCAGCTCCCGCCTCAGACACTTGTGGTCGCAGATCACGCATGCCACGAACAGACTCTGGGTGACTACGGGCTCCTCAGTTGCGGGTTTGCTCTCGTCGTCCTCCAGCTTCGTCTCGACGTTGCCCAAGAACTCCGCCATCGGCTCATCGTCTACAACTTCGCACAACTCCTTCGGTGAGGCGACTGGGGAGTCATCGGCGTCATGGGGCAGCGCCGGGAAGTCATCAAAGTACTCCTCCTCCGCCTCAGACTTCACATTAATGCCATCCTGTTTGTCCTCCGGAATGTCAGGCGCTTCCAGCTCTGTCTTCACGCACACCAGCTCAATCTCCAAGGGAGAACTCTCGAACTTGGTTCTCTCCCCAGAATACACGCTGGGACACTTCAGGACACTCCCAGTCTCCTCGAATAGCCTGATAACCTCCACGAGAACGGCTTTGGAGAAATTCGGGCTGTCGCTGCAGCCCCCATAGTAGTCCTCGTAGTTATTCTTCACGCACGCATAGTCACCCAACTCCTGATAGAACTGTTTCACCAGGAAAATCCTGTGCTTCAGGCTGTACAGGTCCAGAGAAGTCCTCATCTTTTCCTGCCTGCCAGAAACATAAACAAAAACACTTCAAGGCTGTCAATGGGAAACCACACAAATGCAGACATAGTGCAATGTGCATTTGAAGTGCTTACTTTCTATGTTTTCCAGCTGTCATTCGAGAGACGCAAAAGCGCAGCAAAAACATTAGGAAAAAAAATCAATTTCTCCAGCGTCAACATGGAAAAGGTAAGACAATTTCCATCTTATGCCTGTGCTGAGCTTACTTCTGTTCCTCTCCAGAATCCAGAGGCTGCAGAAAAGCGACTGTGGATCGGGAATCTCGACACGAGAGTGACTGAGTAAGTATAATGGGGTGAAATTTGTGACGCTCCTCGGCTAACTTTCTCCTTTCTTTCCAATTTATCGGTATCAACTCGTGAAAATTCTGCAAAAATACGGTGATATCGAAAACTTTGAACTGGTATACCATCGCACGGGACCCCAAGCCGGTCAGTCCAGAGGATACGCCTTCGTGACGTACAAAACCGTGAGTTGCTCGAGATCTTCCGGAAGGGAATCTCCTGACATTCTCTCCCCTCTTTTTGCACATTGCAGAGACAAAACGCTGCCACGGCGATACAGAAACTCACCGGGAAGCAGATTGACGGACGGAGCATAGCTGTGGGCCTGGCGAAGACGTTCAGTGAGAACGAAGACAGGTTCAAGACGAGAATCGAAATTCCCGCCCTTGGAGGGGCAGCCGGAAGCTCATCAGGCGCATCTGTGGACAGGAAGAAGATTGCCATTCAGGCAATTGAGGCGAAGCTCAAAGTGCTGGAATCTCAGCGGTCAGGAGATGACTTCGAGGTGAACAAGAGTGTCTCCAGTGAAGCTTCACTTATTCAGCGTTACCAGTTCAACAAGGGACAGGAGAGATCTCACAGAGGCACTCTGGCCAGTCGCCAGAGGCAGAGACACAAACATTCCGGACCTTATCATCGGCACACGAAGCGCTGAGGCTCTTTTATTACCATCTAAACCTAGAGAATCTAAATAAAAATTTTCCGTGTTCAATCCTTCTTATTCTTGAATTTGCCGCGCATGTGATAGGGAAGGGGAACAACGCCCGGACACGGCACCTGTCCGGGAATGGTGCACATGCATGGTTTCGCGCAGAAATAGCCGAAATTGGCCGGATTGTCCTGCTTCTCAGCCATTCTCGCTTCCTCCCGCAGAATCTCCTGCGATTTCCCCAGTACTTTTATCACGTGCGCATCAATCTCATCTCTTGTCTTGCTGTCGATATCGATGATCATGTCCTTTCCATCCTCTGCAATTAGAAAAGATTTCTTTTCTCAGGAATTCATGGAGTTGAAAGCGAAGAAGACATACCAAAATAGCACCGGATGAATGGCGATGGTGTCATATTCTTAAATGTAATTACTTGAACATCCGGATTTTTGTACTGCACTTGAGGCAAGTTCCAGAACACGAAATCCCTGTGGAGAAAATGAGAGAAATGTGAGAAACAGCCGGGATTTGGGGCCATGAGTGCACTTGCCTGGCGCCCTTGTGATGATGTCCGAAAGTGTTGTAGTTTATACTGAAAATTCTCACATTCTTCTTAAACACCAGTTTTCCAGCGGTGAGATATTGCATTGTCCTGCGAACAGGAGCTCTTCCCCTCATAAACGGCATCCCGATGTCCTGGTTTTACCTATTTTCACACTGAAAATGCTCCAACAACACACCTAACCTCACAATATCTCCCAATTCGCCGCGTGCGCCAGCGCCTCTCGTAGTCAGCACGCCAAGTTGTTGTGATGGCGAGTTTAGTTGACGTCATAGATTTGAGGCAGCGATAAAAATAATTAAGTCATTTTATTGCGATTTTCCGTCTGAAATTGCCTGGAAAATGCGCGAAAGACACGGCAAAGTGAATTGAGGACGCCAGGTGAGCGGACGAATGTGGAGGTATTTGCGAAATAGCAAGTTTTCGTGTGTTTTTCAGCCAGAGTTCAAATGAGGTCAACGCATTGAAGCTTTGCGGGAGTGCGACGCAGAAGGAGGGCTTTTTGGGGCTCCGTTTGACGAGATAACAATGCCCAGTTGACGACATAGCAGCTCGATCAGATGCGCAGGAGGAAGAAAATGACGGCGAGTGTCTTTCGGGCGCGCTGGTGGCTCCTGGCGGTACTCTTCGCCACGGCGCTCGCCCACGATCCGTGCACGAACTCCTCGGCGCCCCATCGCGTGGAGGTGGAGTTCACCACGAAGATCGTGAAAAATGAGTACATTGTGGCCTTTGACGGATACTACAGGCCCTCGACGCGGGAGAACTACCTCAAGGCGGCGCTGAATGGCTCTCGCGTGTCCAATTGGCGAATTCTCTCGCGCTCGAATCCCGCCAGCGACTTTCCCAGTGACTTCGATGTGATCATCCTGGAGGAGTATGAGCCCTTCGAGGGGCTGCAGCTGATCAAGAGTCACCCGTCGGTGAAGAGTGTCACGCCACAGCGAATGGTGCATCGCTCGCTGAAGTTCGTGCCACTCTCGGCGGCGGAGCTCGATGAGGAGACGCTGCCGGACGAGCTGGATGGTGAGGATGTGGACGAGGAGTTGATTCGGGAGCTGGAGCGGACAACTTCGGTCACAGGACGTCACTTGACTGCCACAAATGACACGAATAGACACATAAACAGACGATTGTTGCGCGCAATTCCGCGACAGATCTCATCGCTGCTCAAGGCGGACGTCCTGTGGGGCCTGGGCGTCACTGGCAGGGGCATCAAGGTGGCCATCTTCGACACGGGTCTGGCGAAATCCCATCCGCACTTCAAGCGAATCAAGGAGCGCACGAATTGGACAAACGAGAAGAGTCTCGACGATGGCGTGAGTCACGGAACCTTCGTGGCTGGCGTAATTGCGTCGTCCAAGGAGTGCTTGGGCTTCGCTCCCGACGCCGAACTGCACATCTACAGGGTGTTCACAAACAATCAAGTGTCGTACACGAGTTGGTTTTTGGACGCCTTCAATTACGCCATCCTGAAGAAGATCAACATTCTCAACTTGAGCATCGGCGGACCGGATTTTCTGGATCATCCCTTCGTGGACAAGGTGAGCATTACACTTTCCCTTTGTGTCGTGCAAACAAAGGGAAATTGGCGTTGTGGCGCAAGAGAGAGAGAGAGAGAAATAGAGCGAAAAGAGAGGTGACGACAGGTCAAGTAAATATTTTCCTTCTGATTTCGGCATGAGGGCTTTTGTGTACACAAAAGCGTAAGAGAGATTCATTGATGGGGGGAAAGCCGTATTTGCATTTTGAGTCGTGCGTATTTGTTTTCGTGTGCCGATGAGCTCATAAAGACTTCATTTGCCAGCAAGTGAAGTCACATTCCGATAAAAGAGGACTTCTTAATGGGATCGTATTGGAAGCTTTCTGAGTGGTTCTTATTGGCATTTGTCACTTCAGTCACTTCAAGATGAACTTTAGAGCCAAATTGAAGAGTCATTCTTGCGCCTCGGAGGCTAGAATTGACGGTGATTCTTTTTTGTCTTGCAGGTTCTGGAATTGACCGCCAATAAAGTCATCATGGTGTCGGCGATTGGCAATGATGGGCCTCTTTACGGGACGCTGAACAATCCGGGCGACCAAAGCGACGTGATCGGCGTCGGCGGGATTAACTTCGAGGACAACATCGCCAAGTTCAGCTCGCGCGGCATGACGACGTGGGAGCTGCCCGGCGGCTACGGACGCCTGAAGCCGGACATCGTGACGTACGGGAGTCAGGTGAAGGGCAGCAATGTGAAGGGCGGTTGCCGGTCGCTGTCCGGGACGTCAGTGGCGTCTCCGGTGGTGGCGGGCGCCGTGGCGCTGCTGGCCAGCGGTGTGCTGCACAAGATGGACTATGTGAATCCGTCGTCGATGAAGCAGGCGCTGATTGAGGGCGCCACGCGCCTCCCGGACAGCAACATGTTCGAACAGGGCCATGGGAAGCTGAACATCCTGAAGAGCATGAAGCTGCTGTCGTCGTACAAGCCGCGCGTGACGCTGAGTCCGCCGTACTTGGACTTCACGGAGGACTACATGTGGCCGTACAACACGCAGGCGCTGTTCTTCACCAGCCAGCCGGCGATCGCCAATGTCACCATTCTCAACGGCATGGGTGTGATTGGGCGCGTCGTGACGCCACCCACGTGGCATCCGTACACCTCGGCGCACGGGAATCTGCTCAACGTGTCCATCGGACACTCAGAGATCCTCTGGCCGTGGTCAGGTTGGCTCTCCGTGCACATGCAAGTGACTGAAGCGGGCGCGGCGTTCGAGGGCGTGGCGCAGGGACACATAACGCTCACGGTACAGAGTCCAGCCGCTGGTGATGAGGCTGAGCCGCGCAACAGCACCGTGAGCTTCCCGATGAGAGTGCGCATCATCCCGAAGCCGCCGCGCGACAAGCGAATCCTCTGGGATCAGTATCACAGTCTGCGTTATCCGCCCGGTTATCTGCCCAGGGACAATCTGAAGATCAAGGCGGATCCGTTGGACTGGCGTGCGGATCACATTCACACAAACTTCCGGGACATGTACACACACTTGAGGAACGCTGGCTACTATGTGGAAGTCCTGGGCGTGCCTTTCACGTGCTTCAACGCCTCCAACTACGGCACGCTGCTGATTGTGGATCCGGAGGAGGAGTTCTTCCCGGAGGAGATTGCCAAGCTGAAGCGTGACGTGCTGGAAATAGATCTGAGTGTGATTGTATTCGCCGATTGGTACAACACGAGCATCATGCGGAAGATTAAGTTCTACGACGAGAACACGCGCCAGTGGTGGATGCCGGACACGGGCGGCGCCAACATTCCGGCGCTCAATGAGCTGCTGCGCGAGTTCAACGTCACGCTGGGCGATCGCGTGAGCGAGGGCTACTTCGCGATGGGCGACCACTCGATGTATTACGCCAGCGGAGCGTCTCTCGTGCGCTTCCCGCAGACGCCGGGATCGATTGTGATTGAGCGCGATCTGTACGATCAGGGCGTGGAGATTCTCAACAACGTCACGGGCGCGTCTGAGGACACGCAGAAGCGTCGCGTGAGATCGCCGGTCGCTGTGCTGGGACTGCTGCAGGTGGACGGGACGTTTGCGCACATCAAGCACACGGACGGACAGGATGTGCACCACGAGGGTGAGGATGCGGATGTGTACAGAGATGTGGGCGATGTGCTGCAGATGGAGAAGAATCCCATTCTGAACAAGAGGACACTGCTGGAAGCGCAACCGGAGGAGCGCAGCAATGCCTCGGAGAAGCACATCCTGAAGGCTGTGGACGTTGTGGATGCGGGTGAGAATGAGATTAGCGATGCTGAGGAGGATGACAAGACGCTGGAAGTGGCTCAAGTGAAGGACGAGCTGAAGATTCTGCCGCACACGAGCGTGCGCAAAGGCGGCCGGATTGCCGTGTATGGCGACAGCAATTGCCTGGACTCGACGCACCTGGAGAAGCCGTGCTTCTGGCTGCTGGACATGCTGCTGGAGTACACAATGACGTCCCACGTGGCGGGACTGCTCAGTGGGTTAAATCAATCCGGGAAGGTTCATTTTCGCCAAGGTTTGATTCAATAATTGTGCCACTTTAGTCGTCAATTGAGCTAAATTCTTGCTCCCTTTTTCCTGCCTTGCAGATGTGATACTGCCCGCGCGGCTGCCCAACAACAATCTGCACATGTACTCGAAGGTGCTGGACCATCAGAATGCCAACAGGAAGCGCGACATTCCGGCGTGTCCGCGTCTGGTGTGGGAGAATCCCATTTTCCTCAACATCACGCAGTCGATTGGGCTGCAGGGTGGTGTGGCGAATGGGGTGTCCGCCGAGGGTGGTGTGGTCGGGGAAAATAGTGCCAATAGTATTCTCCGGAAGCTGGAGAGCCAAAAAGGTGAGGTACGTAGTTTGTCAGCCCTGCATGTGCCCGGAAATGTCCCACTTTGCTGCCCTCTTTGGCTCATGCCGTGTCTTCTGCAGGTGGTGGCGTGAATCCGGACGAGGTGGATGTGGGTCTGCTGCAGACACAGTGGCGTGGCGGTCACGAGGACCCGGCGAACGCTGCCGATGAGCCTGGTGCAATTGTCAAGGAGAATCTGGAGGAGAGCTTCAGTGTCTCCATCGTGATTCTCCTGCTGCTGACACTCGTGGTGTTCCTGCTGTTTATCAATTGGGTGAGACGCGCGCGGGGCGCCGCGAGTCGAGTGCGCAATACGTATTTCTTTAACATTTTGAGACTATGAGTGATAAGAACGATAAGAGAAGTCGAGAGGAATGTGCGCTAGAGTGAATGTGCTGAGAACCAAATGTCACAATTGCACGATATGTAAGCTTCAGACGATTCAATTATCTTCGGGTTATTTTTTTTTAAATAAAATTCAGTAGAAATTGAAGAGAAAATATGATCTTTTGTTATTATTCAAGCGATTTTTAAGCACTTTTAAGCCATGCTTTGATGGGCAGTTATTCTTTAAAATTAACATTCTTTCGAGCGACATCTGGCAGCGAGTGTAGTAAAGTGCACAGATCTGTGAATGTCAGTGAGAATTGTTGTGTTTTCTCCTCGACAAAAATGACTCTGGACGCGAAAATACAGCAGGAATACAAAATCCTGGCAGAATAGTAAGTTCCCGGATGACTCAAGCTTACGCTCGAGGTGTGATTAACCCGAATCCCTGTGTTTGTTTTGCAGTAAAATGCTGATGAGTGAAAACTTGAGGGGAGTTTATGTGATTCCTTCTCACGACAATCCTCTTCGTGAGTATAAAAGATTTTTCTGCTAATCTCCAGAAGGATTAATAACCCTTTCCCTTTGCAGACTGGTTTGGGGTGATTTTCGTGCGAGAAGGACTGTATAGAGAGGGAATCTTTCGCTTTTCCATCACCTTTCCGGACACTTTTCCAAACAGTTCGCGAGCGCCTGTGAGTATGCAGAACTGAAGGGCGCGAAATTGAAATTCACACATTTGCGCATATTTTGCAGGTGATTGAGTTCAAATCCGAGGTGTTTCATCCGTTTATCCGACCAGAAACACGACAGCTGGACACGAGGGACGCTTTTCCCGACTGGGATTCATCGTGTCATCTGTGGCAATTGCTAAAATACGTGATTTATGTGCTGGAACAGCCGGAAGTTTGTCTCAGTTCTTCGCTAATTGAGCAGGAAGCTCAGGAGGATGCGATGGGTGGCAGGAATCGAGAGGCTCTGGAGATGCTGAAGCACAATCGGGCAGACTTTGTGGCCAGCGTGAAGAAGTGCGTGCAGGAGAGCCAGGAGAGAGTGTACGAGAATGTGGACGGTGAGGATAAGCATGCAATTGTATTTGAGGCTTGGGATCAGAATGTTCACCAGGGCATTCTGGAGAAGATCAAGAGTAATCAGCCACTAGAGACGATCCTGCAGACACAAACGGCGACAAACACGGGAATATTTCCATAGAACACTATTAAATTTCTCTCTTTTTCTAATAATCTCGCCTGAGTTTGCGATCCTTCTGTCGCTGCGCTTGGATGATCTTCCTCGCCACATCTGTCATGGCTATGATGAAAACGGAGAAGAAGAGAATGGCGCCGATGGTGGAGAAGGTCTTGAAGCCTGGATAGATTGGGCCGGGATTCTGGAAGAGGGAAATCGGTGGATTTTCCGTGGACGGCGGAATGTAGATTGGAGGGAGAGTTGGACTCTTGGTGATTTCATGGGGCGCCTTGGGCCCTCCTCCGCTTCCCGGTGTGTCGATGTGGATGGACACTGTCTCCTCGGGACGCACGTCCATCACTCCAGTCTCGATGCACTGAAACGCGAAGGGAATGATGAGAAAAAGGGCTCAGCGGATGTGCTGGAGAAGTCTTACCGACGTCTGAACGTCACCCTCTTCGATCTTGTCCACTCCCTGATCATCCCGAGCGTAGATTGTGGTCAGTTTGGCGGACATGTGGATGACGGACAAAGTCTCAGTGCCAACGACGCGCACCATCGCGGACGTGCTGGCCGGGAGTCTCTTCACCACGGACACGATGCCGGACTGCATCTTCTTCGTCACCTCGCCGACTGTGTACCTCAGCGTGCCCTGATCCTCGTGCAGGATGATGGGCACGCCGGCCGCGAGTCCCTCGAGCAGCGTTATGTTGATCTTCTTCTCGAAGTCGAAGCGCACGAGTGCCTCGACGAAGTCCGTCTTATGCTGGGCATTGGTGAGATTCACAGAGGTCAGGACTGTCTGGTTCAGGAAGGTCACGTTGCGCCACCGATCGTACACGATGTTGGTCAGTTCGTAAGCCACAGGAAGGCGCTCCAGCAGGACCTCCTTCACGTCAACTGCCGCCTCTTCGCTGGAAAGAGAAGATTAGTTTGTGATCTTATCTTCTATTGAGCCGCGCCTACTTTATTAGTTTTAAACGTCATAAATGCCGTCATAAAGACACTTCCGGGAGTGTTTTAAACTCTCTTTTTCTAGTGCAGGAGTTTGCCTTCGATTTTACACTAAATTCCGAAAGTTCTTTGCGGTTTAACGCATTTAACTCAGCACTGAACAGCCAATTATTGAGCTGAATGAATTCCAGCTGGAGCTGGGCCAGGATGAAGTTTCACTTTGGCACTTTTGCATACCTTTTCTCGCTGTTCAGGCAACTGGCTGACGTGATGTTGAGCCTGCAGATGTTCCCGGTGATGTCCCGCCCCACGAACACGTTCGCCTCACTCAGCTGGTTGATCAGTGGCCTCAGCGTGAAGTGGAAGTCCTTCCAGGCGATCCACGTAAACAGTCCGGGCGTTTTTGTGCCTCCTTCAGTGCAAATATCACGGTTTCCGAACTCTGTCTGCTTGGCAGTGAGGATTTGCACTTCCGCTGGCGCCTCTTCATCTGTCGTGCAGAGGACTTTGAGGATCTCCACGTCAGCAGGAGTGGTCAAATTGGCGGGAACTTTGCATTCTGTGCTGACGCGATTGTTGATCTCGAAGGAGGCTTTCAGGAGGCAGAAGTCATCGGCAAAAATGACGGGCAAGAGGGTGAGCAGCACAAGGACACTCTTCATGTTTCTGGACACCAGGTGTGGATCTGTTCGGCGTGAGTTGCTGCCTTAGAATGATGGCAGGAAGTTTTTGCTGGAGTTTGTCACAATGTAGCGGCAAAATCTCAAGAGCACTTGTATTTGAGGAGAATTAGAGAATCAGAGTTTCGCAGTGAATTTGTGGACAGAAGATACTCACCAGCAAGTGGAGGGTTGCACAAGAGTGAGCCAATTGATATCAAGGTGACGAACTAAATGAGAATGGCAGAGAAAAATCAATCCGTCGATTGTGTAAATCTTATCAGGCTCAAGTAAATCCCGAGGCGCGAAGAAGACTGCGTCACATTAGCGTTTTCGGTTGATATAGCGGGTATAAAACTCTTTTTTCCACGTTCACAATCCAATCAATTGATAAGAATGAGGCAAAATTGAAGACATTCTCACCTTCGCGAGCAGCTGCGATAGTGTGCAAGCGGCCGTTGATTTGCTGACGGCGAATCGACACAGAGGCGAGATGGCGCTGGCGTGGCAATTTCGCTGCTTTGGCTCTTCGCCGCCACACGTCATTCTCCAGTTTTTCCTCGGTGTTGCGAGCGAGTGTGAGTGCGTGATTGCTGGGCGAGAGGAAAAGCATCAAAAAGTGTGATTTCCCGTGGTGAGGGTCAGTTTAGAATCACATCAGGTGCCTCAAGGTGTTCCCGTGAGCTGGATAAGTGGTGCGTCCGGACGCGGAATCGGTGCAAAAGGGTGCTAAAAGAGCGTGTCTTTCCGCGGTCATCCACACAATGACGGCCATTGTGCTCGAGTGAATGAGGCGACGGAAAAAAGTGCTTCTGGGCGAGACGTCTTGGGCAGAATCATCATCTGATGGTGCACACTGGAGCAGCCACACACGGCGGGCGGAAAAAGAGAAAGTTTATCGCGAGACTGCGAGGAAATTGAGGTGGAAAAGGAGACGGAATTTTCGGGGGCGCGCGCACACACAAATTTGCCAACTTTGGCAAAGGCACGGAGGCAGGAAAAATCAATTTTTCCCACGGAATTGCGCCACTCTTGTGGGCCCTGTGGCGCTGCCGTTGCTCACACGCGGAAAGGAGGCCAGCGTGAGTGGTTCAGGTGAGAATGACACACAGTGAATCCCTTTTTCTTGCCCTGGGAAAAAAACAATCGCGACTCTCTCTGTTTCGAGACTCTTGGGGAACATTCTGGGGGAGATTGTGGCTCCCCGGGGACTCCCTGCGCAATCTGCCAATGGTGGAGCTTATCGTGGCGATTCACAACAAAAGATTAGTGGTGGATTTTCCGCAATTGAGCGGCCTAGATAAGGCGGTATTTGCAGAAGCTTTGCAAATATTAATGCACTTTTTCTCGTCTTCTTTCCGGAACAAACAGACAATTTCCTGTCGCAATTTCTGCTCTGAATTGCTAAGCATTCAATCTCTGACAAATTACATCATCAATATTTCTCTGTGGCGATGAAAGTGAGTGAATTATTGAGGTTTGCGTGAATCTTCTAACTTCTGAGGTAAATTCTTAGGCTAATTTAGCCTTTGGATAAGACAGGAAATCTCACCTAATCCGTATTTTCAGTTTCCAATTGGATTTTGTTTGCAGTTCCTAAAAAATCTTGCTTTCTCCAATAAGCTTTCGCTTATCAATTTCACTGATAAAAACAGATAGATAAAATGATTAAGGTGGAAATAAGCTGGCAAATTGTGGCTTCACAGACGGCTTTGAAACCAATTTCGATTTATCTGTTAATGCAAATAATAGAAGATAAATAATAATAACTATTAAGAGCTGAGAATTAATTTAGGAAAATGTTAATCTAGCACTTGAATATGTAAAGGAAAAATATTATTAACTCAAAAAAAAAGTTAGCGTTTAGAATCGTTTTCTTCTTATTCATGTGAAATTGTTACACAATTAATTGAAATTCACTTATTTTTGTATGATAAAATTGAAGAGAAGGAATTTTTATGATTTTCTTCAGTGAATAATTGACTTGAATTTCCTAAATTTGTGCTTTTTCGGTCAAATTTCTCTGATTATTGAACAGCAAAAAAAATTTCTTACTAGACATTTTGGGACTTAAACTTACAACATTCAATGAAATGTATGCGTAAAGTGAGTTGTAACAGTTTGTTTGTTTTTTTCCAAGGAAAATGTTGCACAATCATCAACCAATCAATCTCTAGACGTAAAAATGAGAGTTCAATCGTCTGTAGATCTCGTATTATCAAATGACACGAGTGTGTGATTCAAATGAGGTTTTTCTGTGGGAAAAATCCACTGTTCAATTGATTACTGAGCTAAGATTCTGGTCACATTTAGAGTGAGATTCGCTTGACAATTTTGTGCCCTGTGTGTGATTGTGTATGGCAAGAGCGTGAAGAATTGGCAGTTTTCCCAAAAATTCACACCCAATGAATTTTCAATCAAGGTTATATTGTAATATTGCGAGATATTCATTACGATTTCTTCCTCAATTTCATCACATCGTTCCTTTTTCGCCTATCAGTTCAGCGACTGTGGGAATTCCAGATAGCGAATTGACCCGCGCGAGTTCCAGGGATAACGAGTCACACAATTGCGGTGTACATTTGCATTTCCCCAGTGATTTTGTGTTTTTGTGTGTGTGTGTTTCTCTGTTGGTAGAATTGATGGAAAATCATGGTCGCAAGTGTCAATTTCAAGGGTCACATCTCAAGGGAAAAGTTCAAATTGTGAGCCAGCAAGAGAGGGGTGAATTTTAGCATTTCACAGCATGTTATATGTGAATTTCCATGGTGTGTGACAATCAGAAAATTGTGCACGAACGAGGGAAAATGTCACGACACATTGTGGATTGAATGCTAAATGATTGGGCTTGCGAGAGAGTGGTGGAGAAAAGAAGTTTTTCCCACCAACCAAGACCAGCTTTTATAGGGGAATGAATCATAAATCATGGCAATGGACAAAAAAACGACCATTGAATCTCGCACAGCAATTTTCCTCAACTGATAATTCTCTCAGCTTGGAGCGTCTTCAACTGTGTGAGTGATAAAAGTGTGCCCGGCAATCAGTCTGGGGCAGGGAAATAATATAAAAGTGACCAGAGAGAATTAGAGTTGATAAAGAGGCAATCAACTTTTACGGAGTTGATTATCACTGGGCGAACACAAGTTCACACACTTTCAATTTTGAATCCAATTGCGTCGCCCGTGGCGTGAGGAATTTCCCAAGAGTGTCTCTTATTTGTGGAGTGATTTTTGGTTGGAAGAATCTGACTGGCGATGAAGAAGATTTGTCAATTGTGAGACAGCATTTAAAGGAAAGCATCTTGAAATGAAAGGTCGAGGAGAGAAATAATATCAAGACACTTCGATTATCTTTATTGCAGCCTCGTGATTACCAATTTATCTCTCTCTCTCTCTCTGTGTAATAATAAAATAAAACTCTTGTCACATGAATTTTCGGGAGAAAAATCAAACTCCATTTTCTGTCCTTGGGCGAAGGAAAAGAGTTCTTCTATATTGCAAACGGGTTTGTGCAGTGCAAACAGAAGAGAAGAATTATTATACTGCAATGTTATTGTCAATATTTGCCTGTTTACACTTTATAGGGGTCTGTAAAGATATGACTTAGGAGATTTAAAGATAACAATAGTGTGTGGTTTAAGATGTCCTCTAAACATAAACAAACCAAGTCATTAGGTGAAAAGTGTACAGCAAGAAAGGACTTGTTATCTTGGCTGTTGAAATCCACACACATCAGTTTGTGATAAGAAAATGTGACACGATGAAAATGCACCTGAAAATGCGTCACAAGTTGATTCTCTAATAATCACATGACCTTCCCAAGATTGTTTGAGAAGGTAAGAAAAGAAAAAAAAAGAGTGGGAAAATGATAAGAAAGCGTGAGTCTCTCTCTCAAATAAGTTTTTAAGTGTGGATTTTTAGATAAATTACATTTACAATTGATTGTAATAATGAATCACTGGCAAATGAGCGGTTGAAGGTGAAATTGGAGGTAGAGAGAAAAAAAATGCCAAATTGGGAGTGTAATTTGAAATAATTCGATTGACGTCAAAGTGATGAGATGTTTTGGGGCTGGGAAATTATTCAATTGATGATATATAACTCCGTCAATGGCATCAAATCTTCTTCATTTTCTCAACACACCCGCGCGAAGCCGTACGCATTGAAAATGTGAATTGAGCAGTGAGTGAAGAAGAGAGAGAGAGAAAAGAAGGCCAGTTAATGTGTGAGTCACACGAAGAAACTCTAAAAGCTCCGCATTTGTGGCTTTATTAATTGTATCGTCTCTCTTGTGCGGGAGGGAAAAGTTTCCTTTATAGCCTTTTTGTCATTTTGTCTGATGGTCGCGTTTTGTGAAAGACTTTTCTGCACGCAGGATCGCGTTATTTGGGCTCTTGGTTGTGTGTTTGTTTTTTTTCTGTGTTGTTTTTCCTCTCGTGAAGCTTATCTAATCACCTTTCTTTTGGGTTGGATGAAAAGTTTCGGAAATTTCATGTGATTTTTCTGTTGTTTACACACACTGGAATATTCATGGATTCATTTCATTTTGGATTATGGTGAACTTGCGTAGGAGTGAGCTTGTGAGGAAAATGTCTTGACGCTGTGGGAAAAGTGAGAAATATTGATTGGGAAATTAGATTAGATGTTATGTAAAGGTTAAATCATGTTAACAAATTGACGAAGATTCTTTCCGGTGTCAAGGAAATTACTTGATTTGTTCAGATAACTTGAGTGGTTGACTTATTAGGCATTGATTTTTCTATTTTTATAAAGCTAGATTGCTATTAGAAAATTTCATTTGATTTCCCCAATCAGAGAAATGGGAAAGAATATTTTCCACTGCAGAAGAATGTGAAAGAGATTTCATTGGGGGGGAGCAAAAGAAAAGAAAGGATTACCCTTGAATTGTGGTGGATCATAAATTTTCATTTCACCTCCAAGAATTCCAGGGAAAATTGCCACGTGCGAAGCACAATTTAATCTTCTTCTTCTTCACCCATCCTATTGAACGTGAGAATTCTGTGAAATTGCCACCGCAATCGTGCTTTTTCTGTAAAGAAAATAAAAAAAAAAACATGAGGGCGTTTTCCACGAAGAAAAATATCAATTTGCCTCCCTCGGTTTTCTTCTCTCTCTGTGTGCTTGACGCTGAAGAAACTTTTAGTGTTCATCAACTATTTCCTCTTCTCTTCGCGGTATTTTTCCACTCTTTTGTGAGTCTTTCTCACCACATGCGAATTTCTTATCGACAATTCTCGCGTGCGAGTGAGAGAGAGGGGGAGAGAGAATTACCCCACTGGTGGGTGTTTTTTTTTCTCTTTCTTTCAGAGGTGAGAGTTGAGAATTGCCATTAAGAACTTTTCCACTATTTATGTTTCTTCACATTCATTGGGTCGATGGTGTATTTTTCCAACGCATATTTGTATGTATATAAATCAATTGATTGTCTGACTTTCTTGGCTATTGAGAAGGAGACTCTCCTTGTGGTGGCAGTTTTTGAGCATAGGAAAAAAGAGAGCGCGTCTGGTGGGGAAATAAAACATGAATATAATGTGTATTTTTGTATTATTTCAGATGTGAAGGCGAAAAAAAAGTTCTTCGCAACTCTCAGGGGTCATTGGAGTGCAGTGAGTGAAGAAATACGAATAAATTTCCACTTGTGCGCGTGAAAAAAGAAGAGAAGAAGTGTGAAGAAAAACAAGGACGGAAGAGTGACGAAGTGTCGGTGAAATTTAGAAGAGGAGAAACTCCTCGCCAAACATTTGTGTTTTGTGTGACAATTGTGTGTGTGTGTGATTTCGCAGAGTTCTTGTGTTCGTCCTGAGAGGAACAATTGCGGGAAAGGGCGAAATATCACGTGACAGCAGGGAATGGTGTATTTGGTGGATAGTTGGGGCATGGGAGATTCTGATTGTGCGCCATATCACAAGCATGGTCCAAAAATACAGCAACATCATCACACGGGCTTCCATCAGCAGCAGCAGCAGTTGCATGAGAAGCAGCACTTGGTGTCTGTTGTGAAGAATGATCGTGTTAAGGCGTCGAGATCACAATTAGCCGTCAATGATGTTGCCAATGAAAAGGACGAGATTGCCATTCATCCACTCACGAATCAGGTGAGCAAAAATTGTGCGTCATGGAATTCACCCAAAACAACCGACTTACTTTTGATCATTGAGTCATCGTCGCGCGCACTCGCGCGTTTTTTCCATAGTTTGTCCACAATATATTGATCTGGATTTCCTGAAACCGCTTTTTTTACAATACAAAATGATCTCTTTTGAATAGCATCATTCTGAGACACAAAACAAGTTTAGTAGGCATTATTTGTCAATTCTGTGGATCATTTGGTTAATTGAGCGATTTGTTTTTTGTAGAAGAGTGTTTTGGAGAAAAAAAAAACAGCCGAGAGTTATTTATTATTGACTTTTTATCATAAATTCTGTCAGGAAGAGATCAAGCTGCAGAATAATGTTGCGATAAAAGACCAACAAACTGTTTGACGTCGATTTCATGCTGAAAAATTGACCTGAAATTGCTTCTTACGTGCATAGAATTTCACTGCTTCTTCTCAGGTTTATCCATTCGTTTCTCTCTGGGCTTTTCAAGGTCTCTAAAATAATCTATTGTGCCTTCTATTGGTTAATTATCATCTTGATTTCTTCCCTCCACTGAATTCTTCGGTGCTTTTTCCACGAAATCTTCATCTGTGATCTCTCAAAGTGATCTTTAGAGGTTTGCGAATGAATGGTTTTTTTTTCTCATGAAGAAATCACCTTTCTATAATAAGAGATGATTATTTCTCGTGAAATAACATCACACAGCAATTCAATGGAATGTCCAGAATTGTGTTTGTATTTGTTGTCTGAGACAATTGACCTCTGTGGCTGAAATATCACAAGATCATTGTCGCTTTGCTTTGCGGGTCAAGAGTGATTCACTCCACACACATCTTTGGTGAAATTTGTTGGGAAAATTGCCAGAATTTTCTGATCTAATACAATGTTTTTGCTGTTGATTTTGAGAGTTTGAAAATGTTGAGAAATTGGCATAAAAGTAGTTGATTTTTTGTCTTAATTAGGATACATTTTTCCCCATTTAGATTTGCATCTTGCGATCATGAGAAATTCTTCTCAGCAGACTTGAAAAGCACACGATTTTGGCCATTTTTTTGGCATTCTTTGGGGCAACATTCTTCGCATAAACGCAATTTCTGGCAACTGTTGGTGTTGTCAAGTGGTCAGAAAACAAATCACTTCAGTGTGAAATTTTATTGACAACTCTTGCCACAGTTTTCCAATAAACACAGAGCTTGAGCGCTTATATTGAAGAAGTCACGGTGAAATATGTATTTACATGTTTTCCTCTCTGATAAATATTTCTCTTTGCGGAGAACCTTGAGCGAATTGCTGAAATGATTACGATTAGTGTTTTCGGTTTGCTTTCGTGGCTTGAAATTGGTTTTTTGGGACTTAAAATTGATGCTTAGCATTGAGAAGGAGGAAAATGTAATGTTGATCTTCCACAGGAATGTGCTAATATTCATAAAGAGCAGAAATTTGTGATAATTTCGCGTAATGACTCTTGAGAATTGATAAAAACGACATATTGTGATTGATGATGGGTGGAAAAAGTGGAGGAAATCAAAACAGAATAAAATGTTTTTCTGTTTATTCCATTGAAAATTGTTGTTGAAGTTTTATAAAGCAATTTTTATTGACTATAAAATTGCTTTTTTTTTGAGAAGAAGGAGAAAAAATATGGTTCAATGTTGATTGATTTTAAATGAATTGAAGGAATCGAAGAAATGAGATAAAGAAATATTAATGTTATGAAGAAGTTTTTGTGGAATAAAAGAATGGGTAGAAAAATGAATAATTCATTTAGTAAAGAGTGGCGAGAAACAATTTGTTCGGCAAATAGTAAATTAGTTAAGACTCAATTTGAAACACAACAAATTTATTGTGTGAAAACTTTGATAAGCATTTTTCACGCAAAATGATAATTTGATTAGTTTCTACTTTAGTTAATGCAATGAGTTCTAATTGCGTTTTGTTATTGAACAATGAAATGGAAGGTTTTTCTTCACAGTGTTTGCGATTCTTTTGTATCTTCATCGCTTGTGTGATGCAATTGATGACGAGTGAGAAAACAAACACTCGAGATTTGTTTGTTTGCATATAAACAGATGAAAAAAAAAGAAGAAATATAACTGGACTGAATGGAAGAGAGTCTCGTGATGTTTATCACTTTCTTATTTGTCCACTATTTATTTCCTGCTTTTTTATCTTCTCCCCACTCTTTTGTGTCGGTCTGACCAATTTATTTTGTTTGTCCAACTGACCTACCCGAAGATTCATTAATTTCTTCTCTTGATTGAATTTTTTATCCATGGGAAAGTTTCTGGACGATGTTTTGTGTTGCGAAGTTGCGTCACGTTTTTGCCAATACAAAAGGCGAATATCTAATTTATCACTGCATTGTGGTGACTTTATTCACAGTTTTTCTATGATTAATAAGTCTTTAATCAATTCCAATGACCATGTTTTGGTTCTATTTGTCATGTCATTGGTCAAAAGTGAATGTAAAATTCTGTTGAATCACTTCACATGAAATGCAATGCAGGTTTAGTATGAAAAGTTGTTCAATTTGTTTTGTTGCTTCAAGAAAAATGGACTTTCTTTCAAATGTATTATTTACAGTTTTTGTCAGAGAATTGCACTTTTCTTGTGAGAAACATTTTTGTTCTCCCTAAAAACCACCTCGGAAATTTCGTGTGTCTTCTGCAATTTGATCGACATTTTCTGTCACATGAATAATTGATTTGGTTGTGAATTGAATAAAACAGTGAATTTTAGACAACATTTTCCACTATTGATTTATGCTCTTTGTGGGCAATTTTTCATTCAATGTCAGTGAAGGAAGAACAAATCAGAAGAAATATACGTCGAGTCTCGTTTTTTTTCCATGCTGTTTTCATCTGTCGCTGGTGGGAAAATGACAGCAAAAAGCGTCACAGAGGAATTGTGAATGTGTATTTGTGCGTGTGTGTTCTTGAGACGGAATTGTCGTGGCGCCAAATTTGTACGCGTTTGGAGGTGGAATGAGCGTCTTTGGCTCCTTGTGAACATGTGATTGGAAGATTTCTGCGAGATGGGATGATATGAAATATTGCAAATTACAATTGCTTCTGTGGACGTCGCGACGTGATATTTGCTCAGTGTGTCACTGCGGCGCGACTTTTTGGCTTCTTGCTTGTTCGACAGTGTGAAATATGGCCAGGCAGTCAAATGGACACATTTCGCTTGGTTTTTATTATATACTTTAGCAGTCTTCCTGGTATTTAGGGTGTAGAGGAAGTTTATTAGCAGGCAGATTTATGTCTTGTATGATTTCTCTCAATTATTATGGGTTTGTGAATGATAAATTCAGGAATGTCAGAATTTATAGATATTGTCAAATTAATAATAATTTCAAGCTGTTAAAGGCTAGAAAAAGAAATGAAAAAAGTCTTCGATGAACACCTTTTTGTGGAACTTCCACAATACGTTCTTTTGCGATTTCCGGTAAAATTGTAACAATGATTATATTGAGAACTTATGACAAAAGGTTGAGACTTCAGTTTGACGACAGATTGCTTTTAGAACAGCCATAGAATTGCTCTTAAAAATGCAGCAATTGCAGAAGAGCAAAATCTTATATAAAACTGTCATTAAGTGACTTGCTTACAGAAATCGTACAAAAACGTACGCGCGTGTAATAAAGGATATTAAGTCAGGGAAAGGACTTCTTATCCCAGCAAAAGAGTTAAAGTGCTATTGATCGCGTTTAAATGTCGATTTCGAAGAAAAAGTGTCGCTAAAAACTTTTTCGACCAATTTTTCAGCATTTTGAGGTGAATTCCGTGATATTTTCTTCTAAGATTCATTAAGAATGGTTCCCTAAGGTCCCTCTTATTCTTATACCGCGAGAAAAAGATTCTATGAGTTTGTATATTGAGACTACGAAGTGAAAATGATGAATAGTTGCGTTGTTCGGGGTGGAAATATTCTGACAATTTGACTGAGCTTCCAAATATACACATTATGGAATGTTGTTTTATATGCAGAATTTTGTGCTTTATAGTAGAATAAATGTCTGTGGCTAAGCCGAAGGCCGCATGAATCATGAATTTTCGACGGATTGAATGGATTTTTCCGTGGAAAATTGCGAAGAGAATCACGCAGAAGAAGAAGAAAAATGTCTATATAAAATCCAGCTTGAGCATGACTTTTGCGTGTGTATTGAGGCGCTTTTTTGGGCCTGTTCTGTTCTCTTGTACAAATGCGTGAAAAAGTCAGTGTCGTAAAAATTTATTTTCTCATTCTTCCATGCCAAAAATAGCGACAAGAGTCTCAAAATAGTCTCACTGTTTTTTTTTCCTCCGTGATTATCGTCATCTCAGTGCCACCTTCACTGATTGTGACACAATTTCATTCTGATGATTATTGCATGGTTTAAAAAATGGGTGATAAATATAATATTTTCTCCTGATGGTTGCTGATTTTTTTTGGGGGTGGACGGCAAAATGCCGCAAATATTCCCTGTGAATAATTGTTGAATTCTTCTCATTGGCATTTTCTTTCTAGGTCGGAGGACACACGCGACTCTTGCTGCTGAATCAGAGTACAGTGATCAAGCCGCTGAACATTCGTGAATTGGATTTCTATCAGAACATTCCGCAAGATGTTCAAATGTTTGTTCCCAAATACAAAGGTAAAGCATGCAGAAATGTACAAGATATCACACTTCATAAGTGCGCAAATCATCTGTTTTATGCATAAACACACAAAAAAGTAGTTCTGTTTTTGCACATTTTTTTTACATCTCTTAATTGCACAATTTTGCGCAAATGTGATTGACGCATTTTCTAACGATGCAGACATGAGACACTTTATAATGCAGTGAATGAGTTGGAATGGAATGGAAGACAGTTGCAGGGTTTAAAATAGGTTCACGTGCATTTTGGTGTGTCATTCGTTTGATTAATTGTGGAGTGTGTCAAGCGATTTAATGCATTAAGAAAATAAAGAGTGAGCGAGAAGAGGAGCGCTTGTGTCGGTGGGAATTTGTGAGAAATTCTATATTTATAAATAATCACATCTAACGAAAGAGTGTTATGCATTTTCGCGAGGAGAATCTCACTGGCTTGGCAACAAGAGAGCCAGAAAGTTTTCCCGAAATTGTGTGCACAAGCAAAACAGACACAGACACACGCTGATTTTTACTCGTTGTGTGAAAAAGAATTCTTCTTTCATGTCTTATTACATTCTGTTTTTTTTTCTGCACATCTCATCAAAATTTCACTCACAATGAGATCAATTGGTGGGAAAAAAGAGTCGATTTTTCTTTCTTCTTTCCTCAATTTGATGGCATGAATTTTCTGAGGAATTTCCTCATTGTTTCTGCAACTGAGAGAGAGAGAGAGAGAGAAGAAATATGAGGAATTTTCTGTGATATATAAATTCATTGAGCAAACAAAGATGCTTAACGAGACAACTCTCTCTTAATTGTCTTCCTCGATAGACACTCTGTCTCGTGGATGTTCTATGTGTTCGACTATGTTCTGGACTTGATTTTAACGATTTTAACTGTGCAAAGTGTTGACAATAACACTTTCAAGTTCACAATAATAAGTGACAACACGTGTAAATTTTATTGATAAAGCCTTGACGCTTCAAATGACGTCTATTTATCAATTATTTTGTACAGTGAAAGTGTTTCTAGACGCTTTGCGTGATAAACAGAATAGTTTGGATTGTATTATTTATGTATATTATCACTAAATTTATTGCCTAACTATTGAAGAGACTATTTTATTTATTATTGACGAACTTTAGTAAAGTAAGTAAGTTTAATATATCATCAGTTAATTTAATTAGGGATTTGTTTTTATAGTTTCACACACAAAGAAATGAAACAAGTTATTAGAGAATCTCTTAAAAATATCGGTATCTTGTGTATTCTTAGGATTAAAAAGAAATTTTGTGCTTTATTCTGCAGAAAATTCATTATGTTTAGGGAAAATGTAGCTTAATTTTAACATTAAAAATTGATTTTAGTCACTACAATATTCTGAAATGATTTAGATTAGATTAGATTAGCCAATTTCATTCGAAATACCTGAAATCTTCTAATCATCGATTTACTTATGTTCTTATATTCAATAAATACTACAATAAGAAAATTTGTTTTCCAAGGTATTTGATTTATTTGATGCGTGTCAGTCTTTAAAAGCCCTAAAAATGTGACAGTGAAGTGACGTTCTCTGTTGGTCTGAGCACTAGAAATAGCCTAGGTTCTGTGTGTTTGCCGTTGTTCTTGTGATCACAGGTGGTTCATTTGGGCGCGTGTGGAGAAGGATTGACCTTCGCCGTGTCTTACTGTCGCGCATTTAACCCACCTTAGAACAGCGCAGTGAATGGAGTATTTTGAGAATAAGGAAGACTGATAAAGCTGTGAGCTTTTCCTCACATGTCAATGAGATTAATTGCAAATGAGTGTTGAAGGAGGGAAGTGAGCAAGAAATACGACAGCACGCAATAGTTCAAGGGCTTCCTCAGCCCACTGAAACTGTGGGAGGGAGGAAAATGTGAGACACACAGAGAAGGAAAAGTCTGACCGTGGCATTGAAGAAAATTCTTTTTTTACGACTTATTGTTTTCTCGTCACGCAGCGTCAGAAAACTAAGAGAGTTGAGAAACAGAGAAACAATTATCTCAAGAGTGTATATTATTTTGAGGAAATGTGTGGCGCGATGATAATAAAGTTTCAATGTGATTCTAAGAGAGTATATTCACCTTGTGGCATTTAATTGTATATCACAATCATGCTTCTGTTAATCTCAATTCTTGTCACATTTTTTTATCATTTGTAACGTTTACACTGATCTCTGGAGGTTGTTGTTGCATTTTGTAAAAATTGTGATGAGAAAAGAGCGCATTTAATTCAATTTTCCGTTTTTTTGTGGAGAATGTTTGGAAGAAAATGCTGTTTTTCTTTCTTTCTCTCTCTTGTATTTTTTTTTCTCAACTTTCAGCGTGAGTATAATGCTTTCTTATTTGCCATTTTTGCTATTTTCTCTGCCTTGATTATGTGCTTCTTGTGATTTCATCTCTTTTAGAGCGAATAAAAGTGTCATAAAAGCCCGGAAAAACGCGAAAAAATCCTCCGGGTGAGATGAAAATCATTCTTCACATCACACTCAATCATGTACTGAACAAATTTGATGGCTGATCAAGTGAATCTGTTCTTTGCTAATCCACTTCTGTGTGATCTTTAAGGTGTTCTGCAAGCAACAACAACGGGCGGCATGAAGTTCGACAAGCGCTACTCGCCGAGCTTTCGCGATGACTCGACGCGGAAGAATGGCAGCGGAGCGCCGAAGAGGAAGCGCGAAGATGTTCTCCGGTTGGTGTCCTTTTTTCCTTCTCTTTCTCTCTCTTCGGCAGATTCAGTGTTTTTTCTTTCATCTTATTTAACCTTTTCATTTACTAAATATGAAATTTTTTTTATCTGTTGTGTTTTTATTTTCTATTCATTTGTATTATTTTATTTAATTTCAGAATGTCTCTTTTTCTGAAAAGCAAAAAAAAATCATATTAATTTTCTGTTTATTTATTTAATTTTTGCTGTTTGCTACTAAAAAACAAAATATACCATGTTAATATATTTATAATCTCTATATGGAAGATATTTTCCTTTTAGATTGAATCACTTTAAACTGTACCTTCGACACAAGATGATGAGGGAATATCTCTGAAAGAAACAAACATGAAAAAAAGTATAACCACAAATCCCACATTCGAATGTTTGAGAGCCAATTTATATGCGTAGAAAAAATCTGATTTCGTGGAAGAAATTATATTCTTTATGTCACAATGTTGAAATTTATTCTCTCCTCTCATTTCCAGTGAAGAAGAGAAATGTGGAAAACTTGGGTGTGAAAATCACAATTGTCAAAAATCTTCTATCAAGAAAGGGAACAAAAAATACACAAAACACGCACAAACAAACACACGCACGAATAGATATTCCAAAACACACGCACACAAACAGACACACAGAGAATATGTGAAAAAAGAAGAAGCCAATGATAAAATATCTCTCTAGCTTTTAAGAGGCTTAATGATGAAAAAGAAAAAAGAAAAAAAGCTCCAGCGCTATGTTTAAGCTCACTGTGGGTGATATTAATTGAAAATTTTTATTTCTCTTTTCTCTTTCAGGATGAAAATACATAAAAATGGGAATGCTGCTGATGTAATAAAAAGTATTTCACATATAGACAACTCCAACAAGCAATGTTAGTATCTCTTCTTCCCGTCTCTCTCTCTCTCTCTCGCGCGCTCAAAAACTCCTCTCTCTCTGTCCCACCAAAGAATAAGAAGAAAAGAAAGAAAGAAAACCGCGAATTTTCATCATCATCATCATCGGCAACATTTCCAAGAGCTGATTCGCAGCGATTTGCTGGCAATTCGGGGACAGAGACGAGAGAGGATGTTGTGCTTTTGAATTAGATGGCAGAGATTGCACAAAGAATAGTTGCAGCGCAGGCAGCGAAACATCAAGCATCTCATCAGTTTTTTTTTTCTCCTTTAATTACATTTCGTTTAATCCTTGTTTTATGTCTCTAAAAAACTTTCTCCCGCAGCTTTCATACGGCATTGTTTTTCATCTAGATCAAAAAAAAAAGAAAGCAAGTACTTTGAACTTTCAGGCATCCTTTCTTCACTGTCAGCCAAAGGAAGGAAGGATGAAGAATTTACAGTGAGCTGCAAAAGTGTTTGGAGAAAAATTCTTTGTGTCTTGATTGATTGATTGACGATTGATTTCAAGCAAAATTCACTTCTAAATACATTCTTAAGACTGTTTTTGCTGGAAAAAGTGACGCGATGGCTTTTTTTTTAACCACAATTCATAGTAAAGTCTACAGAATGAGTTCTTTTTCACTTGCTGAAAAGTCACTTGAAAGTGTGAATCACATAGATTTGAACGCAAGTCTTTTGAATTGCGCTACAATAATGCAAATAAATATATTTGTCTTTGTGACAAAGTTATGATTCTCAGAAGTGAATTAATTTCGTCTTCATCTAAATTGTAGTTTTTTTTCTTTTTGACTAATTCTTCAAACAATGATAAAATACAGAATGCTTTACAATAAGCAAATATGACTTCACAGGAAGACAAAGAGTGGAAAAAAACCGTGCCATCGCTAAAGGAGAAGAAAAAAAAAACACTTGTTCACCTCACTGGCAAATAAGTCATAAGAGCATAAAGTTATTTTTGGGAAGGCGCGCGAGAAAGGTTGTCTGAACTTCAGAGTACTTGCCATTCATCATTTATATTGTAGATTAACAATGTTTCTGATAACATCTTCCTTTATAGAAAAAAAAAGTTTTATTATTGTGTGTTTTATTTGCGAGAGAGACAGCAAATGAAAGAAAAAGAAAACAGTCTCTCAGCTGTGTATTTTATTCGTCACCACATAAGCAATTCACTTTGGGGTTCAATTCATGCGAAAGAGAAGAGGCTCGTCTGGCTGTTTGATGAAGCGCATATTATTCTTAGGAGAGGAATTTTTATTTGACAACAAATATTTCACTTAAAATCTCTTATCTCTCCCCGCCTTTTCGTGTGGAATCACGACAAGAAAATAGGTGGAAAAACTGCAGCATTTTCAGGCATTTTTATGTTCACTTCATCTTTAATTGAGTCATATTTTTCTTTGCATCATTCTATTGCTTCTCTCATTGTGTGTTTATTGTCTTCACGTGTGTATTTTCTATATACCTTGCGATAATCAATTGTGTCGCCTCTGATGGTGAAGATTTTTTCCTCAATTGTCAAGAGTGTGTGTGTTTTTTTTCTCTCTCTCTCTCTCTCTGAGAAATCTATTTTGAGTGTTTCTATTGCGGAAAATGCGTATTGTGACGTTGTCTTAAAGGCAGAATTAGCATTTTAAGAGCATGTGACGAACAAGCGGAAAGACAACAAGATTAGTCAGAGAAATGATTGTGAATTGAACAATCTCGCGTGATTTCTTCCATTGGATCTTATGTGGTTATGTAAGGCGAATTTTTCGGGTGATCGCGCGACAATTGAGTCAGAAATAAGACGAATGTTGATCAATAAATGCAATAAGTGCAAAATGAGAGATGCAACATCATGAATTAATTAACCATTGACATCATGAGTCATTTGCCAGAGATTCTTTATTGTGTTTTTTGGACCAGAAGGGAGGATGAAATTGTGTGTTGAAATTGATGGCAATTTAAGGGGTGAATTTTGACACACAAAAAATCACTGCACTTTCATTGAAAATTCACAAGAAACAGAAGAATTGCTTGCGATGCTGTGTCCGGTTTTCTTCTTACCTCATCCACTTCTTTTTGCTCTGAGGCGCGAGACAGGATGTCTTGTGCAAATAAACAGAGAGATTGAGAAATGTAGCCGAGATAAACAATTGGTCACTTTTTCATACAAACAGGATATTCGCAGTTATTCGCAGAGTGATTGACGCCAAATGGTTCATTCACGCAATTTCATCCTCGGCTTTTGTCTCTGTTTATTCACGCATTTGTTTTATTTTTTATATCATCCACAAATTGGTTTTGTGATATTTTTTTTCTTATTATTATTAATCTTCTTCACACACACACACACAACACATCATATTTGGGTATTGTTGACATGTCAAGTGCACAGCAGGAAGAGACAGATTGAGAAATGATGAGGAGTGAAAAGGAATCTGCGCGCGCGCGGCTGCCAAATGGAGGAGGAAAAAAAAGCGCCAGTTTGACGGACACAACAAGCAAAGTGTGTGATGTTTGTTTCTTCTTCTTGTCATTGTAGATTATCTCATGCTGGAGAACATCACGTCGCAGTTCCGGCAGCCGTGCATCCTGGATCTGAAGATGGGCACGCGGCAGCATGGCGACGATGCGTCGGCGGAGAAGCGAACGAAGCAGATCGCCAAGTGTGCCGCCAGCACGTCAGCGTCACTGGGCGTGCGCCTGTGTGGCATGCAAGTGTACCAAGCGCGCTTTGATCAGTACATGAAGAAGGACAAGTACTTCGGGCGTGAGCTGAACGAGGAGGGCTTCAAGCAGGCGCTGAGCAACTTCTTCCACAACGGATGCGTGCTGCGCACGTCGGTGATCATGAAAGTGATCCAGAGGCTGGCGCAGCTCAGGCGAGTCATCGAGAAGCAGTCCAGCTACAGATTCTACTCATGGTGAGCAGCTGTTCGGCACGCGTGTCTGTGTCGTGGCCAAATTTGCCCCGGCGCGCTGTTTGCGGCAGTGAAGAAAAAAAAAAGACCGCTAATTAGACACTTCGCGGGAGATTTGGTGGCTCTCGACTTCCCTTCATAGCGGCAAATTGAAATTCTAATTAGATTCTTCTGGGCTATTTTTAGGTGTAGTTTCTTATGAGCAGAATAGCGGTGTTCTTGACACTTAATTAGCATCGCGAGGTGCTTTTCTGAGCTGCACAGCAGCTGTTAAGAGCCCGTAATGTGATGATAACTAAAGTTTTAGCTCAATTTGTGGCAATTGTGATTCGAATTTAGGGGTTTTTCAGGCTTAAAGTGCAATAATTGCATGTTTAAGTCAGTGTTTAACATTTCTTTGATGTAAACATAAATAATTCTTAAACACACACACATTTATTATAGACTTCAGGTTAATTGACGAAGGCTAGAAAACACGAAATTCAGTTCATCCATAAAATAACGCATTAAATGTTATCTTAACTGATTTACCATCAAAGCGAAGACAATAAATCGGTGGCACGAATTCCTGAACAGCCTTAAATTCAGTGCTAAAATCTGAACATTAACATTCGGTTGCCATTGATGAAGAGGAATCAATAACTTGAGTCAAGATTTTCATTGGAACTGTAAAATCTCTTATTTTCTCTTAAGACTCTTATTTGTTTGGAATCAGTGAAAATTTATTGGATTTTTTGATCTTTTCCTGCGAAAGCCGCTAAAGCCAAAGCATTTGGAAGTCATTATTGAGAATTTTGATGTTCTTCTGAAAAGTATAATAATAATATATTTTCGCGCTTATTAATCCTCATTTTCCACTCTATTGCAGTTCTTTGCTGGTCGTGTACGAGGGAAGTGACGAGATCGCCTCGATTGATCCCATGGACGCTTGCTACTCGCTGGAGAACTGCTGCATCGATCCGGAAGAGACAGCGTCAACTGTCTCTTGTTGCTACGATGCGGACGCCTCGACGGACTCCGTGGACATCAATCTGTCGTCGTCGCACGAGGATGAGCACAGTGCTGACAATGTGGCGCCGAGTGTGTCGACGGATTTGCACCATCGCGGCTTTGGCGAGGCGGCGGCCAGAGGCTCCTTCATTCCCTTCTCCGAGGACGCACTGGACTCGAGCGGCGACCAGATGATCGACAGCTCCAGTCCCACGTCCAACGACTCGTGGATGAACTACAGCAGCCACAGCAGCGACGACTACTCCTTCCTCATTGACGACGTGGACGACGTGAGTGGTGCGGACAAGAAGAGGGGCTCGCCGATGAAGAACAAGCGCAACCGCGAGGAGCTGCAGTTCCACCAGGAGCTGGACGAGGATGACGAGGTGGCGCGTGCGGAGGCGCGCATCCTGGAGACGCCCAAGAGGCGGCGGAGCCGCGAGAGGTGCTCGTCGCCGCTGGTGGACGTGCGAATCATCGACTTCGCGCACACGACGTTTGGGCGCAAGAACAGCGCCGGCGCCGTGGTGAATGGGCCCTCGTCGTCGGCGGCCGTGCATCACGGGCCCGACTGTGGCTTCCTCACGGGCCTGGACAGCCTCAAGCGGCTCCTCATGGAGATCGTGAAGGAGGAGCACTGACCCTTGGCGCCGCGCGCGGACGCGTTCCGCGTGGCGTCCTTCTAAGGCGCCGCCAGCACCAGTTGTGGGAATCCCAGTGATCAAGAATGCATTTCTAGGGCATACAGCGTGCGTGCGTGCGAGAGAGAGATGGAGAAAATGTGTTATTTTTCTAGTTGAGCATTGGAAAAAGAGGAAAATGCGTCCACACTTGGACAGGAGCTTTTCCTCAGCAATTGCAACATCGTGAAACGAAGGTGCGCCGATATTCTTTGGTGTCTACTTAAAAAAGCCCAGAGCGCACGATAATCTCTGAACCTTCAATCCTTCAACGTTGTCAAACAACATCCTTATTTTGTGCAGTGAAGGAATTGTACTTTTTGAAGGTGAAGAAGTAATCGAAGAATTTTTTTCTCTTGACTTGAGAAATTCGACAAATTTCTCATTCAACTATTTTTGTCAATAACAACAAAAAAAAATGTGTAATTTATTTGAATGCGTAGCAAAAGAGAAAAATCCATGAAAAGTGTTATAGGAAAAATAAGGGAGAATTCAAGAACAAAAAATAAAATTGTGAGAGATTCATAGAATATTTTTCAAAGAGTGTGTATTTTAGAGTTAAAAGGAATTTAAGAGGAAGAGAGAGAAAGTAAGAGTAGAGCTGAAACATTCCAGAAAGTTGTTCAGCGAGTTGAATCTTTGCAAACACTAAGAAAAAAATTGTATATAACTAACAAGAAGAAGAAAAAAAACAAGTTTTGCTGTTCTTTCGGTAGAAAAATGCCTCGTAAGAGATTTTCAAGTGAGAAATCAAATGTTTTCAATAGAATTTGAAAATGAATAAAATATGTTGTTTTTTTTTTGAGAAGAAATCTAACCAGTATTCTTGACATTGAGAGTTTTTTTTCTTTTCAGGAAAAGTGCAAAGTGAGAGAAAATTCACTGTGATTTCATTGCGGTGCAATAATTGTGATTATTTTGCAATTTTTGGCCAAGCTCTCAAAGTTAAATATCAAAACTACAAAATTTCACAGTGAATTCGTCTCGATTTCTGCGGAAAAAATGTAGCGCAAAGCGCAACAGAAATACGCTATTATTTTGTGAATTGAGAAATGGTGGAAAAGGAAGAAATGAGATTAGAATTCATTTCACTTCTCAATGACCAATTTGCAGATTTTATTTCTTCCTTTTGCCTTTCTCCTGAGAGAGAGAGAGAGTGTAAATTGAAGGAAAAGAAGGAAAACTTACAAAGGTGGAAAAAAGATGTGAAAGTCGTGGAAGGATGTATTTTTGTGTGTAAATAAAGATGAATTTAGGAAAACACTAATAAAATTTGACTTTTTATTAAATCTCCAATATTCGCACTGAGGCTTAAATCCAGTTCATTCCAAAGGTCTGCATAGAATATATGTTACTGGTCGACTAAGAGTGTTTCTAATATTTAGTCCAAGTAAATTTATTTGGAATTATTTCTGATGATTATTTACTTTAATTGTTCTTCAAACCAAACGTCAAAAGTCACTGACTTTTCTAACCCAAATTTGCAGAAATTTTGGCACAAATTCATTTTAATTAAGGCTACATTTGCACTTCGTGTGACTAATATTTTATTGACCTGTTTTGTCGGATGCAAATTATGGATATAAAAGCCCATGAAATTGATCCTCAAAGGCACAATTCGCTCGACAAGTGAAGAGAAGAGATAATTTGAAGTGTGAAAATCAGCAGAAAATCGAGAAAAAATGAAGACCGTCGCTGTCATCTTTGCCGTTCTGGTCGTCTTGGCTGTCTTCCAGTTCGAAGGCACTTTGGCTAAACCGAAACCCGTTCCTGAGCCAGAGCCGATTTTGGATCCCATTCTTGGACTTCTCGCACCGGTTTTGGCCATCCTGAGCGGTCTCTTGGGCGGTTTTGGGAAATAAGTTGGCAATATAAAGATGTTATAATAAAAAGACATGAAATGCACAAATTTCTTTAAAATTATCTTCACTTTTCCGTCTACAAAAAAATAGTGTTGGATCTCAGTTGATTTTTGCACTGGACGAATTTGAGGAACAATTCCACTGAAGTGTTTCCTTAAATAGAACATACAACAGAAATTAATTTGGTTGCTATTTTTTACACTTTATTGATCATTTGGTAGTGATTTGTGGCCACGTGACTGTAGAATTGAGATTAAGGCGCTTTGCAGAGTTGATATTTCACAATTTTCTAAGTTTTTTTTAATGTATTCTAGAATTATTTCAACCAGAGAACTTTTTTGGGAATGAAATCCAAGTATATTTCCTTTCAATCTGAGATAAATTTTACTGGACAATAGAATGTGTGAAGACATCAATACATATTGACATAACTATAATGATCTAAATGCTTGAATATAGTCGAATTCTAAGTTCGCAATAAAATTATAAACCAGTATTAATAATTCATATCTCTTTATTGACTTTTCATTGATATAATTTGAAGTTATTTCCCAAATCCGCCAAGAAGGCCGGTGAGGATGGCCAAAACCGGTGCGAGAAGTCCAAGAATGGGATCCAAAATCGGCTCTGGCTCAGGAACGGGTTTCGGTTTAGCCAAAGTGCCTTCGAACTGGAAGACAGCCAAGACGACCAGAACGGCAAAGATGACAGCGACGGTCTTCATTTTTTCTCGATTTTCTGCTGATTTTCACACTTCAAATTATCTCTTGTCTTCACTTGTCGAGTGAATTCTGCCTTTGAAGATCAATTTCATGGGCTTTTATATCGTTAAAATTCGCATCCGATAAAACAGGTGACCGTATTTTGCAAATGACATAGTTTAGTATTCACAATTTTAGGCACGTTTTCCAAATTTACTTGGTTCAATTTTCAGGAGAAAAATGGATCAAAAGAAGTGAGCGTGTTTTTAATAAAACTAACAAAACAATTCTAATTTAATTGCGCGTGTTGATATTATTGAAAACATGTTGAATTGACATCAATTTGAATAACTCATGCGTGTGTTAATTTAATGAATTACTTTCCAATACGAAAATTCTGAGTGTCCTTCGAAGGAAAGATCTCGGGACGCTGAATGTCTTAAGTAGAGAGAGAATAAATTGCAAAATATCAGAGATAATGCAACATTTTGTACACAAAATATCACCAACTCATCCCAATTTTTACGTCGAATTTTGCCAATTCGTCTTTTGCAACACAATTTCTTAATGGTTTAAATTGATGGAACAATTACAATTTCAACGCGAAACACTTTAGATGAGATTGAGAATCTTGAGAAAGCATTTCCTTAGACACTTTGCAATTTATAACGTTCTCAGCAGAATGGCAAGATTGTACAGGAAATGGTCGTATATGAAAATGCTCTGTTTCATAGTTTGAAAGGGGGTTGAAAAATAAATTTATTTGCCACAAATGTCATACAGTTGATGAATGTTTACCCTGGAAAGGGGCCAATATTAATGTTGAGCTTAAGTCCGATCGTGTACAGGATTTGCCAGAGTAGCACAAGGACTTCGGGGACATCGGCTTCTGTTACGGCTCTGCCTTGAGGTCTTTGTCCTCTAATTCTGCCCGATTCGGCAGGAAAAACAGCCAACGCGGCCACAAAGATCAGGATGGCGAAGAAAACTCTCATTTTCACTTGATCAGCTTCAACTTGTGAATGCTGATTTCCACCCTTTTTGGGCTTTTATAGTTGCACACGAAAAGGGCCGCTGTTTCACCTTCAAAGTGGAAATAAAGGGTCATGAGTTGTTGTTGTTTTTTTTGTGGAGAAACTGTTTGATCAGCTGGTGACTTTGTGGGATGATTTCTGTGCCAAGGCAGAGATGAGAATGATCGACAATGATCAGCATATTGGTGGCAAGATTTTCGGTGTCACGGTCTGAAGCATAGAAAGAGTTCTGTGAAGAGGGTTTTTACCACGATGTGTTTCTGTTTGCTCTCGATTTGCCACAAATACTGATGACCCGAATATTTGGAGACGAAAGCATGTCTTTAAGGGCCTTGGGAGAGTGTCCAATACAAGCAGAGAAACTCTAGATTCCTTGTGGATCAGCAAATTATGTTTATTGCCATTCAGAAGTCCAGAAAAGACATGCTGAAGACTGAATCGATGAGGGCGAGAATTGTGCTGAAGAAATCGTTGATCGGTAGGAAATCCAATAGATTTGCTCTGGCCTGAAGATCACCTTCAATTGGCTTTGTGTCCACAAGAAGTGCCAGCAAAAGCACAGCAATGGAAGCGATGAAAACAACTTTCATTGTGAAAATGCAGAACTTTTCTCTGCCACTCGTGATCTCTGTCAAGTGCATTTATAGGCGAATTTTGTGAGGAATTTAGGTTGCAATCTTGTTTAACATTTATCCAGTTTGTTTTAAATTTTTGCACACTCAAAAGTGGAGCATTGGTTGTCGTGTAATTTGAGAGTTATCTTTATAATAGTATAGAAAATATACAAAACTTATGTTGCAATTGGTAAATTGAATACAATCAACAGTGATCGTTCTTGACATGGAAAAAAGAAGATCAGTCGAGGTAACAAACTGATCAAACATTGCCCTTAAAGTGCAGTCAAAGTAAAAAAGGCCCTTTTTGCGGGGAGAATCTTGGTATATAAGAAGGGAGAATTGTGTTTCGAGTCAGAAATAGACAAAAATCAAGTGAAAAGTGTCTTAAAATGAAGACTATCGTCGTTATTTTTGCTGTCTTGGCACTGATTGCCATTCTTCCAGCACAATCGAAGCCAGAAGATGAAATTGTGACCAACGACGCACCCAGAAATGCTCTGCTATTAGGACTCAATGTGCTGCTTGACACCCTTTGCGATGTTCTCTACGAACTCGGAATCTATCTTGACCTCAACCTCCTCAATCTCTTAGGATGTGCACCTTTGTGAAATCATTAAAGGCTTATCTTGGAAATAAATTGCAAATTGATACATCTTTACAGACACATTGAATTATGTTTAGGGGTTAATTTAACTAAATTGTCTTTCGTGCAATTTGACCAACACGTGCTCAACACAATTTGCGCGTTCATACTTGACCCGAAATGATCACTTAAGGTAACAAACTGATAAAATAATGATGATGAAAATGAAGATCGATGTTTTTGCGGAGAAAAGTGGGTCATTTGCAAAAGACATCATTGGTATAAAAGCAGAAAATCATCTTCAACAAGTCACAATTGAGGAAAAGTCCATCAGAGAAAAAGTGTCTTAGAAGAAAGCTGAAAAGAAGTCCTAAAATGAAAGTTTTCATCGTGGTTCTTGCTGTGTTGGCGTTCGCTGCCATCCTTCCAGCCCAAGCGAAGCCAGAAGCATTGCCGGAAGCGAAGCCGGAAGCAAAGCGACCGCAGACACTCGTGGAATTACTTGCAAACATGATGGGCGAAGCCAGAAATGAGTACATCATCGATATTACACCTCTTTGCTTGATTCTAGCTGAATTTGTCCTGCACTCCGACATAAGTGTCGACATTCTGGGCATTATTGGCTGCGACACATCTTAAACTTGTAAATCTCTCACGGAAATAAATAGTAAATTCAGTCATTCCCTTGCAAACATACACTGAGTATTATTTGCAATTTCGGCCAATTGTTTTTGTCGTTTCCAGGACGGTTTATTTAATGTCTTTTTGCATTTCAGAGAACAGATTCGATTTGAAAGAGCGGAAAATCGAATATCCAATTCTAAAATATCTTTCCCCATTTTATTTTTTGTGTTTTAAGTCACTATTTTAAGTGGCTTTTGAAAAAAAATTCAACCTTTTATTACAGGAAGACAATTGAATGCATGTTAGAATCCAATAACACTTTATCTGAACACCTGTAATTTCCTCTCAAAGTAATCAGTCAATGTCTGGGCGCTGAATTTCGTTGACACTATCGCTTGCATCTCCGCCGAAGAAGCACAGGAAATTCCGGAAGCCAGATTATCTTCGAGTGATTTGTGACATCACGCATCTTATCATCGGTTATTTTTCTCGCGAAAGCCGCGCATCTATGAATAGGCGAAAATTGAAGCGCGCGGCAGATTGAAGAGGATGATTGAGGATGAATGGTCATGCGATTAGGACCGAAATATCTTGAGATTACACATGACACCTAATCAGCGCTCGCCTTTGATGATGGCAACTTGTGGGAGTTGCCACTTGACCACAGATAAATCCACTGGCACGGTTTTTTTTATGGATCCGGAGACAGAAACACCAGCACTCAGCCTAATCGGCAGGCGAATGGGGTGATAAGGATTAGAGGAAGAGTGTATAAAACTGCTGAGGGTGTTCTGGATTGCCCATTCCCAGTTGTCTCTTCAATTGTGTGTACAGTGCCTCAGTTTTTGGGATCCACAAGGATGCTGAAGTGTAAGTTGAATTGTCGCCTTGGGCGCAACTGTTCTACATTCCGATCCTCCTGCAGTTGTCTTCGTTCTGGCTCTGGCCGGTCTGGCCTATGCGGACACCACAATGTACCCCTGCCCATCCTACGGCCTGGCTAGGCTGCCGCACGCCTCCAGCTGCGCCCACTACGTCCAGTGCGTCTCCGGCGTGCCGGTGGTGAGAGCGTGCGCCTCTGGCTTCTACTTCAGCATCGACGAGGGCGAGTGCAAGCATCCCTACTTGGCGAACTGCGACATCGAGGAGCGCGCCTGCCCACTCTTCAACGACCCCCAGAACATGGTCTATCTGCCCGACGAGACGCAGTGCGATGTGTACCACATCTGCTACTTCGGCGACCCAATTCAGCACCGCTGCTTCGACGGACTGCACTGGGATCCAGTGAATGAGAACTGCAACTACCCATCCCTGGCCAACTGCCAGGCCGTGAATGTGGAGTGTCCGGAAACTGGCATCAGCACTCTGCCGCATCCCTTCCTCTGCGACAGGTTCTTCCACTGCGTGAACGGCGAGCGCTTCCCTGACGTCTGCCCCGGAAATCTGCTGTACGACATCACCAGGATGGCCTGCTGGCACGCCGACGAGGCGCAGTGCTCCTACTGGGAGTCCACACCGCCCACCACAGCTGCCCCCACGCCCATTGCCTAAGGCGAGAAGGCCTATTCCCATCTCACTTGCCCCGTAAATAATAAACACAAATGAAAGAAAAAATATGAGCTTTTTCACTTGGATTCTTGTGCTGTTCATTGAGAAATGCTTCATGGGTGAATCATGTCTGAATTTCGCAATAAATACAGTTTCTTCACTTTATTCAGGCCTTCAAGTTTGCTTCGTTTCGTCGAAATAAATACTCCCTGAAGGATATTTTTCAGAACCCAATGAATTGGAAGATCCTAAATAGTGTATTTTATATAATAAACAGATATTGAAGATGTAGTTTAATAAAGAAAAGAAATTTACTGCTGTTTGAAATGTTCGAATCACACTTTTGTACTTTGGAAATGTCTTTTAATACTACTAAAACTTTTCCCATAGAGCTTAGAGATTGTAAGTTAAAATGAAAAGGTGCAAATTGAGGCTTATTAACAAGCAATATTTGCATGTAAAATAAAAGGCAATTTTTCATGAGATTAAGCAAATTTATATATTTTTCCTATTGGAGTTATTCTTCAAATTCTTTGGTTTCAAATGATGTTCAAAAACTACAGAAAATTGTAATTTTCTCTTTGATTTCCTCTTCCGCAAATGTTTTTGTGGTCAAACTTCATACATAATCCTGATATGTAATTATCATTTAAACCTGAAACGCAATTAAGGGCTTCAGATACGAAGAAGATTGTCCCAGAAATTTGTCAATTCCTTTTCCTTATTCCTCAATTGAAGTGTGCAGATTCAGGAAGATTTACTGCTTATCACGTTGATCGATCACTTTTATAGTCTGAAAATTTCTGAAAATGAGTAAGTTTCTCTACTCAAAACTATCATAATTCTTTCTCTGTCCACTGGCGGCGACTCATGCTGATCGCCCGGATAAGCCTGGACAGAGAGATGAACGTACGACGGATGTGCGGGAGATTAGATGTCCAATCCATAAATTTATCATGCGCCTTTGATGATCTGAAGGGGCTCGAATACTATCAGTAGTCGGTTTTTGTTTTATAGAATTCTTCCAGTTGGTGATAATGGCATTTTGCCCACTAAGAGCGTCTCAATTGACTTGATAGCGATTATATAAAACTCCTTTGGCAGCCGCCAAGTGGCATCAGTTCAAGAAGTTAACTAGTGCTCAGTGGTCAGAAATGCTGAAGTGTGAGTTGTGCTCAGATCACTTTCTCGCGACTCTGGCGCTGATGTCTTGCACTCTTTTCAGATTTGGTGTTTGCCTTCGCCGCCGTGTCCTGTGCACTGGCATCTCCCACAGCCATCTATCCCTGCCCATCCTCAGGACTCGAGCGCTTGCCGCACGCCTCCAGCTGCAGCCACTACGTCCAGTGCGTCTCCGGCATTCCCGTGCTGCGTCAGTGCGCTCCGGGCTTCTACTTCAGCGTGGAGTACCACGAGTGCAAGCACCCCTATTTGGCAGAGTGCGACATCGAGGATCACGTCTGTCCCCTGTTCAATGACCCCGAGAATCTAGTCTATCTGCCCGATGACACCAGCTGCGAGGTCTACTTCCTCTGCAACGAGGGCGAACCCGAGCGCTTCACCTGCTTCGATGGACTGCACTGGGATCCCGTGAATCACGAGTGCAACTACCCATCCCTGGCCAATTGCCAGAACGTCGATGTGCAGTGCAACGACACTGGCATCCACGTCGTCCCGCATCCCTTCCTCTGCAACAGATACTTCACGTGCGTGAACGGCGAGCGCTTCCCTGACATCTGCCCCGGAAACACTGTCTTCGACGTCGTGAGGTGGAGATGTCACTTCCCTGAAGAGTCCGTCTGTGTCTACTGGGACGAAGATGAGTACACAACAGTTGGACCAACTCCGTACCACAAATAATAAATCTGCAGCTGAAATAAACGAAATGCATCCCATAAATCATGAATTAGGATTTTCCCACTCACTTTTGGGCGTCAATAAAAGTAAATCTCCACCAGAGGAAATGGTCAAAGCTCCGAAAAACTCCCGCGACTTTGATGATTGATATTGTGAGAAAATTACAATTCACTTTGTAAGTCTTGACACAAACTGTCCGAGTGCGGAGGTGTTTTCTTATCACGAGTCATTTATTACTCCTTTGATTTACGACACAGTAATTTTGGCACATTATTGGGGTGAATTATGTATAAATGTACCGAATGGGTCATAAATGATCACGAGTGCTTCAGCAGAGTGAAATCGAAGGGATTTTTTCGCTTATCTTGAACCTTAGATCAAGGATAATCATGGATGATTTGCATTGAAATCTCTATTGTCTTATAGTCTTATCACTTTATTAATGGTGTATTTGAAATTATTTTAGAAAGTGAGCTGGATGAAATGTTCGGTTTTGGATCCTCAAAACAATCTCTAATGCTTGTTTTGACTAAGAAATCTTCCAATGTATGATTTTTGATGCAAGCATTCATTGAGCTTTTAACTTCTTCAATTCAAGCTGAGTTTTATTCAAAAGATTAGCACTAAGTTATGTCTTCATTCCTGGCGTCGTGACAACTGGAGGCGTGGGAGTTGTGTTGACTGGCGGAGTTGGAGTGGTGTTAATGGGCGGTGAAGGTAGGAAACAAGTGGCGTAGTTCCGATCATAGCACTGTCCGAGAATGGCATCGAAGTACTTTTCATCAGGACATCTGGCCTCGTGCGGCTCGCCAAGAACGCAGCGGAAGAATCTGTCGCAGTGATGGGGATGAGGAACCATCGTGACGTCATCCTCCGGGCAATCAATGTTTACGTGCTGGATGAAAAGATGACGATAGAGAGTCTTCATGATCAACCATGTGCAGTTCTTACCCGACAATTTGCCCGCTCTGGGAAGTCACAAGTGTTATTCCTGATGTTCCAATGCAGGCCAGTGTCGCACTCAAATCTCCGAGGAACGCCCCTGTCGCAGAGGAAGTAAACCGAGCAGTCCGTGTTGTGAGAGAGATAAATCAAATTGTTGGGATCATCGAACAGCGGACAGAGGAATTCATCATGATTGCAAATGGCGAGATTGGGAAGTCTGCATTGATTGGTGAATCTGTTGTATCGAAGTCCTTCGGCACATTCGCGAATCACTGGAACACCTGCGATGCACTGAACGTACTTTGTGCACGATGTTGCGTGAGCAAAACGCATTAAACCGATGTCCGGACATGGATAGATCACTGATGACGCACTGGCGCCGATGACGAAAAGAGTTCCCAGAAGAAGACCTGAGATGAGAGGTAACTTTATAGATCAATTCACAAATTGCTCTCCAACTCACCCTTCATTGCTGACTTCACGAGTAATATTGAGTGTCTGGGAACAAGAGAGAGGCGAATTCGCAACTCGCAGAGGAAGTAATTAAAGTCTCATTGGAGGAATCATAAAGATACCTCGCGCTGACCAGCAGATTAGATAATCCCGCTCTTGATGTAAACAACAGGATGGCGTGAAAGCTGAAAATAGTCCAGAGATAAAGTCCTCAAGTTGTGCTTCTTGGAATGAAGAAAAATCATACACGAGCAACAACGTCATAGATGAAATTGATCAAATAATATCACGATATTAATACGCAATAAAGCGACAAAATATCTATCTAGGTGACATGGGATTATATAGCTTAACAGGTCAAGATTCTCGCGGCAGAAGAAAGACAAATGCTTGAACTCTAAAATTCTAATAAACCCAAATATTCTTTTTCAGACTGTTGACACACGAAACACACGACATTGTATGATAAGAGAGTCAATATTCTGAAGGAAATGCTCAGGTCTTAATTTGCAATAAACATACTTCCTGTTTTGAGATGACAGAAGAAAAGCACAAAAGCTTTTCACACAAACCACCTTATCAGCGGATTGCAAGACGCCTAATTGGCAGTCTCAGTGAATGAAATCGATGACACGTTTACACCCGTGGTATTAAGACGGAGCGTGGCGAAAAAAATCACATTTAGACTTCAATAAACAATGAAAAGTGGGGGAGAGGGAGGAGAGTTTCTCGAATTCGATAACAATTAATAAATTACCGTAGATTAAATTTTATTGATTGTGACGACTGTGAATCACAATCTTTGATACTTTGGCCATCTCAGCACCGATTTAAGCATGAGCGTTCTGTGGGAGAGCAGTCAGTCGCGCTTTCATTCTCGACAAGTGAAGAAATCATTTGGAAAACACCCACGAAAGTTCTCAAACTTGGTGTGAACACCATGATTGCCATCTCAGCGAAACTAGCCCTTGTGCTTAGTCTCCTTTTAGGAGTGGCGCAATCCAGTGGGGACGATTCTGTGTTCGGAAAGATTGGCACAGTGCAGTATCCCTGTCCGCAAGTTGGCTATCAACGACTACCCCATACAAACTCCTGTGATAAATACGTGCAATGTCTTGGGGAGAAAGCCTTTGTCGTCAACTGTGGTCCAGGCTTGCACTTTCAAGCATTTGAGGGCAAATGCATGAGTCCAGAAAAGGCTCAGTGTAATATCGATCGTCTGCCATGCCCACTCTACAACGATCACAAGAACCCTGTTTACCTCAGCAGCAACAGGGACTGCAACAACTACTATTTGTGCTACAATAGCGTCGCAGTGCGCTTCCAATGTTCTGAAGGCCTCAATTTTGATCCATTTCGCTGGCAATGCAGGAAACCGGACGATACAATTTGTGATGTGAGTGGACGGAAAGGTGTTAAGTTTGCTAATTACAAATTAACAATTATGTTCTTATTCTAGAAAGTCGACGTAACGTGCCCAACGGAAGGAATTGTCTCACATCCCCACCCAGAATTCTGTGATAGATATGTTGTGTGCTGGTATGGGCAAGATTATGGAGTGAACTGTCCAAATGGATATCATTTTGATATATATGAGCGTAAGTGCAAGCCGGCAGATCTAGCAACTTGCCACTTAGAAACAACCACAGAGGAACCAGAAACAACGACAACGGAAGAAACTACAGAGGAGCCCGAAGTCACGACAACAGAAGAGACTACAGAAGAACCGGAAATAACGACAACAGAAGAAACTACAGAGGAGCCCGAAGTCACGACAACAGAGGAGCCCGAAATCACGACAACAGAAGAGACTACAGAGGAACCCGAAGTCACGACAACAGAGGAGCCCGAAGTCACGACAACAGAGGAGCCCGAAGTCACGACAACAGAGGAACCCGAAGTCACGACAACAGAGGAGCCCGAAGTCACGACAACAGAAGAGACTACAGAGGAACCCGAAGTCACGACAACAGAGGAGCCCGAAGTCACGACAACAGAAGAGACTACAGAGGAACCCGAAGTCACGACAACAGAGGAGCCCGAAGTCACGACAACAGAGGAGCCCGAAGTCACGACAACAGAAGAGAGTACAGAGGAACCGGAAATAACGACAACAGAAGAGACTACAGAGGAACCCGAAGTCACGACAACAGAGGAGCCCGAAGTCACGACAACAGAAGAGACTACAGAGGAACCCGAAGTCACGACAACAGAGGAGCCCGAAGTCACGACAACAGAGGAGCCCGAAGTCACGACAACAGAAGAGACTACAGAGGAACCGGAAACAACGACAACAGAAGAGACTACAGAGGAGCCCGAAGTCACGACAACAGAAGAGACTACAGAGGAGCCCGAAGTCACGACAACTGAAGAGACTACAGAGGAGCCTGAAGTCACGACTACAGAGGAACCCGAAGTCACGACAACAGAAGAGACTACAGAGGAACCAGAAGTCACGACAACAGAAGAGATTACAAAGGAGCCCGAAGTCACGACAACGGAAGAGACTACAGAGGAGCCCGAAGTCACGACAACAGAAGAGACTACAGAGGAGCCCGAAGTCACGACAACAGAAGAGACTACAGAGGAGCCCGAAGTCACGACAACAGAAGAGACTACAGAGGAGCCCGAAGTCACGACTACAGAGGAGCCCGAAGTCACGACAACAGAAGAGACTACAGAGGAACCCGAAGTCACGACAACAGAAGAGATTACAAAGGAGCCCGAAGTCACGACAACGGAAGAGACTACAGAGGAACCAGAAGTCACGACAACAGAAGAGACTACAAAGGAGCCCGAAGTCACGACAACGGAAGAGACTACAGAGGAGACAACGGACGTAACTCATCCTACCACTCCTGAATGGGATATTGGTCAAGTGAAATGTGGAATTGGTTACTACCGAAAGAAGCATCCGTCTGGAGATTGTACAAAGTACATTCGCTGCTATTGGGGCACTGCCAGTGAGCATTCATGCCCGAAGGGACAAATCTTCTACTCATTGCTGCAAATTTGTCTACCTGGCAATGCTGACAAATGCTAATTGAAAACGAAAAAAGAATTTAGCGACTAAGAGTATCTTGAAATGTTTTTTTACGAGATAATAAATAATTGCGAAATAATATAATTGATGGCGTTTGGTTGAATTGAAGTCATTGGCCGGCGTTTATATTTCTGAGATTAGCGAGATATTGGTGAATTGCTGAAATGTACACAACAAATTGACCCAAATTGGCAATGTATGGGTTTTGTGGGTGTCTTTGGGGAGAGGAAATTGTATCTATAAATTTTTGCGGCTTTTGGTGGCTAATAGGCAGCCTACAGATAATACTTGCCGTTCGGATAAGGGATTATCTTTCCATTTCTGAGAGATTATATAATTTGGCAAGTGTCTTTAGAAAATTTCAGTTCCTATTCGTTATTTCCAAACGTAGGTTGTGTTTTCCATTTTTGTGAAAAATAGAAAATGGGTAAGGTTATCTTTAACATGACTTGAATCTTTGAAACGGGAATTGAATTTTGCAGGTGTCTCTATATGGATTATTGGAATTACCATTCAAATCGTTGGCATACTGGCATCAGTTCAGTATCCTTGTCCACCCTTTTCACCATTCAGACTTCCTCACACAACTTCCTGCTCTAAGTTTGTCCAGTGCATCGGCGGAGTGGCAACTGTTCATGATTGTGACAACGGATTGGAGTTCAATTCGATTTGGAATGAGTGCACTTTGCCTGAATTTGCTGATTGCGATCGTGAATATTCTCCATGTCCGCTCTTCAATGATCCGGACAACTTGGTTTACTTATCAGACAGTGACTCATGCGAGGTGTACCATTTGTGCTATAACAATCAGCTTCACAGATTCCAGTGCATCGATGGACTTCACTGGGATAATCAGAGGAATCAATGCCGACGTCCTGCTGATGCAGGTTGCGCGCCTTCAGGCGTAACTTGTCCTCCGTCCGGCACACACTTGGTTCCCAACCCAGTATCCTGTGAGTACTTCTATTTCTGCATCGACGGCCATGGCTACGGATCACAATGTCCCGAGGGCACGCTATTTGATGTCGTGAGAAGCTTCTGTGTGCCTGCAGATGAGGCTACTTGCTTGGGTCCAGTGCCTACAACAACAGCACGCCCAACTCCGCCTGTGGTTACAACGCCCGGTGAAATTCCAGATTCAGACAACTAAACCTTGCCCCGGAAGGAAAGTTGTGTGTTTCACATTTTGTCAACATGGCGAAACAATAAATAAAATTTCTGTTTTGAATTTATTACTCATATATTGAGAATGAGATGGTATCTCGTGACAGAGTATGTCTCAAATTCTCCCTATCAAAGTGCGATAACGGCAAATCACCTCTGCGACTTAGACCACTTGATTGTGAGGTGTTGTGCAAAAAATCAAATCCATCAAGTATTTTGGCATGGGAGTTAAGCCCTTCTACAACTGAGACTTGAAAAGTGCTGCCAATAAAGAGGATTTAGTGGGTGATTTGATTGTTTGCTTCATCCCCCTCTTGAGGTGCGTCGCTAAGTTAAGTGTACTCATTTAATGTGACTCACATGGCTATATTTATAAGTTCCCAATGATTATCACGAACATTTCTTCCCTGATCCTGATACATGCAATGAATATTTTATATGCCAATATGGAGATCATGCTCAGAACTTAACTTGCCCCGATGACCTCTTGTTCAATCCCAACACGTTGCAGTGTGATTTCTCCTACAACGTCGACTGTCGTGATGCATCTGTGGAGAAACTAGAGAAAAATCACTGTGCTGAGCATAGTGCTGATCGTCACTACTGCTCCAAGTACTATTTCTGCTTCGATGATCGACAGCGTGAGTTCAGCTGCCCTGAAGGCTTCCACTTTGACCCTCTGAATAACTTCTGCACCACACCTGATAAGGCCGGATGCCGTGCTACACCTGATTGTCCAGCGGAAGGCTTCCACGTCTTACCTCATGCCGTTGACTGTCGCAAGTACTTCTTCTGCGTGAACGGATTTCCTCATGTGCAGTCCTGTGGTCCGGAACTTCTCTTCGACTACAAAGCGTCAGAGTGCCGCGTTGCTGACGGAGGTGTGTGCTTCCACCATTGAGATATCCATCGAGTCACTTACGATCGCGGTTCATTGACGCTTGCGCGGAAAATTGGAGTAGACACTGAGCAGAATGTGATAATGGTTTGCAATAGTGTAGAATTGAAATAAATGTATCAAGCCAAATGAGCGTCTTTCCTGCCAGAATGTTAAAATATACGTGATTGTGGTTCAGGAGCCGGAAGACTCTGTTCCGGGACGTCTTTATCGTTCAATTAGGAGTCAAGAGAGAGGCATAAGGTGCGCAGATGGTATCTCGGCCCTCGCGTTGGAGACACAAGAAATTACCCGACCAATTAGTGTCGTGGTGGTGTGGGACATGGAAAATGTTTTAATGTGCCGATAAAGTATCTTCCGTTCGGGTGTGCCTGTCTTAAATGGGATAATTGAATGAAAATCTCATTCATTTGACTCTCAGTCGTTGTTTTGGTAACACGTGGTGCTCCCTTGGAACAGGCTTTCCTCCTTTTTGCAATGAAAAGTTGTACGTTGTTCAAAATATGCCTTCTTGTGTGATTTCGAAAATTTTAATTTGATTTTCTTCAATAGTTTTCTTTAGTGTTTTCATTCTGGTGCTCCTTCAAATTACTCACACTGTGTCATTCACCTTGCCGCAAGCTGCTGAGGTGTGTAGGGATTCACCCGATGGAAGAACATTTGCCAATCCTCAGGAATGCGGAACATTCCTAATTTGTCAGGATGGTGAAGCCATCCCAATGGTGTGCTATCATGGACTGTACAATCCAGAATTAGATCTCTGTGATTCGGCGTACATTTGTCGATCTGATGCAGATAACGAGGAAGATGAGGAGACATCCGTACCAACTGAAGCAACTGGCGAGGAGGAAGATGAACCAGAAATTTTGGATGAGGAACAAGAGAATGAAATCGAGGAAACCAATGACAATGAAGAGTCACAGATAACCGAAATTGACGAAGGAGATGAAGAGGATGAACTTGAAAGTTCCACAACTGGAAACTCAGCGGAGACAGAGAGCACACTGTCTTCTACTGATGAAATTACCGACGAATCGAGTGGCACTGAAACAACACATGAAGAGGAATCTACAATAGAAGATGAGGAAACTACAGAAAACCCAGAAATAGACGAAGAATCTACAACAATGGACGATGAAACGACTGAAACAACACAGGAAGAGGAATCTACGATAGAAGATGAGATAACAACGGAAACTTCAGAAGTGGATGAAGAATCTACAACAATAGACGATGAAGCAACGGACGAAACGAATGACACTGAAACAACACAGGAAGAGGAATCTACGATAGAAGATGAGGAAACAACGGAAACTTCAGAGATGGACGAAGAATCTACAACAATAGACAATGAAACAACCGATGAATCGATTGATACAACACAAGAAGGGGAATCTACGATAGAAGATGAGGAAACAACAGAAACTTCAGAAGTGGACGAAGAATCTACAACAATAGACGATGAAGCAACGGACGAAACGAATGACACTGAAACAACACAAGAAGTAGAGGAAGATACCAGTACAACAACACCAGAAGAGCCAACGACAACGCCAGATGAGCCTACAACAATGCCAGAAGAGCCTACAACAACTGTTCCTGGAGAAGTTAGGTGTCCCATCAAGGATACAGCCTCTCTTCTATTCCTTCCCAGTCCAGTGGATTGTGGCAGGTGAGTTTTAATATTATAACAAGAATGGATCCAAATGCTAATCAACAACCAATTTCCCAGATACTTTCTCTGCTACCACTCGCGCCCAGTTCAAATGGAGTGTCTGAACGGAATGCACTGGAACCAGGATGCGAAGGTGTGTGACTGGCCGGAGAATGCCAATTGTGCCATCGATGGTGAATCCAATCCGGATTCTAACAATGCGCCCAAGTGTCACACTTCACGCGGTCACTATATAATGGCTCATCCGACCAATTGTGATCTTTACATCTTCTGCAATGACGGCGAGGCGGCGATTCAGCAATGTGAGGCCTTCCACTATTGGGATGTGATTGAGGAGCGATGCGTGATGAAAGATCGTGCCACGTGTATTCTCGACTTGGACTAATAACTGTAAGAATCCCTCAATATCTTAGTTCAAATTCCCTTAAGTGATATTATGAATGGAGTAGTACTGCACGTTGACTAGACTTTCAATAAAAATTCGATAAACAAATTACTCACAGAGCATTTCTATGGCGTCCAGCGATAGACGGAAGTGAAGCTCTTTGCCATCAAACAGATCCGTCGATGATTTCCACTTCAATTGCCGCAATGATAATATCAGCGGTATCAGCAGAATGACAAGTGACATTTTTTTCTGGAGCACTTTTGAATCAGGCGAAAGCAGAATATTTTTTGTTCAATTGATAAGCAAATTAAAATTTCATCTTTAAAACTGGGCACTACAATTGGTCTTTATATTATCCTTGTTTTTTTTTATAGAGAAAGTCCTGTCAGTAAACTGAGTAGTTGCTGATGAATGGCAATTTTTTGCGATAGCAATTACTTAATATCTCTTAATTGCTTTTCCGCCACACAGAATGATTGATATCAAGAAGGGAAATGACAATAAGAAGACGTCACATTGCTTGTTCTTCATTATGTGAGACCTTCACCGCGATTTGGGTGATAAGCAAAAGAAACCCGAGCACCTGTATTGCTACCATATTTTGTCTTCAGCGTGATTAGTTCACTGCGAGGCTTCTGTAAGCCACCATCGATTTTCGAGAGTTGTAGCAAGATGACAGGTTAGTGTCAAATTTGTGCATTTTGAAGTATTTATTGAGCTTTCTCTTTCTAGCCTGGAAATTCTACATCAACATTGCATTCGGTCTCTGTCTTGTTTGCATATCACCATCGTTGTTACAAGAAGTTAATACTGATGATCTCTGTGAAGGGATGCCAAATGGAACCTTCGTCCCTGATCCGTTAGCCTGTGAATCGTTTTACCTCTGTCTCACAGGTTGCTGAACAACGACAGCCATAATATAGTCTCAATCTAAATGATGTTGCTTTGCAGGCGAACCTCCACGATGGGCTGAATGTCCTAATGATTACTGGTTCAATCCTGAGACTAGTGTTTGTGATATGCAGGAGAATGTTGACTGTGTTCATGTTACGACTGAACCTCCTACGACCACCACAACTCCAGCCCCTACAACAACACCACCAACGACGGTTTGGGATCCGGACATTGAGGCTGGGATTGTCTGTCCAAGTCAGGACAATCCCTATAGGATCATATTTCTCCCGAGTAGCGTCGACTGTGGCCGATACTACATTTGCTATCATGGTCGGCCTCACAGATTTCAGTGTGTTTCAGGGATGTACTGGAACTCCTTTTGGGCTCAATGTGACTATCCTCAGAATACGTACTGTGAGGTGAGCCAACCTACTTATCCATGAATCGTTGCCTTTCATTAACTGTTTTGATTTTACAGGTAAACCCGAATCCGTTTCCCTTGTGTCCGAGAAGTGGCCTAACGATCTTTCCCCATCCTGACGAGTGTGACTCCTACATTTACTGCCTCAACGGAGAACCATCGATACAGAAGTGTCCCTTTTATCACCATTGGGATATTGGCAGTCAATCCTGCATGATGCAAGATCGAGCTCTGTGTGTGAAGGGTAAAATCTAGGACACACTTCAGATCCTTTAGAATAGTTGTAGTAAATTTCACAGTTTGTATTATTGCATAAAGCATATTTTACAAAATTCTTTATTTCAATTTTCAATCGGTGTTGTTTGTTGGTATTTCTGTTACACGCATGTCGTTTGGTCTAGTGACAAACACTGATTCTCTGCAGTGCTCCAGGCCATGCCATCAGAACAGGAGATCAACGTTGGCTCACCGTTGAAGCAGAAGAAGGCCTGGCGACAGTTGGTTGGATGCGGACGGAAGACTAATCCAACTTCCGGACAGCCTATATTTGCCACAGGTCCATCGGGCTGAATGGAAGTGACATTGTTAACGATGAAACAAGAGTCAAAGAACATAGGCTTACCGTGCAGGCAACGTTTCGCTCAGAATCGCAACCATTGATGAGGGGATTGTACATGAGTCCCTCACCACACTCTCGCATGGTTGGATTGTCTTGATGGCAGATAAAGTATCGCTGACAGTCGATTTTGCTGGCCACGAAGACGAAAGTGCTGGGATCCATGTCAGCCGTGCAAGTGGCGGCAAAACACTCGGCCTTAGAGACAAGATTACAGCGTCCAATGACTTCATCGTACATGAAACCGACAGGACACTTGGTGAAATATCTGTTGCCGTTCAAACATCTCACGAAAGAGTCACAGGTTTTGGACTCAGGATTTGTCATTGCGGTTTCATAGTCAGGACAGTTCGTGCACGCCACGTTTCTCTGATGGTCACAAGCTTGGGTGGCTTCGTTGAAGAAAAACGGTTCAGGACACTTATCATGATGAGCCACACCGTTCACGCACACATAGTAGTTTTCACAGCGCGCAAAGTCCTTAAGGAAGCTGCGATCCGGCACATTGCGACACATCTCATTGGGATCCTTCCCCAGAGAGCCTCGGATGAGGAGTAACAGAGTCAAAGCACACAAGAACCTCTCCATTTTCGGGGAACAAGTGACTGGTGAGAAAGTAGGTGTCACGCAATAAATACCCTTGTAAGACTGGCCTGATTTCCTTTGTCAACACATTCCAATCGAATGCAAGGCGGCGATAAGGGAACATTTAATTTAATTAGGTGTTTCCCATTCCCTGCACAATCACTTGCATCGTGTTCTCTTCACTTGTGCTGGACAAATTGATGCGTGTGCGTCGGTTGTGTAATCTTATCATGGTTTCTCGTGCAGTAGACATGGAGGCGCGATAGTTTTGATAAGTACTCCAGCCAAAGCTGAGCAGTTGCTTTTATCCAAAATACACGTGTCAGCAGATACTGCGGTATTTTTTTTTATAATGTTTCAAAATTTAATTAATAAAAGCATAATCTTTACTGTAGGTTTTTGAGTTTATTCGGTTCTATTTACAAGTAATACAGTTTGTTAGTAACATAATCTGGTGAATGAACTTGACTTCGGCATTCAATAAGCGCACGCTACGTTGTCTTGAGGTTCGCAACGCAGAGTTGTGGGATTAAAGTAGAGGCCATCAGCGCAGGACTGCTCATAGGCATGGCCGTCTATGCAGAGAACGTATCGTTGGCAGTTTCCTGAGTAGGGCAAGTAGTGCATTCCCGTGTAGGGACACTCAAAGTTCGACAGGGGCTTCAGCTCGAAGATCCTCTGAACGGGTGACGACGGCAGGATGCAGACAGCCTGTCCGATGGGCAGACAGAATCTATGATCTCTGCAGAAGTGATAAGTGGCTGGACAAGTGTGGCGAGTGGGCTGACGGTTGAAGCAAATGTAGAAGTTATCGCAGCTCGTGTCGTCCGGAACAAGAACCACGCCATCGACATCGGGACACTGGACTCCTCCGGGTGGCGGTGGTGGCGGTTCAACGACTTCACAGTTGGCCAATTCGGGGAAGTTGCACTTGCGCAGGATGGGATCGAAGTGCAGATTATCGGCGCAGGACTGCTGAATGGGACTCTGGTCTGGATTGCCTGTGCAGAGGTAGTAGAGGTTGCAGTTGGTCGGATGGGGTTCTCTGCTCACTTCTCCGGGAGTGCAGGTGACATTCGATGTTGTCTCACACTGGGCAATCTCGGGATAAGTGCATGTTTGTCCCAAGGGATCGAAGTGTAAGTAACCCATGCACAATCCGCAGTTGGCCACATTTCCGCCGATGCACTGCACCCAGTTCTGGCAGCCGCGATGGCTGCTGACGAAGGCATTGCCCACAATGCCCTGGCACAGCGCTGGCGGGTAGATTTCAGAACATGCTTGTCCCAGGACCGCGGGAGCAAACAGCACCAGCAAAGCCGCAATCACTGCAAATGATAGTTTGTTTATTAAGAGATTCCAATTTTTCATGCACTTTTATAAAAAGTTCCTTAATAAATTTAGCGCTATCGTCTGTTTCTCTTGACTGTGAAACACTATAATAATAGTTCGTTTAATACTTCAGTGTCTGCATTTGCAAGTAATGTAGGTGGAGATATTGCAACTCTTTGTCAATTGGATTGGATCTTAAATGAGAATAGTTACGTTTACAGCTTCAGCATCAAGTAAAAGAGCAACCCTGGAAGTTGTGAAACAGTTGATGAAGAAACAATTTCATGTTTCTTCAGTGTTTCCGTTGCGGTTTCGAATGTTGATTTGTGTGTTTAACTGTGCTTTTCTTTTAGTATCTTGCAATTATACATTCCAATTGTTAATTTTATTACATTGATTAATCATAAGTTTTGTCAGTCTCTTAAGTTAAAAGTCCAGCGAAAATGTTTTTGACACGAGAATCAATTATTTTCTGTGCAATTTTCCAATCGCTGATGAGAAAATAATCCACAAGCTTCCGATAGTGACTAATTTCACACACTTAAGTCGCGGCACTCAACTCACCTCTCATTGTGAAATGGGAAATTCGAAACTATGACCAATAACTTCACTTCTTTTCCTCTCACTGTGTCGATCCTGAAGTTTTCTACTCTCTTGAACCTCACCAGTTGAAATGTACGATGGAACTGAAGGGAAATCAAGCGGGTCAAGGCACATATTCCTGAATTTATACGTAATCTCAACGGAGTGATAAGGAGTATCACAGAGTGAGTTCAAAATAGGAATTAAAGTCTTTAACTCTTTTCCTCTCTTTGGCAATTCCTCCGTCTTGTGATAAAGTGATATGGCAAGAATTTTCGGCAAAAATCACACCTAAAAACACACTGGCTTTGCCTTTTAATGGCACACATTAATCTCGCCATTGTTCATAAATAACAGGAAGGAGATTTTTGGCAATGTCTTGAAATTCCGTCAATTTTCAAGTGATTGAATTGACAGACAAACTAAACTCACATCCGGTGAGTGACTGAATTGAGAGAGGCTGAATATATTGAAGAGTTATCAATAAATTTTGCAAACAGTCGCGAAATACAACATTTGCTCTGATGAGAAAAATTCTATGAATTCTGGGAAAGTAATCAATAACCAAGACATGCCAGAATTTTAAGAAAAAAATGCAAATACTTCAAATTGAGAGCTGAACTTTGAGTATCTCGAGCTTGATCTCGCATATCACAAGTGGAATTAATGAAAATCGATTATAAGAGCTGACTCACTGTCTTATTTCTTAATGGGATAAACGACAGAAATTTGTACAATGTGGATGTTATCTAATCTTGCCGATAAGCTCCCGAAGTCATGCAATGTGAATTTTTTTTAATGGGTAATACGTTACGGTCGTTCAAGTACATATTTCACACTTGGTTACCTACAAACCGGACAGGAAAAACCCTTGGCGAATTGAATGACATGATTTACGGAAGAGCAACAAAATTTTATACATTCTTTAACGATCGCACAAAAGACGTCGAAAAGTTGAACATGATTATTTAATAAAGCAAAAATTGTTCAAACAATCAGTTCTTCGCGAGAATTCTTAGTGAACAACACGTTGTTTAGCAATTGAGGTGAATAATGAGTGCGAAAGAAGGAAAAATCGTGATTGTTCAGCCGCCTTGCGGGCCAATTAAGGGTGTGATCGAGACTTCACCCTTCGGATACGAATACGCGAGTTTCTACGACATTCCGTACGCGAAACCTCCTCTCGGACCGCTTCGCTTCCGCGATCCCGAAGTCCTCGAGCCCTGGACGGATCTGTTGGATGTCAGTGAAAGTGCGCCGAACACTATTGAAGCTCAGACGTTGAATGAAGATTGCCTCAGGCTGAACGTTTACACGAAGAACTCGCGACTTGAGTGCGAACTTCAGCCAGTGATGCTCTTCATCACCGGCGGATTCTTCCTACGCAGTCCGAAGCACAAAGACGTTTACGGGCCGCAGTTTCTGCTGCAGAAGGACGTTCTCTTCGTCAACTTCTCGTACCGAACAGGAGCTTTGGGCTTCCTGTCGAGCGACGATCCTGAAGTTGGCGTTCCGGGAAATGCTGGACTCAAGGATCAAGTGATGGCCTTGCGCTGGGTGCAGGAGAACATCGCCGCCTTCGGAGGAGATCCTCGCGACGTGACGCTGTTCGGCTACAGCGCGGGAGGATGCAGCGTCCATTATCAGACGATTTCGCCTCTGTCCAAGGATCTCTTCCACAAGGCAATCATAATGTCCGGAACCGCGTTCTACGTTCGAGGATACATGCCGAAGTTGCGCTGGACGACGAGGCTGGCCAGGAAGCTGGGATGGATCGGGAAGGATCACGAGGAAGCGTCAGCCTTTGAGTATCTGAGGAAAATCGACGTGGCGACGATCAAGGCTAACGAAGAAACCATTTTAACCGACGAAGAGCGCCAGAACGGTTTACCTTCGATCTACGGGCCGACTTTGGAAGCCTACAGATCAAGGATGACGATGATTCCAGAGCCTCCCGAGGAGATGATGAAGCACGCCTGGAGTCACTCGATGCCGCTCATGATCGGAGGAACGCAGAATGAGGGACTTCTTTCATACAAAAATGCATTGGAAAATCCTAATATTTGGAAGACAATTAACGAGAATCCATCATCCCTCATACCATATAATCTTACGCAGGATCCAAGGAAAAGGAAAGCCTACGGCGAAAGGATGAAGTTGTTCTATTTTGGGAATGAAAATGCAAGTGCAAAAGACTTGGATGCCTACATATTTGTGAGTTTCTTATGATTTCTCCATGACATACTTAGTTCTGATATATTTCACATTTTTCCAGCTTCAAGGCGACATTTCGTATTGGCACTCCAACTACAAGGCTCTGATTGGGAGGCTCAAGTACCCGGAAGTGGGCGTCAGAGGCCCGACTTGGCTGTACAACTTTGCGTACGATTCGCCCGAGTGGTACAAATATCGCGTGTCGATTCCCGCGCGGGGATTCCCCGGCGTGGCGCACGCCGACGACATGCTCTTCCTGCTGCACAACGACGCCGGCTACGGAATCCCGCGCACCGGAAGCTCCGACTACTACATGATGAAACTGATGGTGGAGATCTACACGTCCTTCGCCATCAACGGCGATCCGAACAATGATCTCTTGAGAAAAGTCATGGGCAAGTGGGAAGCTGTGTCTTGCTTATCCCCAACTATTTGCTGCAGTATCGACAATTCTCCGGAAATGATGGAGTTGCCCGAGAAGTGGAGGGTGATTTTCTGGGATATGCTCTATGATGAGGAGAAGAAGATTGATACTCTGGAGCGTAGACTTGGGGAAAGACGTTCCTTGAAAACTCACACTTTCGAGTATATAATGAAAGAAGATCTCTACATGAGAAATAGCTGCCCTGAAGACACTGAGAGTCAAAGGGCGCCTGATTTAAAGAAAGTAAACTGTGATTTAATATTAACATTGCTTCCGATTCCATTGATTATCATGATTGCTATAATTTATTTCTTGTTACGATGAGAAAATCATCGTTTATGTTTGAAGAAAATTCATCAAATTTCACGAGTACATTCTATTTGTGCGTAATAAAGGTAATAAATTAAGTTATGAATTTCAAGCTCGATTTACGTCAGTATAAAGAAGATTCAGGCACTGTTGTTTCTGGAAGCTCTGGTGTTGATTCTGAAGTGGAAGTTTCTGGAGCTCCAGTTGGTTCATGATCACACTGAACGTTTTCCTTCCAATCGCAAACCTGTTTTCAGAGGATCTCTTTAGAACACAGTCTAACAAACTGGTGCATCTGTCTTACCTCTAGTTCTGGATTGAAGTAGAGACCATTGCTGCAGGCGTGCAGAACAGGGACACCATGGTTGCACTTGTAGAACAATGAGCAGTCCGACTCGTGTGGGAAGTGCACAGCTGGCGCATCCGGAAGGTCAATTTCTGGACAGAGATTCTCTGCCAGAGAGGCAGCAAAGATCGCGAGTAGGAAGAAAGCGCACGTCTTCATGATGGACAGGGGAAACTGATAGTCGAAATTGTGAAACTACAGCAGCTTTTATACTCACGACACGAGAGTCTTGTTATCACCAATTATCAGTTGGCAACGCAGGAATTGCAATTTATTGAATGGCTTAACTTGAGGAAGTACTTGAGACAATGTCCGATGACTAAGTTTGTTCTGCATTTTCTGTCTGCTTTATTGGCATTCTGACATTACAGATCAAATCTATTAATATCTACTCAATAAACTTTTCCATTTTTTTTCTTCACTTTTACATGCATTTTTTTGCTTATGTCATTAAAAGAATGGTATAGATATAGAAAAGGGAAATGAATTTCATTTTTTAAAAACAATCACATTTAGAAAATATTCGTTTCAGTTCAACAAATTCATTTTTTTTCTCTTATACTCTTTCAAGATAAGATTACGAGCACTGTATGCTGTGCTTCACGCTAGAGGGCAGTAGATTGGAGACAGTGGAATTACGAGAGTGAAACGTACGTTTCTAGCATTCTTTGCGGGAAATCCATTTTCCTAAAATGTCATTAAAATACTTTTCGTGCTGCATTTGTGGCCTTTTCGCGCGATTTGATATTTAAATCACAATTTTGTCGTACGCTGGCGGCGGCGACTCCTCCACGTCCTTCGAGTTCTCCGGCAAGAGGATGGCAATGTGATAAGGTGGCGGAGGCGCCGGCGGCGGGGTCACAGCCACAATTGTTGCTGCAGTTGCACTCTGTTGCGACAAATTGGCAACGCTCTGCGGGGGAAACGGAAAAATTGCTTAATACATGAGAGATCACAGTAACAACGGACGATATTTAGGTCAATTTGCCAAAATATTTTGCTTTAAGTTCACTGACCAACGGCTGTTCACAGCGCCACTATCAGTGTTTAAACCGAAATCTATGTACTTCCGTTTGCCAAAAAAGATGCGACTGAGAAATATAATTTTTTTGTAACTAAAATGAGTGAAAATGTTTTGTATTAATTGTGCCACATTTTATCACTGTCTGAGGTAGATAAACAGATAAAAGTCGCGCGCTTGATCATGAATATATAAACAGGCACAGAAATTCTAAGGTCAGTAATTAGTGTGACTTTTGGAGTGAAACACTGAAGATTGTGAAGATAACATGAGCGGAAAAGAAGGTAAAATCGTGATTGTTCAGCCGCCTTGCGGGCCAATTAAGGGTGTGATCGAGACTTCACCCTTCGGATACGAATACGCGAGTTTTTACGACATTCCGTACGCGAAACCTCCTCTCGGACCGCTTCGCTTCCGCGATCCCGAAGTCCTCGAGCCCTGGACGGATCTGTTGGATGTCAGTGAAAGTGCGCCGAACACTATTGAAGCTCAGACGTTGAATGAAGATTGCCTCAGGCTGAACGTTTACACGAAGAACTCGCGACTTGAGCGCGAACTTCTTCCTGTTATGATCCATATCGTTGGAGGATTATTCCTCATTTCTAGAAGCCATAAGGATGTTCACGGTCCACATTTTCTGCTGCAGAAGGATGTTCTGTTGGTGACGTTTAAGTACCGAACAGGAGCTTTGGGCTTCCTGTCGAGCGACGATCCCGAGGTTTGCGTTCCGGGAAATGCTGGACTCAAGGATCAAGTGATGGCCTTGCGCTGGGTGCAGGAGAACATCGCCGCCTTCGGAGGAGATCCTCAGGATGTGACTTTGTTTGGTCACAGTGCAGGAGGATGCAGTGTTCATTATCACATGATATCGCCTATATCAAAGGATCTCTTCAACAAAGCAGTGATAATGTCTGGAAGTTCCTTATATGTTCGTGGATTTATGCCGAAGCTGCGCTGGACGACGAGGCTGGCCAGGAAGCTGGGATGGGTCGGGAAGGATCACGAGGAAGCGTCAGCCTTTGAGTATCTGAGGAAAATCGACGTGGCGACGATCAAGGCTAATGAAGAAACCATTTTAACCGACGAAGAGCGCCAGAACGGTTTGCCTTCGATCTACGGGCCGACTTTGGAAGCCTACAGATCAAGGATGACGATGATTCCAGAGCCTCCCGAGGAGATGATGAAGCACGCCTGGAGTCACTCGATGCCGCTCATGATCGGAGGGACGCAGAATGAAGGCCTTGTTTTTTATCAGGGTAAGAGAACGAAAAAAAGAATAAACGCTTAATTGTGTTGTAATTCGTGACACGTTTTCAGATGCCAAGGAAAACCCAAACGTGTGGAAAAAGTTAAATGAAAACCCCTCAACTTTATTACCATACAATTTGACGCAAAATCCAATCAAGAGAAAACTATTCGGAGAAAAAATGAAGCTGTTCTACTTTGGGGAAGATGAAGCTACTGTTGAGGATTTGGATACTTATATTTTCGTAAGTTTATTAAACTGAATTTTTAATGTACTATTATTGATCTTGTTATGTGTAACTTTTTCAGTTAAAAGGAGACATTATGTACTGGTATTCTAACTACAAGGCTGCAATGGAGCGTCTTAATTTTCCCGGAGGGAAGTATAAAGGACGAACTTGGCTGTATAACTTTGCTTTTGCGTCCGAAGAGTGGAACAAACATCGTCTTAACAATGCTATAAGGGGAATCCCCGGAGTGGCGCATGCCGATGATATTCCCTTCATTCTCAGCAATGCTAATTTCATTCCACGCGCTGGCACTCCAGAATACGATGTGATGCAGATGATGGTGGACATTTACACGTCCTTCGCCATCAATGGAGATCCCAATAATGCGCAATTGCGAAAAGTTTCTGGCAATTGGAGAGCCATTTCTTATCTGCGCCCATTCGTTTGCTGTAACATCGAGAATCCACCGGAATTGATGGATCTCCCGGAGAAGGAGAGAGTATCGTTCTGGGACACTATTTATAAGGAAGCACAAGGACAGTGACAATATCACTGGGTTTTCTTTTATCATTTGACGCAATTGGAATAAATGAAATGTGTGAAACATTGCGTTTAACCATTGGCAGCATAGAAAGCATTGAGCACGGTCAAGATTATCATTATGCGGATTGTGTGTATTTTGTTGGCATTCGAATTCTTTTTGTGGTTTATATCAATAACTCAACTCGTGTGGTAAAGATAAACAGATAAAAGTTATGGATATAATAGAGTTCAGCTTTGCTCACTCAATTAGTCTTAACGTGGCTTCTGAAGTGAAACACTAAAAACTATTTCCCTCAATCAATTGAAAAGTGGAAAAGAGTGCAAGTGAGGTGAAAAATGAGTGCGAAAGAAGGAAAAATCGTGATTGTTCAGCCGCCTTGCGGGCCAATTAAGGGTGTGATCGAGACTTCACCCTTCGGATACGAATACGCGAGTTTCTACGACATTCCGTACGCGAAACCTCCTCTCGGACCGCTTCGCTTCCGCGATCCCGAAGTCCTCGAGCCCTGGACGGATCTGTTGGATGTCAGTGAAAGTGCGCCGAACACTATTGAAGCTCAGACGTTGAATGAAGATTGCCTCAGGCTGAACGTTTACACGAAGAACTCGCGACTTGAGTGCGAACTTCAGCCAGTGATGCTCTTCATCACCGGCGGATTCTTCCTACGCAGTCCGAAGCACAAAGACGTTTACGGGCCGCAGTTTCTGCTGCAGAAGGACGTTCTCTTCGTCAACTTCTCGTACCGAACAGGAGCTTTGGGCTTCCTGTCGAGCGACGATCCTGAAGTTGGCGTTCCGGGAAATGCTGGACTCAAGGATCAAGTGATGGCCTTGCGCTGGGTGCAGGAGAACATCGCCGCCTTCGGAGGAGATCCTCGCGACGTGACGCTGTTCGGCTACAGCGCGGGAGGATGCAGCGTCCATTATCAGACGATTTCGCCTCTGTCCAAGGATCTCTTCCACAAGGCAATCATAATGTCCGGAACCGCGTTCTACGTTCGAGGATACATGCCGAAGTTGCGCTGGACGACGAGGCTGGCCAGGAAGCTGGGATGGGTCGGGAAGGATCACGAGGAAGCGTCAGCCTTTGAGTATCTGAGGAAAATCGACGTGGCGACGATCAAGGCTAACGAAGAAACCATTTTAACCGACGAAGAGCGCCAGAACGGTTTGCCTTCGATCTACGGGCCGACTTTGGAGGCTTACAGATCAAGGATGACGATGATTCCAGAGCCTCCCGAGGAGATGATGAAGCACGCATGGAGTCACTCGATGCCGCTCATGATCGGTGGGACGCAGAATGAGGGACTTCTTTCGTATAAAGGTGAATTTTGAATGATCTTTTGAACACTCAATATTTTTTCTATACTTGATCTTAATCCTTTGCAAGATGCTGTCGAAAATCCCGGAGTTTGGCAAACCGTAAATGAGAACCCATCTAAGCTTATACCGTACAATCTTACTCAGCACCCAATCAAGCGAAGACTTTACGGAGATAAGATGAAGCTGTTCTACTTCGGAAGGGATGAAGCAACTCCTGAGAAAGATTTGGATTCTTACATTTTTGTAGGTTTTAGTGAAACTTAAGTATTCATATGACTGGCTTCCGCTTTCCCAGCTTCAAGGCGACACTTCGTATTGGCACTCCAACTACAAGGCTCTGATTGGGAGACTCAAGTACCCGGAAGTGGGCGTCAGGGGCCCGACTTGGCTGTACAACTTCGCGTACGATTCGCCCGAGTGGTACAAATATCGCGTGTCGATTCCCGCGCGGGGATTCCCCGGCGTGGCGCACGCCGACGACACGCTCTTCCTGCTGCACAACGACGCCGGCTACGGAATCCCGCGCACCGGAAGCTCCGACTACTACATGATGAAACTGATGGTGGAGATCTACACGTCCTTCGCCATCAACGGGGATCCAAACAATGATTTCCTGTCTGAACTTATGGGCAAGTGGGAAGCTGTGTCTTGTTCAACGCCTTTGACTTGCTGCAGCATTGCCAATCCGCCGGAAATGGTGGAACTCCCAGAGAAGGCCAGGGTGATTTTCTGGGAAACCCTGTACGAGACGAGCAAGGAGCACAAGATCCAGAACAGAGATGTTGAGGTGTGGGATTGAGGCCATAATATGAATAATCATTTTGAATAAAGGAATATAGAAGCATGCAAGATGTTACTGGACTGTATGTTTATGCTCAAGTCCAGAGTCAACAAACGCATTTTCATTTTCCCCAAGTCTAGCATCCCGCCAAAAATAAACTTATCGACCTTGACCTTATCGCGCGCAGTCCGCGAAAACATTGCTGGGTCACTAACCTGATGGACGATTTGTGGTGATTCGGCTGTCGCGTTGACCACAACGTGATCCACGGAAGCCACAGACGGCGTCACCGGTGGGAAATGGATGTCGCGCGAGCGCCGGCAGAGCGAGACGGTGCACGCGGCGAGGAAGAATGTGGCCGAGAAGGCGCAGAAGATCAGCACCTCGAGTCCAGTGCCCTGGTGATCGAAGTAGAACTTGGCGCCCGCCACGAACACCGTCGCGAGCGCCAAGGAGGCCCACATGCCGCACTTGAGGTGCGTCGGCAACAGCTGCGACTCCGCGCTGCGCGCCTCGTTGCCGAGCAGCAACTGGGGCGCGGTGGCGGAGTCCGACTGGGCGGCGAGGCCCAGAGAGCCGTGCTCGAGATCCAGGGCGTGCGATGGACCACTATGGAGTAGAGCTATATTTAGTAACTTTATCTGTGGCTCTTATCACTACTAACATATGACCAAAAACCTCTTATCAATCAGCCCAGAATACAAAAAAGAATTATATTATAGTCTCTTGAAGATATGTATTTCATGCATGAACTATTGCCTTGCATCAGAAAGTTTAGGTGGAGAAAAAAAAAACTTTCCATTGGCCTGTTCTTAATCTCGCCCAAAACCTTTTATCGCTTCTTGTGTGAAATTTTTGCCCGCGCAATTAAATGCGGAGAAGTGACTGATATCAGTGTTGTAAGAAGGGGCAATTAATTTGCAAACGCGATGTTTGAAAAACGGATTATAGGATGTGACTGAACGCAGTTTAACGTCTCAGTCCCGATGGAATGAGTAACTTTTGGTCCTTCGAGCCGGATACAGCCTCACCTGGCGTATGTGTGGGGGAGTGAAGCTACTGCAAGGTGGCAATTGGAGTCGTGCACGGCCTGTGCCTGGTGTCCTGGCTGCTGCGAGTGATGAAGATGGTGGTGATGACTGTGACTTCCCTGGCATCTCTGGTGCCTCGGCGGGGCGCTCGGGGGCGCTTGGATGGCGGGAAAGCGGTGTACAGGAGTGACCATGGACTTCCCGCGCGGACGTCGCGGATGATAACCGAATCCCGTGCCGGAGAGCGACGCCGCGACACGGGCGCGTCCAAAGCCACACGCCTGGGAGCGCTTATCAATCCAGAAGTGCATTGTGAGACGCTCTCTCTCTCCCCCCCGCTAGATTGTGATTCGTCTTCTGGGAGACTGGCTAAGCGGAGCGCCAAGATGAGTCAGATGGGTGGTGAGAAACTGCTCAAGATGGATGGGAGAAAAATCGATAATTAGAAAACAATTAGTGATATCTGAGCTGTGCATATTTTTTGACCTATTTCCAGGCATTTCGCATTCACCATTTCATCCGCACATCACTTCCCACCCCTCGTGCGCTCTGCGCCCCGAAAGCTGATAAAGCCCAACGAGAGACTTTGGGAGAGGGAAACTGCCACGGTGAAATGAGCTTCAAATGGAGTATCAGTGTCAGTCACAATCTCTATGCTTAGTGAAGAGCTCTTATTGCATTTGTGGCGTCTTCATCACATATACTTAAGGCTGTTGGCAAACAAGACTGACTGGATTTTCGTCAAAGCGGCAGTTTTAGTTTCAAGGCATTCGTCGTATATTGGAAGTATGTGAAGTGGATTTTGCATTATAAATTTTTCACCTATATATTGCAGTTATCGTGTTGGCTCTCTTTGTGGCGCTCTACCTAACCTCAAATGCATTCGCGCGCGAAATGTGCCCTAGTTTCCAGGTGTATACACATAGTTTTAGAGGACCTGGAGATGCTATATATGTGCAGAACATCATGCAAATTTGTAGTCTTTGACCTCAAATAACATTGATGTGTCCAGTGCTCGTGTGTGTTTATTTACAGTACATGATCATGCTATTCCGTAAACATTTTACCTCTTATCTACAAATGTTCTCTTTTTATCATTGTCTTCACTGTGCGCTTGTTGGAATTCTATTTATTTCTGGCCTCTCACACACAATTTCCACTGTGTCTTCCTTGTTCTGTCATCTTCTGATGTCGCTCGTCTTCTCGCCACCAAAAGATCGAACTTATTTATCTTATGCTTTCTGTATTATGTGCTCACTCTCTCTCTAGAGCTGGGACTGTTTTTACTTTCCCCCACGGCCCAGAGACATTTGATAAAAGCGCGCGCACCGATAAGAAAATCAATTTTAAAGTGGAAATATCATGTAAATATACGCAGAAATTATTCGATGATCTCCTGTACTCTGAGATTCCTTTGCCACTTTACACAAACTTCTAGCGCGCACTTTTTTGCATCTCTCAACACCTGCTCGGATAAATATCAATTAATTATCCTCACTCTCCCACAATCAACCATCATGTTCACGTATGGCGAGGGTTTTCACGGGGTTTTTGCAGTAATTTTCACGCAATTTCCGCACGCTGCACTTATCAACCAGCACGCAATCACTGCGTGTGTCCCTATCACGACACTTTCACGCGGATTTGACACAGAAAAGAGTCTTTTCACGGATGAAACATGATTTTTGCAAAGCACTGATCACTTCAGTGTGTTTATATGATGAGAAAAACTGGGACGATTGGATGGAGCCTGGGGAAGAATGTTGGAAAGTGCGCAAACTCAACGAATGCCACCATTTGACAGCCCCTCGCGATGCAATTGAGGGTGAATTAGTGCATTTAGAAGCTTTATGAATTACCTGTCTAGATTAGTTAAGTGTTCTTGACATAATTCTTCCTCTTTTTTACGATGCAACGGATACAATGATGCTCTGAGAGCCGCCATTGCGACATATTAAGTGTGTTGTGTGATTTTTTAGCGACATTCAATGCAAAACAAATGCACTTTATCGCCCTCAATTGTGTCAACAAGGCGTGGAAAAGTGTTTCCAAGTGCGTAACGCTCTGTGGAATAAACCAGCTGATTTTTATTCCACGATTCGCCCGCATTATCTCAAAAGCGCGCGCTCATAGAAGCGCGCATTCGTCGCTGAGTTTTGAATTGCGCGACACTTTTTCCGGAGAGCGGCCGGCATGACGTCACGGCCAGTGGCGCAGTTTGACGTGTCGCGAAGTGAAAACAAAGAGGAGAGGGCGAGTTTTGGGCAGTGCAAAGAGAGTCGCAAATTGTGAGAAATTTCCAGAATAACAGTGATAACGTGGGGCTGTGACTGCTTTCAGGGGTGATTCGTGAGCTTTCTTCTGTGTCTGGCTGGAGAGATAATGGGACTGCTATCAATGATTTACGCGGACATTGAGCGCAGCACAAAAGTGCCCCCTTTCTGCAGCTGTTTCCTGCGACAGGAGCGCGAGGATCCCACCAAGAGGCACCTGATCGACCAGTGTCGGTGCGGCGAGGAGCACTGTGATGTCTACGAGTGGACCTGGGACGCGAAGATCCCGCATCCGGACTCCTACATCAGCGATGCACACGTTGTCTTCCACCCGGTCTACAGCCAGGGTACGGCAATGGTGCGTTAACTCATTAGCATTTCTTATCTCGGGGCGCCTAATTGAGCCTCCGCTGAGGGATGAGTCTTGTGGGTCTTGAGCTGAGCTTACAGTGATCCCACTTGATTTGTTTTGACAAATTTTGGCTACTTTGACCTCTACTAATTCATGGCCAACTAGTTGACTTGTTGCCATTCCGCAACTTCTCTGTTTGTTTATGTCATCGCGTCTGAGGGGCTATTCTAATTCAATTTCTGGCGCTAATCTGGGATTCTAATCTGTCTGTCTGCTAATCTTGATCACCTTGAAAATCATATTTTTGCTCAGTTAGGAAGATTCAATGTATTTAATATTTCCTTTAAACTGTGGAAATCATGGGGAAATGAGTGAAAATGTTGCTTTGAAACTCCAAGAACTAATTTAAATAGTAATATTTATTTTCTTCGAATAATCTTCTAATGTTTTGGAATTCTAAATTTTACGGTTTTTTTTATTCTTCTTGACCTCAAATTATTTGACTCTCCTTGACTATTTTGCGTCCATTTCTGCATGTTTGTTGGCGAGTCTGACCTGGTCTAACTATGCTCGCAGGTGCGTGGCAACCGCGCCCTGGCCATGGGCATGTGTCACTACTGGGAGATCAAGATGATGTCGCCGGTCTCGGGCACGGACATGCAGGTGGGCGTAGGCACGGACCAGGTGAACCTCTACTCCCACCAGTATTCCTTTGGCAGCACCATCGGCCTGGACGAGCACTCCTGGGGCTACTCCTATCGCGGCGTGGTGCTGCATCGCGGGCGCAGCTTCTTCTTCGGCAAGAAGTACACGCAGGGCTCTATTGTGGGCGTGCTGCTGAATCTGCGGCGCGGCACGATGGATCTGTACATAAACCGCGTGCCGCAGGGCCAGGCCTTTCACGACCTGCCGACAGATGGCAGCGTGAAATTGTACCCCATGATCTGCAGCACGGCGGCGAAGTCGCAGATGAAGCTGCTGAACGCCGTGTCGTTCCGTGAGAATTTGCAGTATCACGCCATGAAGGTGATCTACAGACAGCCGCAATTGCTGGCGGAGCTGCAGACCTATCCCTCGTTCCAGGCCATCGTGAAGCGCTTTTGGTTCCTCAGGCAGGACGACCGGAAGTACAACACCGACCGTGAGGATCGCATCTCCAAGCGACAACAGCAGCCGGAGATTCTCGAGAACGCCGTCCTGCTGAAGAATCTCGGCGAGGGGAGCTCCAAGGCTGCCACAGGTGAGCCCCTGCAGTCCCACTAGGGAACAGCCCTGGGCGTAGTCGCCAAATCTCACCTTCTCTTCCCTATTCGCAAGCATTTAACGCAAAAGTCTGCTCTGAAATATACAATTTTGTTTAGCATTGCATTTGCACAGTGTGTTTATTGAGTGCGCAAAGGGTTAATGGAATTCTTTTTCTTTCTGTGGTCAATTTCACTAGTTAGAAGCCTCTCTTAATTCCACTCTGTGCTGGATATTTTCCTGCCTTATCTCGCTCGTGATGAAGCCCCACAATCGCCACTCACGCTGTCTTTTCTCACATTCCAGATGAGACTGACTACGAAGTGACTGACGATGTTTACGAAAATATTGAGATTTCACACAAAGCGAAGGAAATATCCAGTAATTCTTCCGATGAGGACGTCGATATGGACCTCTATGAGTTCTTCTGCAATCACAGAATGTGAAAATATGTCGTTTTTTTTATGGAGTTTCACTTGATTTTTTTTACCACACAAAATAAAGCGCAGTTGATATTTTTTCAAAAACATGCTGTCGCTCAGTTTCCGGATGACTGAGCGACAATTTTTCCCCTCTCGGCGAGTTGTCAAATTATGCAACATTTTGTGCGGAATTGAGGAAAAACGCTGGAGTTTTCGGTGCGTTTTGAGGTCAATTCGCGTGAGTTTTCCAGTTTTCACGGCACAAATCGCCATGGCGTCCCTCGTGCGAGGCGTTTGTAGTGCATTTAGTCGAAATAGATGCATGGTGCGCGTGCTGGCGCCCCGGATTGCTGGCAGTGCAGCCGTTCTGCCACAGAGACTGCTTCACTGTGAAAAACAGCCCCCAACTGCCGCCCTTCTCAGCAATACACCCCAGGTAAAGCGTCCCGGTGGCTTAGGCGGAGATTTCTTGGCGCAAGAACCAGTTTTCTGTGCGCTCTGTGACCGGAAAACTGACCGTCTGCCTCTCATCACATTGTGTGTCCGGAAGATGGCTGTCAAATGGCTGGCGACATAACCTCACATTTGACCCGGACACGGACGAAAAAATGTTGATTTTTCTCACAAATTGTTGTTTCTTCATTTCTGTTTTTCATCACACACACTCCGCGCTATCAGTGGCACAAGATTGGCTGTAGATTGTTTGCCACCAAGCCGAGTGTTGAGGAGGTTCAGGCACGAGTACTGAAAGTCGTTGCCGCTTATGACAAAGTGAATGAGAAGAAGGTATTTTCACGGATTTTCTCTCTTTTCTCTCCTGTGCTGGATTCAGGTGCATGGCTGGCAGTCTCAGATTGTGAGGCAGTATTCATCAAAACCGCCCCTCACGATTCAATTTGTCACGGAGCGCGTTCTATTGGTGCTGAAGTTGTACGACAAAGTTGACCCTGCCAAGGTATTTTCATCCTTTTTCCTGGCCTTCTCCACTCTGACACTGCCAACAATTGCCAGAAAACCCGATGAAGGCGATTAATTGCGCTCACGTGCACTAATTCTGGCCTCTTTTTTCCCATTCCCGGACAGCTCACGGTGGACTCTCACTTCATCAATGACCTGGGGCTGGACTCGCTGGATCACGTGGAGGTCATTATGGCCATGGAGGATGAGTTTGGCTTCGAGATTCCCGACCATGATGCCGAGAAGCTCAACCGGCCCGCGGATATTGTGCGATATGTCTGCGACAAGGAGGATGTCTACGACTAGAGAGGTGGAAAATGTCGGTAAAGAGCACTAAAACACCACGAATGTGTATAACTTTCATGTCTACAGCTGATTTATGAAATAGAGATGGAATTTAGAGAATAAAATCTCCCTAAAAACCGAGAGAAAGAGTTGTTTTCCCCTAAATTGGGCTTTGCATGCGATTTGAATTTCCCGCCATGCTTTGTGGAACCACGAAATATCTGTGGAATGTAAATTTCATATTGGAAACTGATTTAATTCAACGTATTTGCGAATACAATTACTCAGATTTCTTCAATTTACCACCCAGGATAGTCTCTTGATTCATTTTGTGTGTAAATACAGCGAAATATAGTGAATTTTTGAGAACAGACGCCGGTTTTCCGCTCGACTCACACTTCGTGTGTGGAAATTGAGCAGCGCCGCCTCACATCGGGCAACACATTTCCAGTTCGTGTTGTCAGTGGATTTTTCGCTACGTCGAAAAGCTCGGATTTCAGTGCTAAAATCTCTGAAAATATCTCAGTGAAGACTTTATAAACACCTTTTTCGTCTTCTTCAGCACTCATTGCATCCGCGTCGCGTGTTTTCCCGTCTCGGAGTGCCGCGGAAAGTGGGTAAATGAGCGTGTGAAAGTCGCTCTTTGTGGACGAGTTGTGAAGGCAAAACGAAGCCATCTTGCTTATTTGGTCTCGAGTGAAATTCAGTCGGGAATAATGGCGAGTCCGTCGCCGCAGAGCAGCCCCATGCCGCCTCCGCAGGCGCCCAGTCCCATGGGTCCGCCGTCGCAGTCCCCGGCGCCGTCGCCGTCGCCGCAGAGCCCGTACCAGCATCCGGCGCACTCTCACGGCGCGCCCCCGCCGCCGCCGCACATCAACGGGCCCCCGCCGCCGCACCACATCCCGCCGGCGGGGCCGCCGCACATGCAGCACCACCCCGGCATGGGCCCCCACGCGGGCATGCCTCAAGGTGAGCTCTGACAGGCGTTTTCGGGCGCTCGCTGACCATTTGTGTCTCCGCAGGACCGCATCCGGGCATGTCGATGCCGCCGCAGGGCCCGCCGATGGCCCCCATGGGCTACCAGCCGCACAACATGCCGCCAAATGCCGTGAGTCCCACCCATTCCCTTTTCCATGGGCAGAGAAATGTGAGTGTCGACTCGAGTGATCTCTCGATGTGGCGTTGAGTGCGTAGACGTTGTCCGGGGGCGGAGGAGAGTGTCTCAGGGCGCCACGAGAGTCTCAAGCTCCCCCATTGTTGCCTGGCAGGGATTCACAAGTGTCTCTATGAGCTTCTAAAAAGCAATTTAGGCTTAAAATGTCACAATAAGTGCAGATTTAGAGGTGAAATCTTATGTAAAAAACCTCTTTAATGACAAAAAAAGTCGTTTAAAGTTTGTCTTTTAATTAGTAGAACATTTTATTGTCGAATCAAATGAGCAAAAATCTTTCTTTATTAGCGGTAAAGATTTTCAATGAAAATTTTTCAATTTAGAAAATAATAAATTCAGCGTCTTTTTTTCTCTTGAAGTGCTAACTTAAGGTTGAATTTGTCATGTTTTTGGGTTGATTTCATGGCACATTCACCATTTATTTAGTATTTATCGTAGCGTCAGACAGATAATTAATCTAGGCGATTTTCATTATCGCCTTTAAACCTTTGCTTGTTTGTGCACAAAAGCATTGGAATTGAATTGAGTTTAGCGATAAAGAGACTCAGAGCTGAGAGACACTTTCCTCCAACCTCGATGGTTTTTCTTTTCCCCCCCAAAAACTGCATGATTTGTGCGTGTGACGCGCGCGGTGTTTTTATTTGAATGGCAAGAGATTTGTGTGCAATTGAGAAATCTACTTGGCGAATGTGATGACTTTACCGGCGCACTCGCGATTGACGGCCAGCATCTCGTCGTAGAGTTCTTGTGTGCTGGCGACGAGCACTTGCGCCTCCATAATGTCGTATTCGCCGCCGCGGTGGTTCTTCACCACGCCGCCGGCCTCGCGGATGAGAAGAGCGCCGGCTGCGATGTCCCAGGGCTTGAGGTATTCCATCTGATAGGCGTCGATGGCGCCGCGCGCCACATAGCACAGTGCCAGCACGATGGAGCCCAGCGAACGCACGCCAATGGCGCGGCTGCTGAGCACGTAAGTGCGTCCGATGACGTCGTCACGCAGCGACGCCGCCCAGCCCAGCGAGACTTCCACAGAGATCACGGAGCTGCTGAGGCTGGTCACGCGGCTGCAGCGTATGCGGTCGCCGTTGAGGAAGGCGCCGCGGCCGCGAATGGCGGTGTAGAGCTCGCTGTGGATGGGATTGAGGCAGATGGCGAGCAGCAGCTTATTGTCCACGGCCAGAGCGACGGAGATGCAGATGAGTGGATTGCTGTGGATGAAGTTTGTCGTGCCGTCGATGGGATCGATGATCCACGTTGGATCTCTGGTCAGAGTGTTCTTGGCGGCGGATTCCTCGGCGATGAATCTGGAGAAAGAGCGTTAATCTTGAGTGTTTGTTTTTGTGTTGAGAGAAATGTCTCACTTGTGACTCGAATATTTCTGCTTAATCCCATTAATTATGATGTCTTCCACCGCTCTGTCGTATTCAGTGACGAGATCAGCAGCGTCTTCCTTCTCTTCCACCTTTTTTGTCTTGTTGAAACCCTCGAGAATCACTTCACCGCCCTTCTTCACCAATTCCAACACATATTGAAAGCACTCTTGCAGACTTTCCTCGTTGGAAAAGTCGGGAAAGTCGGATAATTCACTGAAATTCACCATTTCTGCAGCGTGAGTGAATGGAAAATGGGTCTAATTTGCACGATTTACACTGACTGATTGCGTGTGTGAATTATATTACAGTCAGATGTTTCTCCCCACTTCTGAAAATTCAGCACTTTTTGGTGTGAATGTGGTTTTTTTTTCTTCTTTTGTGCGCGATAAAACACAATGATAGCGACCTTTATCTCCTGAAGAATGATTGTTGAAGTTGAAATCCGTGTGAGGAAGCCTAAATTTTGGTTTAAATATTTGTATTTGATTTTCAACACCACAAAGTGACACAGTTTTTATTTAATATGGTTTTTTCCACAATTAATTTCGACTATGAGTCGCTGATGTGAATTTGAGTGAATCAAATAAATTGGCAATTGATTCTATTTCTTATGAGTCTTGATTGATGGAAAAGGTCAAGTAGATTACGGGTTTTTTTTTAATAAGAAATTCACTGGATTCGAGTCTTGATTGTTGGAATTAACATCTGTGACAAGGGGTTAATCAAGTGGGAGAAAAGTGATTTCCATTCCTCAAAATTCCAAAACATTCCACAATCCATTCTTCGAAATATATTCTTTCGAAAGATATGTATAGAAATTCGAGCGCAAATCTTCCATTTAAGAGAATTTAGCACAAGATCAGGAAGTTTCGCGGGTTCGATTCTCCTTCAGTTGTGATTTTTTCACAACTTTTTTTCACTTTTCTTTCCTTTTCGAGGATTTTCTTTCACTTTATCGCTTCATATCAGCATTTTTTCTTCAATTTCTTCAAGAATTATTTCTAAAAACGCCATCTGATGATCGGAATTGCTTTTCTTTCACTAACTTTTTACTTCTGAATTCTTTTTGTCCGTTTTAATGTTCATTTTGGGGCTTGAAACTGTTCTAAATGTTGTAAATGCTATAAAATGTTTTAGAGTTTCTAGAAAAAGTCATAAACAGTGTGAAAATGGAAGGAAAATGGAGTGAAAAGGTGATATTATTAGTTTCCCAAAAGAGTTTAGTAGAAAATCTTTTATTCTGACTGGAAAATGGAATATTTACAACATATTTCGCGTATTCCTTGAGTTTTTGATATTTAATTTTATCAAGAATTTTATCCATTCCTGTCATTCCCGTCGATTCTTCACTTGAGCAACCCCTTGATCTGTGATGGCTTTTAATTGGACTAATTGGGAAGGTTGAATGTGTGTTTGAAGATTTGCCGAGATGATAATAAAAATTAGTATGAAAGACGTGAGAAAAAGTCATCGCGAAGTAAAATGATCAAGTTTCAAGGGACAATGAGAGGAAAAGCCTAAAATATGATGCTTTTTCTTTATTGTTCAATACTGACATAACAATGTTTTTTGTACTCTTGAGCAAGAAAAGCTCTCTATTTGTCACTGATTTTCAAGATTTTGCCGCTAAACTCGCGGTTGAACTGGAGGATTTGGTTGTGAAGTTCCGGATTGGCGGACACGACAATGCTGCCGTTCATGATGTCGTACGGCGATCCGTCGGGGTGGGAAATGACGCCGCCGGCCTCTTGGACGATGAGAGCGCCGGCAGCCAAGTCCCAGGGATAAATTCCCACCACTTGGTAGACATCCAGAATGCCACGGGCGACAAAGACCAGCCCGAGAACGGCCGAGCCGACTGCCCGGATGCCAGAGACGCGGCTCGTGAGGGCGTAAGTTCTGACCATGATCTCGTCGCGCCAGCGCTCGCGCGAGGCCAGCGAAGGCTCATCGCCCACGAGGCTGTGAATCAGGGACGTGACGGAGCTGGTGTGGATCTTGTGGCCATTCATGGTGGCGCCGTGGCCGCGGCGGGCGCAGTAGAGTTCACGCTGGATTGGCGCTGACACGACGCCCAGGACGAGTTGCTTGCGATGCGCCAGGGCGACGGAGATGGCCACGAGTGGATAGCCGTGGACGAAGCTTGTGGTGCCGTCGATGGGATCGATGATCCACGTGGGATCGTCCGTCAGAGGCTCTTTGGCGTGCTTCTCCTCGGCAATTATCCTGGGATAGAGAGGAAGATTGTGGGCATGAAGAGGCAAACAAGCAGTAAATCAACTGGCTTACTTGTGATCCGGATACTTTTTGAGAATCTCAGAGACCAGGAAATCCTCCACTTGACCGTCATACTCAGTCACCAGGTCAAAGACATCCGACTTCGTTTGCACAGTCTTCACAGCGTCAATTCCGCGTCTCACAATGTCAGCGGCTCTCTCAATAGCGTCACACATGAAGTCCTGACACTCCTGCAGGACGGAGTCTTGGGAGAAATCGCGAGGAGCAGACATTCTGACCACTTCAAGTGGAGAAAAGTGTCACAAGTGGGCTTATTTCTGCCTTGTCAAGCTTCTTATGTGACATTCGGAAAAAATGTGTGCGGCTGGGAATCGATAAAGTGTGTGCGAAGAGGATGAAATGAGGGCGAAGTTGGTGTGAATGCGATGACTAATGATGACTGAGAATTGTGCGCGTGTGTTGAGGAGAGCGCAAATGCCATGCAAAGCGACAGTAGAGATTTTTTGGCAAATGTTTTATGTTGGCACTTTTTGCTTGACTGTTCTGTATTTGTGTTCTAAACAGCTGTTGGGGAAGCTTTGACGTTCTAATGCGATTCTCTGGGTGCTTTCAGGGTCCACCGGGACCACCACCTGGACAGGGACAACCGCCTGGAGGTCCTCCAGTTGGACCACCGCCCGGCGGACCACCGCCTGGGCAGGAGAACTTGAATGCACTGCAGCGAGCGATTGACTCGATGGAGGAGAAGGGACTGCAAGAGGATCCGCGCTACTCACAATTGCTCGCCTTGAAGGCCAATTCCAAGCAGCAGATCCTCAATGTCAATCAGATGCACATGCTGAGGGCGCAGATCATGGCTTATCGCCTGCTGGCGCGCAATCAGCCACTGACGAAGCAGATTGCTTCTGTGATTCAGGGTCAGAGAGCGGATGGAACGCCACCGCAGTGTCCAACGCCGCCGTCAAGTCCCTTCCAGCAGCAACAGCAGCAGCAACAGCAACAGCAGGGACAGCCGGGGGGACAGCAGACAAAGTCGCCGGGCATGGAACAGAAGCCCGGACCGCCGGTGAGTGGCGGTCAGCCGCCGGTGCAGAGTCCCATGGCGGGAATGGTGCCCAGTGGTCAGCAAGCGCCGCAGCAACAGGCGTCGCACATGCAGCAACAGCCCGCCAGACCGAGTTCTCAGGGCCCAGCTCAGGCGCCGCGCCCAGGAACTCAAGCTCCGGCGCCGCCGCAGCCGATGCAGAAGCAGAACCGCGTCACGACGGTGCCGAAGCCGATTGGATTGGACCCAATCACGATTCTGCAGGAGCGTGAGAACCGCTTGGCGGCGAGAATCGCCCTGAGGATGGACGAGCTGACGAATCTGCCCACGGCAATGCCGGAAGACATGCGCTTGCAGGCACAGATTGAGCTGAGGGCGCTGAGAGTGCTGAACTTCCAGCGTCAGCTGCGCAGCGAGATCATCCAGTGCACGCGCAGGGACACGACGCTGGAGACGGCGGTGAATGTGAAGGCGTACAAGAGGACAAAGCGTCAGGGATTGCGCGAGGCGAGAGCCACGGAGAAGCTGGAGAAGCAGCAGAAGCTGGAGGCGGAGAGAAAGAGGCGTCAGAAGCATCAGGAATTCCTGGCGGCTGTGCTGCAGCACGGCAAGGACTTCAAGGTGAGGGAAATTGATGATGATGATGATGAGATTGTGGTGTGTATGTTTTGTGGCTAAATCCTTTGGTGTTCTTTCGACAGGAGTATCACAGGAACAATCAGGCGCGCATGGGAAGGATCAACAAGGCGATCATGAACTACCACGCGAATGCGGAGCGCGAGCAGAAGAAGGAGCAGGAGAGGATTGAGAAGGAGCGCATGCGGCGTCTGATGGCGGAGGACGAGGAGGGCTACAGGAAGCTGATTGATCAGAAAAAGGACAAGCGACTGGCGTTCCTGCTGTCGCAGACGGACGAGTACATTGGGAATCTCACAGAGATGGTGAAGCAGCACAAGGTGGAGCAGAAGAAGAAGCAGGCGGACGAGATGGTGCGCAAGAAGCGCTGGAAGCGGGAGATTCTGCAGAACGGCGAGTACATTTCGCTGGACGAGGGTTGCCTGGCGGCGGACCTGCGCGTGACGGTGATGGACCCGAACACGGGGCAGAAGCTGCAGGGTGAGGATGCGCCGATGCTGCGCGATCTGCACCGCTGGCTGGAGGCGCATCCGGGCTGGGAGTGGGTGGAGAGCGAGAGTGATCTGGACAGCGATGAGGAGGAGGAGCGGCGGCGTGAGAAGCGCGAAGAGGGCGAGAAGAGTGAGCAGGAGCAGGCGGAGGGGAAAACGGAGGACGACGAGACGAAGGAGCTGATCAAGAAGGCGAAGGTGGAGGACGATGAATATCGCACAGAGGAGCAGACGTACTACAGCATTGCGCACACAGTGCACGAGAGCGTGACGGAACAGGCGAGCATCCTGGTGAATGGGAAGCTGAAGGAGTACCAGATCAAGGGTCTGGAGTGGCTCGTGTCGCTGTACAACAACAACCTCAACGGCATCCTGGCGGATGAGATGGGCTTGGGCAAGACCATTCAGACCATCGCGCTGATCACGTACTTGATGGAGAAGAAGAAGAACAACGGGCCGTTCCTGGTCATTGTGCCGCTGTCGACGCTCTCAAATTGGGTGTTGGAGTTCGAGAAGTGGGCGCCATCTGTGTGCGTGGTGTCATACAAGGGCAGTCCGGCTGGACGGCGACATGTGCAGAATCAGATGCGCTCCACGAAGTTCAATGTGCTGCTCACGACGTATGAGTACGTGATCAAGGACAAGTCCGTGCTGGCGAAGCTGTCGTGGAAGTACATGATCATCGATGAGGGACATCGCATGAAGAATCATCACTGCAAGCTGACGCAGGTGCTGAACACGCACTACAATGCGCCACATCGACTCCTGCTCACCGGCACGCCGCTGCAGAACAAGTTGCCGGAATTGTGGGCACTGCTGAACTTCCTGCTGCCGTCGATCTTCAAGAGTTGCTCCACATTCGAGCAGTGGTTCAATGCGCCCTTCGCCACCACTGGCGAGAAGGTGGAGTTGAACGAGGAGGAGACAATTCTCATCATCCGACGTCTGCACAAGGTCCTCAGGCCCTTCCTGCTGAGGCGTCTGAAGAAGGAGGTGGAATCGCAGCTGCCGGACAAGATTGAGTACATCATCAAGTGCGAAATGTCAGGGCTGCAGCGTGTGCTGTACAAGCACATGCAGAGCAAGGGTGTGCTGCTGACGGACGGGAGTGAGAAGGGCTCCAAGGGCAAGGGTGGCGCCAAGGCGCTGATGAATACAATTGTACAGCTGAGGAAGCTGTGCAATCATCCCTTCATGTTCCAGCACATCGAGGAGAAGTATTGCGATCACATTGGCGGACATGGAGTGGTGTCTGGGCCGGATCTGTTCCGGGTGTCTGGGAAGTTTGAGCTGCTGGATCGCATTCTGCCCAAGTTGAAGGCCACAAATCATCGCGTATTGCTCTTCTGTCAGATGACACAGTGCATGACCATCATTGAGGACTACCTCGGCTGGCGGCAATTCCTCTATCTGCGCCTGGACGGCACGACGAAGGCTGAGGAGCGTGGGGATTTGCTGAAGAAGTTCAATGCCAAGGATTCGGACTACTTTGTCTTTCTGCTGTCCACCAGAGCTGGTGGCTTGGGTCTGAATCTGCAGGCGGCCGACACGGTGATCATCTTCGATTCCGACTGGAATCCACATCAGGATCTGCAGGCGCAGGATCGTGCCCATAGAATTGGGCAGCGCAATGAGGTGCGCGTGCTGAGATTGATGACGGTGAACTCGGTGGAGGAGAGAATCCTGGCGGCGGCGCGATACAAGTTGAACATGGACGAGAAGGTCATTCAGGCGGGAATGTTTGATCAGAAATCCACGGGATCGGAACGGCAGCAGTTCCTGCAGAGCATTCTGCATCAGGATGAGGCGGAGGAGGAGGAGGAGAACGAGGTGCCGGACGATGAGATGATCAATTTGATGATTTCCCGAAGTGACGATGAGTTGGAGTTGTTCAAGAAGTTGGACGCTGAGCGCAAGGCAGAAGCGGCCAAAGATGGCAGGATTCGCGCTAGGCTCATTGAGGAGTCTGAGTTGCCGGATTGGCTGGTGAAGGAGGATGAGGAGGTGGACAGGTGGAATTACGAGGAGGATAGCATTCTGGGGAGAGGATCAAGGCAGCGGAAAGAGGTGAGTTTATTGCCACGCCCCTTCGAAAGCTCCGCCCCCTTTGCTTATATCGATTGGCTTCTGTGGCTCTCTTGCAGGTGGATTACACGGATAGCTTGACGGAGAAGGAGTGGCTGAAGGCGATTGACGACGGGATTGACTTTGACGATGAGGAGGAGGAGGAGAAGGAGAAGAAGAAGAAGGGCCGGAAGCGCAAGAGCAAGCGTGCAGATGACTCGGACGATGACAGCGTGAGTGGGATGCCGGTGAAGAAGCGCAAGGGTCAGATGGATCCGAAGTTCAAGAAGCAGATGAAGCGCATCATGAATGTGACGATCAAGTATGCGGACTCGGATGGACGCGTGCTGAGTGAGCCGTTCATGAAGTTGCCGTCGAAGCGCGAGCTGCCGGATTACTATGAGATCATCAAGAAGCCGCTGGACATCAAGAAGATCCTGCAGCGCATCGAGGATGGGAAGTACATGGACTTCTCGGATTTGGAGAGGGATTTCATTCAGCTGTGCCAGAATGCGCAGATCTACAATGAGGAGACGTCGCTGATCTATGCGGACAGCATAATGCTGCAGTCGGTGTTCTCCAGTGCCAAGCAGAGGGCGGGCGAGGCGGTCGAGGATTCGGAGAACGAGGGTGAGAAGAAGGGCGAATTGAGGGTGAGCGTGCAAAGGCTGACGATTGACGGTGTTGCTCCTCTTGCAGGCTCCTTCGGTGAGGACGAGGACAACTCTGACGATGAGTCTGGGAGTGTGAAGATGAAGCTGAAGCTGTCCAAGGGCGGCGCGGCGTCATCATCGTCCTCGTCGTCGGCGAAGAAGGCGGCGCCCGTCACGACTTCGGGGCGCAGGAAGAGGACACAGAAGAAGTACACCATCTCGGATGATGATGATGATGACATGGATTGAGAACGGCGCGCAGGAGGAGAAAGCAAAAGGACACGATCGCAGCATTCGATATAGCGCCGCAAGCACACTTTCTCTTCGCATATTAATTATACATATTCACAAAGTAAGAAAAAATGAACACTTAAGGTGGAAATTCAGTGGATTTCTTTGCGTAATTCGGATTTAATCAAATAGGAGTTGTAGATTTAGTGTGTAGATTTAATTGTGGATTTCACTCATGATGGCTTAATAAAATTTCACAAAACTCTCTACAACATGCAACTGTGTGGCCATCGCGGGAAGGGAATCACGTCACGGATGTTGTGGATGTTGAGCAGGAACTGCAGGAATCGCTCGAAGCCCATGCCAAAGCCGGCTGTTGGGATTCCGCCGAAGCGTCTCAGATTCAGATACCATTCGCTTCCCGGTGGGATTCGCAGCTTCAGGCGATTGTAGTCGTTCTCCCTGACACTGCCGCCGATCAGTTCCCCAATGCGAGGCACCAGGAAGTCCAGCGCGTCCACGAGACTGTCGTCGTCTGCCTTGGAACGCATGTAGAAGGGCTTCAGCGCAGCCGGCCAGTCGACGATGAAGACTGGAGAGCGGCAGAAGTCGGTGAGAAAGAGCTCGTGGCTCTTCATCAGACCATCGCTGGGAACGATGGGAACCTTTAGACGGTCAGCGTGCTTTTGCAGGACTTCAACAGCTTCCGCGAAAGTCATCACAGGGAATTCCTTGACTTCTGCCAGCCATTCAAACAGATTCTCCTCCCCAGAATCGCCCTGACAGTGACGAATGTCTTCCGCACAGCTGTCCAGAAGCTTCCTCAGCACGCTGATCATCATGTCCGAGATCAGCTCGATGCAATCCGTCAGCGAGGACGTGAAGACTTGCTCCACTTCCAGCATGTAGAATTCGGAGAGATGAATTGGCGATTTGTTGTTCTCTGACCGAAAGGTGGGCCCGAGTGTGAAGCAATTCCCAATCCCGTGGGCCATTGCTTCCAGATGAAGCTGCCCGGAGACACTCAAGTACGCCCGGCGGTCGAAGAACGCCTCCTCGAGTGGAACATCGTCCTTCTGCATCCCTTTCAGCAGAGCATCACTGTCCGGACGCACTCTGAACACCTCACCAGCGCCCTCGCAATCACTGGCCGTGAGGATGGGCGTGTGGATGTGCAGGAAGTCGCGCTGATGCAGGAAATCCACGAGAGCGCGATGAGCAGCGTCCCGAACGCGAAGCATAGCGGCGAAAGTTGTGATCCGTGAGCGAAAGTGTGGGTGTTCCCGGATGTAATCTGGGCTGTAAGTGTGCTTGGCGGCAAATGGGAATCCCTCGTCCACAGGACACTGCCCGAGAACCCGATAATCCTCCGCTCTGAGCTCCAACTGTCCTTTCGGCGTGCTTCCAATTGTGCCAGAAGCTTCGACAGAAGTGCCAAATAGCACATCTGCTGTGCCGGAGAGTTCCTTCCCGAGGACAACTTGCAGCGGAGATGCTGAAGAGCCATCGACAATGTCCACGAAGGATGTCTTCTTCATCTTCCGGGCATTGTTCACCCATCCCTGAAAGAAGTCTGATTAATCACAGGTTTTGATGTGTTTTCACGTGATTTGCTCACTTTAATGGTCACTTTATCGCCTTGTTGACATTTCCTGAGCTCTGAGATGCGCAAGTAGGTGTGAATCAGGCGAATTGGGTGGTTTTCCTGGGAAATCTTCAGCAGCCGGAATGAGAACATCTTCCTAACCTCACTTTGTGTGTGGTGAGTAAACGTCGCTCCGCTGTGCGGTATCTGCAAAGACGGCGGATTGTTTATTTTCTGGTGTGTTTTGGGCGTTTTGGGCAAGTTTTGGAAGCTTCTGGCCAGAGATTTTGTGTGATTTCAACCGTGATGGAGAACGAGGAGGTGCCTGACGTGATGACAGCGTCGTACAGTGAGATCATGAACTCGAATGTCGAGGAGGAATCGACAGATGTCCGGAAGCGTCCCAATCGCTTCCCGTACAATCTCGAGGGCACCGTGAGCATGGATGGGAACATGACGCACTTCATCACGGAGAATCTGGAGCACAAGATCAAGCTCTCGAGCCCCATCGCGAAGAGCAGGGAGTCACCGAGGGGCGATTCGAGAGACAGCACGCCGTCAACGAGTGGCTTCCAGTTCGGTCGTCCGGGAGGCTATCTTCTGCCCTCGGAGATTGACTCCAACGTGCTGAACGACGTGGAGATGGAGGCGCAGTATCTGGCGGCGTCTGTGGACAATCTGACGGAGAACCTCTGCAATTTGCTGCACTCTGTGAGTGACGAGGTGTTCTGGAGTGTCTCGTGACTGATTTCTCGTGTCCTTTTGCAGATTTCATCCATCACGGCGGACAATGTTGAGGTGTACAAGAACTCCGTGAGCAAACTGACGGATTGCATGGATGCTAACATCAAGAATATGTACACAATCATGGCCAAGACGGAGGAAATCTCCAATGCGATCAAACCTACGAAGCAGCTGATGAACAGAATGTGAGTATCTTTGGCATCTGGCGAGGCTTCCTGACTAGAGAATTCCCCCAATTTCCACCTCTTCCAGACGTGAAATCAAGCGCTTGGTGGATATGCTGGAGAACACGCTCTAGGAAGCCAAGCGATCATCTCTGATCATCCCTGGAAATTTGTGATTTTGTGATCTCTCGAGTAAGTCTATATAATGTGTTATTTTCCTTTCCACGCGGAGAAGATCGTTGCAATAGAGGCAGAATTTAACGGCATAGAGATAAATTTATTATTTACATTTTTTACAGCTTCTCAAGTATAACATTTACAATAATAACATTGGATATATAAATTTACTCTCGCGATCAAAATCGAGTTGAAAAATAGTGTTTTTTTTTGTTTTCTTGCTTTAATTGTTCCCTAAACCTGTTGCACATTTGTCTTAAGATTTCGCGACCTGCCGATTGTTCGTGCGTTTCACTCACGCACGCATTACATCATATACACGTTGAACACTCTTACAAAGAGGGAGAAATAAACGAGGGGGGGGGGGGGAGAAAGAGCGTACAATAAACAATTGTTGGCCCCAAAAAATGATCCGACGATCGCGTTAGCGAAGCGTCGGCAATTCCGTCATGGTGAAGAGTCGTGGAAGGACCTCACGTGTCTGCCACTCCTATTTCGTGTTGACCAGCGTGAGGAACTCCTCTCGGGTCTTGGGATCGTCCCTGAACACGCCCAACATTGTTGATGTCACAGTTTTGCTGTTGATCTTCTGCACGCCGCGCATCACCATGCACATGTGCCTGCAATAGGGAAGACAGAGTGAGAAAATCGTAGGAATTGACTTAAGAGAAATGTAAGGGGCGGAGCTTTCGAGTGGGAGGGGCAATAGGGTAAAAACGAGTCCCAGAGTGACTAAAATCGTTTATATTGGAAATAAAAACAGAAATGTTCACGTTAAATTACTGTTTCTTCTAGACTTCTTCGCAAGAAGAAAAATTTAAGAACTTATTCAGTAATTTATGGGCGTTTTTGCGTTGCATTCTTTATATTATTTGTTGTTAAATCAGCTGTGGAAGCTAACGGAAAGTGATCTTTTTCACCTCAAACACCTTTTCTTCAGTCATTTAATCACTCAAAAAACTCAAAAGCGTAGTTAAAGTCAAATATTAAAGTCTCTCTGTTCAATATGACAATTCTAGAGACATTTGTTGCAATAATTTATTCGATATTATATTACAATTCCCATATGCAATGATGCAAATTTCCACCTTCATTCGTCATTCGCCACAATTTGAACAATCTAATGGAGATAAGACATCCACAAGTGTCTCATTTCCTCTTCAATTGCTGAGAAATTTATGGCGAACATGTGTTCTGGGTGGTGAAAATTGAGCGCGTTTTCTGGGATGATTTATGGAAATATCTTAAGGTGTGTGACTTACACTCCTTCAATGATAACTGCCACGCCGGCGGGTTGAACTGCTTGTGTGACGGCGACGGCAATTTGCTTGGTGAGTCGCTCCTGAACCTGAAGGCGCCTCGAGAAGATCTCCACGATTCTATGGCGAAAAGAGAAAGTGGCAAAATGAAATTATGACTTTCCAGCGGAAATTCAATTGAGCAATAGTGTGTGGCAAATGAATTTTCCACCTGGAAATCAAATTAAGGCCTGTTTCGACTTTTCCGTGAGGACTTTTTCCGGGGGGTGGGTGGTGGAGAGAAAAATGAGAAAGAAAGTGAGGAAGACTGAAGTGTTGGTATAATTTGCCGACACTCTTCTCACCTGGCGAGTTTGCTGAGTCCGAGAATTTTCTTGCATGGCAAGTATCCGATGGACACCTTGCCATAGAACGGGACCAAGTGGTGCTCGCACATTGAGAACATCTCGATGTCCTTCACCACGACCATCTCGTCGGTGTCCTCTTCGAAGATGGCTCCGTTGAGGGCTTCTGCAATTGTCAAGGAGAAATCCACTTAATCTCACTTATGATTTGTGTCATGTCGTCATTGTGCAGCGTAATTGCTCAAGTGCACCTTTAATTAATGCTTGATAAACTATTTATTGTGTAATTCACTCCAACTGCCATTAAAATTGTTGGCATGATTGGCATTAAGGATTTTAATGAGTTCTGACTAATGAAAATCCCTCTTGCAATCCTCTCTGACGATGAAACACACACGGAAAACACTTGATAAGAAGTTGAGGAAGTCATTCTGATGAAAGTCTAAAATTGTAATTGATTTTTTGGCACATGAGTGAATGACGGAAAATAAGACTTTCATGAACTTCTGATCTCTGACCAGCAATAAACACACTCTTCTTCTTCAACAATGTGCGATAAGAGAAATTGTTTTTCTAAAGTCATGAAATTGCGTGATCTTATGAAATTGTGTTCTGCTTTGTCACCAACGAGTGGAAAATGAATTTATTATCACGACTTCCAGTCAATACACTCTGTGAAGCTGACTTATGGGCGGGGCTTCGAAGTGGGCGGAGCACAGTGAACCAATACTTGATTGAGAAGGTAATTTAACTATTTCGTCAGAGAAATTTCCATTCTGTGGCTTTGACAGCGTTTCTGCACTGATTTTCCCATGTCAAAATAGTCTCGGTAAATTTGCTTCTTTGGTGCTGTTTTTGACGAAGAGACAAAGTCTGTTAATGGCATGCCAAAGAGAGGAACTCCTCAAAGAGCAGACTTAATCGCCACTTTAAATGTCTTGACTCGAATTGACTGTGCGGTGAATGTTTGATATAAAGTAAATTGCCTTTGTGGCTTCTCTGTGACACTCAGCATTCCTCGAGTCTTCCGAATAATCATCAAATTCATTGTAAAATATTCATCATATCGTCAATTGAGGGATTGAGTGTCAAACACACACGCCAAATCACGCACAATTGACAAAATGTTGATGGATATTTCGTGTGCAATTCTTCACGTGCCATTTGATGATGATGAAGAACTCAAACAATCAAAATCAGAAAAGGGATGAGGAATGCGTCTGAAGACGTCGTGAGGAATTTACTTGAAAGCCTCGCACACGACCAAAGGAATAAATTCAGCATCGCGCGTCAATTGACTAAATTTAGCCAGGAATCACGTTCGAACATGGATAAATTCCTTCTTCTCCACGCTTCGCACGCCCCCACAAGCTTCTGCGCGCCCTTTTTGCCCACCCACACAATCCAAGTCACTCCGAGGCAATTGTCATGAGTCAAATGCTCACCCCCTCTTGCCTCCCATGGCGTCTTGATGTGCTCTCTGCAAGAGGGTGGATGTGATTTAGAGTGTGTCTGGGGATTTTTTTTCTTCCACCCAAACCACTCCACAGCAGCTTTTCATCCATTTTGCTGCTGGTCGGATTGCGAGGGCGGCCAGAAGTGGAGCAAATCAATAATCTGGCCATTGCCAACCCTCCCTTCTTCCCTCCCCCCCCCCCAGCCCAAGACACATCACGACAATTGACAGCGACGCGAGAGTGAAGGATTTAATGACCGAGATAGTTTCCTCGCAACTTGTTGATTTTTATTTGTCTAAGACAGAAGCATTGAATCACTTAAAGCGTTAAACACGGTATCGTTATCCTTTCATCGATTCACTGGGTGTTTGAGAGTCTTCTGAAGCTTATTAGGGCTTTTTAGTTGGTTATTTTCTTGTCAAAAGAGCCAAAAAGGGGTGAAAGAAAAATAGATCTTTTCAAGAATTGTACGTAAATCGTTTCGATTATGTCAAAATCGTTTAAGTATCAGGAAACTGAAGAGGAGGAACACAATTGCTTAATAAAATCGAAGACGATTTTGTTGAATATGGGTTGAAAATCATGTTTACAGATCTGGAATCAGCGTAAGAACATTTTTCAATTCTTCTCAAGGGGGAGATAATACAGTCAGAAAAGATGTACAGCTCAGTAGAAGTACTTAAGAAAATGGAAGTGTTAGGTAGGTTTGATAGGTTGTCCTAGGTTTTCTTTGAGCTTCTTTGTTGTAACTACGCTTGCTTATAAATTTCACGATTCTTTCTTGGTTTTAACCGTTTCCTTTAACTTGTAAGTAATACTTAAATTTTAATCTTCGTAAATCTTATCTTTAACCCTTCCGCAATTGTCAGTGGCAATAAAATTTTCCTCGTGAGAGATACAGCTGGTCATATGCTTGATTCTGCTGTAAAATGTGCTTCTTGGGAAATTTATTTGGAGATATTAAAAACATTTTATAGGTTCTAGACAGAAAAAAATGTTATAATTAACAATGCAACATTGGCATAAAAGTAATTATTGTCCCGGAAATACATTAAAAGAAAAATTTATAATCAATAAAAGGTAATTCCATTGCAAATACAATGCTAAATTACTAATTAAGATATAGAAATGGTCTCTTGTAGTGTTTTTTTTTTTGCGGAAATTTCACTTCATTTCCTTCAAGTGCATCACTGTTTTGCAATGTAATTTGCAATATATTGAGGCTTTTGTTGGTGTATTTTTAATGGGCACATAATTTAGTAATGGATTTCATCAGAGGCAACAAAAAAATTCAAGTTTATATTTTAATTTCAAGTGCAAAGCATAAATAATCAAAACAAAATGCTCGAATGTGTGTGGAAAAATTTGGCTTTTAGTGAAGCAAAGAGATTAAAAGTGATTGAAATGAAAGCACGCGACAAATATTTGCATAAAAATGTCAACAAATCTCAGGTGATACTTTTTTTTCATGTTTATTTGCCCAGTAAAAAGTCACAGGAAAAATGGGCGGTAAATATTTGAGCTTTTTGAACGGCTGGAATATGTGTTTGTTTAATTGCGAGAGAGGAGTGGCTCTCTTGGTCCAAGTGCGACTCACCTTCGAGGCTCTGATCGTATCCTTTGGTGAAGAACAGCATCGCCTTGGCCGCGCGCTCGGGCGTCTTGAGCAGTCCCTGGCGGTCCGGATCCTCGCCCAGGCCGGTCAGCAGGAGCCGGTAGGATCGCGTCATCTCGGGCAGGAGCGCCTCGCGCGTCGGCGGCTTGTGATCCAGCTCCAGGTCGTGGTGAAACGTGCAATTCTCATGACCTGCCAATCAAAGGTGATTCGTCAGTATGCGTGTGAATTTAATTGGACAGATCGTCTCTCTCTCTCTCTCTCTCTCTAATGCATTCCGTGTGGCTCGCGACAAGATTAAAAAAAAAACCACCCGTAAACAGCTGCAGTGATCGTTGAGAAAAAGATGGAAAAAATTGACTTGATTGACTTCAATGTGATTTTGCTCCGAGGGAATAACAAATGAGCACCACAAAAAGGCCTCCCAACCAATGTGTGTGTGTGGATTTTATTTAAATAGATGCCTTCAAGAAAACGAGTTGATGATATTGTGAAATTGCCGGTCGCACAACACTCTGTGTTTTTTTTCTTCACTCACAACACAACTTGCAATTATTTGTCACATTGGATGGAAAAAAACACCACCAAATGCCCAAATGATCAATTGATAGGATTTTTTGCATGCAATCCAAAGTTTTGCCCCCAAGGCGTGTGCGATAGGCGCGATCATAAACACCCCGTGATAACCTCGCTCGTGACCCGATCACCGTTGCTCAAGCCTGAGTCACAGCTACTGTAAGTCTACGTTTTCATCTCAACACTTTTCAGCATTTCTGTGAGTGTCTTTTCCAAGAAGGACACGAAATTAGAGTAAAAACAAGTCTTTTCTTTTGCAGTGAATACAGCAGAAAATAAATATTAATTTTCCCCAAGAATCTACATTTCTTGAAATGCAAATATTTTCTGTAATTATTATTTTTCATACTTTGAATTTAATCTGCAGAAAAATGTTTAGAATATGATAAGGAAGTTAGTCTAGATTTAATCTCTTATGAAAATGTCGCTCAAGAAGGATTAAGCCAAGATCCGACTTCATCTAAACCACACAGAATTCCATACTTTAAGGCAAGCAAATACTGTTTTTGTGGCTCTCTTTGCCACCTGAGGAAGCCTCTGACGGGTGATGAATGACTGGGCAAAGGAGGTGGACTCGAACTGTGACCACCTTGACAACTTTCACACTGGCGCCAGTGTCTTTATCTCTTTTTCCACGCGGCCTCGAGGTTCGAGATCAAGGCACTGGCTCATGGCGTTTCCCTCTTCGCCACAGAAGTCACCTGGCGTGGTGGAGGTGCGCGGCGTCTGTGGTGTTCCCGGAATGTACAGCACCCTCTCGGCCTCGGGCGCCTTGGTGTCCATCTTGAGTGGCGGCTGGTGGCGGCGCTTGCACAGCCCGTTGGACTCCTCGCCGTCCTTGCCGTTGGAGCACTTGGCGGCGCTGGAGCTCTGCGGGAAGTTGCTGTCGTCGATGGCGTCATTGAGCTCGGTGGTGGACATCTGGGACAGCAGCTGCAGCTTCCTCTCCCTGGACATTTTACGCCACGCGAGCACACAACACAGGCAAGAAAGGATCCAGTCGATGCCAACTCAAGTACACGGATTCACGGCACCATGAAGCGCAGGGTTGGGCAGAAGAGGGGTGGCGGGCGAGAGAGGAGTTCCTGGAGCGCGCGAGATTTGTCTCTGTCAGACAGACAGGAAGTGTGAGAGAGAGGGAAGACTGGAGCCCGAGACGGAGCTGCCTTTGGGAGCAGCGTGAGGCACAAACTGAAAGGCGTTTCGATGCCACCGAATTATTTATACGCGCCGCTCGATTCCCATCCACTTTGGCCACAAGAGAGCACACAGAGAGCGAGAGTCGTGCCAAGAGCGAGAGAGCGACTGTGCGGAGAAGATTTCCATCAGCTGGAAAATGTGCGCAAAAAGCTGCGAATGCAACAATCATCGCACAACGTCTTGAGGAGAGTCTCTTTGGTGGCCCAGAAAGAAGGTGGGAAATCGATCTGTGGTGTGTGACTCAGTCTGTGTGGCGTAAATGTTCTTAATTGGCATCGGGAAAGGCCCAGAAGACTCTTCAGTGCATGCCACAGGAATTTCTCACTCTGCCGATGCTTCATCTCTGGGGAATTTGCCCACAATTGTAGAGATTCGAGCGCGCACATCGTAAAGCAATTATTGCTTTTTTTTCCTGACATCGTTAAGGGAGTTTGGGTTGTAGTGAAACTGGATTAGCTCTTCACTGTTAATCTCCAGAAATGGTCGGAAGGTTGCTGAGTAAGAGCTCAGATGCGACGTGAAAATGTGGCAAGTTAAGGATCTTCTCGGTGTTCAAAGATAATTCGGCGCTTTGGTTTAATAAGCGCTCATGAAGCCCTAATATTCACTCATGTGTTGATATGCAAATAATTTGCTCTATTTCGAATAATTCCACAGATTTCACATATCAAAATAACATACGAAATAGAGCCCAGGAATGACAGGGTTAATCGATTTACGGTGTTGTAAGAGATTAACGCAAATGAATTGGCAAAGCAAAGTTGAGAACCAGTTGGAGTCAGTTGTGATCAATGAAAAATGTATGCATTTGGCTTTTTAGAAAATGCACGAGCCGGTTCAGTTTGGATAAGTGACCGGCCAAAAACTGCCCCCCACAAGCGCCCCCACCATCCTTGGCAAACGGGTTCGCGCGTCCAGTCGCCTTGGGCTTCACACAGCTCACCTTTAATGCTGCACACGCAGGACTTCTTCGCGCTGCCGTTCGTGGCTACAATCTGGTGGCCGTTGACTGTGTTGACTGTGTTTTGCGGAGCCATGGTGTCTTTCATTCTAGCGGCCTCTGGCGGGGGGTGGTTTGCTGGGGGGATGATGATGATGCTTTGGTCACAGAACTCTTATCACAGATCACAGGACGTCGGCGATCGCGCGCGCGGGCTGAGCAGCAGCGTGTCTGCACACAGAGAGCCACTGGTGGCTTGGCGATGGTGGTGGGGCTGGGGCGCGCGAGGGGGGAGGGGGGGGGCGGATTGTTGCTGGAGTGGAACTGCGGTATTCGCTTGAGGCCAAAGTCAACAGCGTCCGATCGCGCCCATAATTTCACACTGACTAAAGTGGTAACAAGCAATTTGGCGCCTTTTTATATTAAGAAGCACTCACTCACGCTCACAGCGAGTCGCTGCCGATCGGAAGGTGCGAGCGGGACGGCGTGTGGTGCAAGCGAGAGGGCATGAATGTGTAAATTTGCTGTGTGATGGAGCAAAATTGTCAGTTTGTGTCTCTCATAATATCTGAATTCGCAGCGGACCATGCTTGAGGGGGTGGGAGGCAATGAGGGGAGGGAGGAATTTGCACATGACTCTTTAGAGGACTTCAGGAAATTCATTAAAACCGTGTAGCCCCCCACAATTATTACGGATTGTGGAGTGAGAAACGGGGCAAGATTGCCGCAATATAATTGATGAATTACACATCTTTGTGCGCTCACAGAGAGTCCATGAGAATCCAGCAATTCGCGGGGAATTTTCTCCTTCAACTGAAATTCACCGTGGTTTGTTTTCTTGATTGCCGAACCAATTTCACACACTCTCTGTGGTGTTCTGACGCCCCAAACAGTGACTCATGAGGGCATATTTTCAGAACACTGCGCGGGGTTTCTCACCGTGACTACGTGCGAAATTGACGACAGAAAAGGCATAATCGGATGCGAGAGCGCGCTGTGTAGGTTGAGTGTTGATCGTGACCTGATTGCTTGGCTAGATTGAGCCGCTCACACCTGAACAGGTGCACTTCTCGACTGTGATTTTCACAGCTCTTCACGGGACAATTGCCACCAAGAGAGTGTTCAGGAAATGAGTGGCATTTTGGCCAATGGAAAAGCACTCACGCGATCAGTTCCGAAGATCGCAACACTTTTCGATTATGGCGCGGGAAATGAAGTTCAATAATACTTAGCTTAAGTGAATATATCATGAAAAATTCACTTGAATCTAATCTAAAAATATGTATAAAAGTTTATTTTTACGATTTTAACACAAACTGCGTGGTTTTTACAGAGTTTTTCAATGAGTTTCCTAATGTTGTTCCAATAAAACTGTTGATTTTCAATGTAAAAAAAGGTGACAAAGTGAATCTTGGATTGTAAGGAATTACCTTCAAACTGGAGAAATTAAATCCAGGATTAACTACTATGATATAAAATGCGATAAATTACTTTTTCAGACATCCTATTCAATTAGACGTTGGTTTTTACATACTAAATAAGATTTTGCTCGTCGGGAAGAACAAGAACTTGATCTTGAGATTTTTCGCGATATTAAATATACTTGTTTATGGCTTTTATTAGTGTATTGGTCGCAAGAAATGCCGAGAGTTGATGATAATTTAAATGGCAATTTAAAGATTAAGCAAAGTGTTAAAACTTTTTCCTCAATTGACAGATATTTTGTTACCAATCCAATTGAGATTAGCGGAGGCTCGCGAGTAATTCAGCTGTCTTATCAGCGGAGCTTCTGGAGGAATGTAAAAAGCGCCATTTTGCGCACAGACGTAAGAGATTTCCTTGTAGTTTTATGACTCAGATATAGTCAACACTTTGATACTTCTGGGCTTGAGTGCTGCTAATGTGCGTGCCAGGCACTGTGGTGGATTCTCCTGTTGCCGAGAGAATTGCCTGTGGTGCAGCTTCGAGCGAAAATCAGCTGCTGGATGGCAAAAAAGTGCAGAGATTGAGCCGAAAGAGATCACCTTGACCTGCGATTAGAGATGCTAATCGCAATTTCCAATGCGTGATCTTGAAATAATCAATTACCTGCCAATCGGCATCTCTTCTTGTCTAGCCAAGAGACACTGTTTCGGCCACACTGTTTTGCTTTTAACCATCAGTGACTTTTCAATATACAGAGAAAAAAATGCTCCACACAATTTATTTGATATTCACAAAACACTGAATGCGAGTTTTGTGAAGTTCAAATTGCATATTGGAAAATTCCAGTGTTAAGCGCCGAAAATCGGCAATTTGAGGGGTTTTTTTCCCACCTGTTTTTCCACCATGGCGAAAAATGATTTTCAATCGACCTAGAAATTGAGGAGATGAAGCAGCAATTTGGCCTGAAGTCTTGTCGATCATTAACTCAGCACAAGGGGGAGATAACGCAGTCAGATGTGGTGTACAGCTCAGCAGAAGTACTTAAGAAGTGGAAGTGTTGAAAAACCTGTAATATTTCTTTCCTTTCTACTTCTTTTCCTCATAAATCATCCAGATTCTCTGAATTTCCTTCGATTTTCACGCAGAAACAAACGCATTAATTTTTTTTAGGTTATGTAACGAATTAAGGACAGATTAAGTGAATAATTTGCATTCTAGAACATGAATTCTGCTAGTTCTTGGCAGAATTAAGCATTTGCAAGCAATGAATAGTGCTTTTTTGACCCTTTCATGCCAAGAAATACAGAAAATTGTGCTAAGATTGAACATAACCTCAAAAATAGTCATTTGGACTTGGAAAATGTCCACTTAGATAACTTTCTGGACAATTTTGACTGTGAATCAGCAATTTTGAGATGATTTTTGATCTGGAAAGCTTTCGAACAGAGTTTTTGAAGATCTCCTAATTATATTTTTGAGGTTATGATGAGAAAAGATGTCCAAAAAGTGCGGTTTTAAGTCAATTTTTATAGAGAAACATCGAATGAAACCTCAAGAGATTCATGTTCTAGAAGTTGGCAGGCAAATTTGGAAGTGTTCAGGAAGTGGTGTACAGATTTAAGGCATATTATTTCCTCCTTGACTCAACATTTCATGCTCGATTCGGCCAATGAATATGGAAGAATTTGGGTGGCGCAGGAACAATGGCAAGGCGCGCGAGGAGAGGCGATTTCCATTGTGCTTGAGTGACTGCGTGGAAAATCCGATGTGGGAGAGAGAAGATGAAAGGAGCGGATTTTGGTGGGGTGTTTTCTTGGCGTGAAAATGCTTAATGACTTTGATTAGGCTCTGTGTGTGTGTCGAAAATGTTTCAGGTGATTGGAAACATTTCACGGGAAAATCCATGGGAAAATCGAACACCTTTTGTTGTTGCCCATGAAGTGAGACAGATTGACAAGAATTGACGTCCGGCTAAGAATGCTTCAACGCGCCATCAGAGAACTTTAATAAAAAGTTATGATTTAAGTGAACATTCTATTTGTCTGTGAAATTGAATGGCAATTTCCTATTTCCCATTCCATTTTCTGTCTATGGGCAATAAATTAAATAATGGGCACAATAATTCAATTGAAACAACCATTTATTTCCCACTTTTTTTTCCACCTTCTCGTGATTTATTTTCTCTCTCTCTCTCTCGCTTCGCGCATTTCATTTTAATTTTTAAGTAAATAATTACAAATATAAAATGTATTTTTTTTCAAATTTAAATTAAATCTTAGAGAAATTAATGGCACTGTAAATTCTCAACACTCCTTTTTTTTCGTCATTTCTGTGCAGACTTTCAATGTTAGTAAAGAAAGAAAAGATAGGAAAAAAGTATAAATGTCAATTCAATTCAATTCCGACAATAGGAATTTTGCTATATTGTGCAGAAATTCCCATTGATTGACATGCAGAGGAACAATAAATATGTGTAGTTCCTCCTGAAGAAGCATTCCTCGGCAAATTCCTTCTCAACAGTCCTGCCTTGAGGGGCATTTCCTCTCCGTGTAACTTTACAAGCACGGCGAGGAATTCCGTGAGGAGCAACAAGAAGACTGCGAAGAATTTCAATCTTGCAGGAAATTATATTGAAAAAAAAAAAAAAACCTTTGCGATCCAATACATGAGGAAAAAAAATGTATTGATGAGGAAAAGGCTGGAAATTCAATTTTTCACTTATTCTCTGCGGTGAATTATTCTTTTTGTTGATAAGAAGAATAGGAAAGAAATGAACAAATAAATTGCAAAAAATCTCAAATTAAGCGAATCCGGAAATAATGCACTTTAATGGGCAACTGAGTGACTCATAAAATTCCATTAATAAATCGACTTTGCTGCCTATCCAATTGACATTCTCTCGAAGCATATTTTTTCCCTATAAATATCATCCGTTGGCAGTCGAATAAGTCAAATGCTATGCGAGTGTCATTTGAGATTTCAATAAGGATGAAAATGATAAATAAACTCCATCCATTTGGCATTCTTGTTGCTCCTTCAATTGCATTTTTTTCACCTCTTTCACTCCTCGCATTATTCTCTATAATAAATATTTACACAATTCATTCTTTCAGCGGTTGTTTTTTTTTATACACATTTTTTTTTCCACAGAAACATTGTAATATTGTGTCCTTATAACCATTTATATTTTCGTTTGTTTTTCATTTTCTCCTTCACCATTTAATATTCAATTAAGCCAAGTTAATTCCTCACTCTAACATCGAGTCATTTGCAAATTCATGACATTTTTCTTTGACCGTTTTTGTCGGCTGTCAATTCTCATGAGGAGAGGAAAATGTTGACTTTTTTCCCATATTTTCTACAGAGTCTCTTGTGATATTTCACTGGCGACAGAGTTGATGACACCACTTGAGATTATAGATAATAAATCAGGATCTATTGGCAAGTCATGGAGCTAAGAATATTACAGTGAAATAAGAATGAAGTAAATGTAATTCAGACAGAGCGAAATGAAGAGTAACACCTGTTTCACATATTATTTAGCAGTTAAGACATCTAGAAATATCATTATTAGATTTTAAACACTGCTTACAAGATATGGATTTGCTGCAGGGCGACTAATAACTGTTGATTTCATGTCCATTTGACTAAATGTTTTCCTTTATTACAGAATATTTACGATCTCTTCACATTTATCAGGGATAATTTCATTATTTGTACGCGTAATTGTTGTTTTATTTGATATTTCAGACACATATTTTGCTCAATATTCTCTTCATACTTTCATAATAAGTATTTTAATGTAAAAAAGTGTACAAATGTCAACGGAATATGGCGAAGCTCTTCTGATTGTCTCCCTTGCTAGAGATTAAATTTACAATTGAAGTTCACCGCGTCCTCCCTCAGTGCTGCCTCTACCGTGAAAAAATGCTACCAGCGAGGCTCGTATCAGAAGGAGAAGGCCGCCATGACAGTGGCATTCCCGCCACAATAAAAGACAGTAAAAATAAGATTTTGTTGTAAATCACAAAACAAAGTCTCTTTTCCTACACATGATTACATCTAATAGCATCTAAGAAGTAATTCTTAACGGCTAGACTTCATCGGTGAGTTTAAGTGTTTGTTTGTTTTCTGTCTTGAACGTATAATTCGAATCTCTAATCTATCAATCAGTCTCAAATGGCGCTCTCAACTCTGTTTTCCCAGCCAGACTTGGCCTCCAACGGTTACAGTACAACAGTAGTAAATTCGTTTATCGAGTTCCGCAATGGAAATCCTCTGCGATATACAATATACACTTAGTAAGAGATTACTGTTTGCCTATCTAACATGCTGCTCGCGTGGCGCAATTTACACCACGGTCGTGCGTTCGGGGCGCTCGCCGATGCAGATCAAGTGGCACGACGAGCCCCCCGTGTCTCAGGAAATCGACGTGTCGTCCAGCGTGGCGCCCAGCGCCGCGCCGCCGTTGTTGAGCAGCGGCACAGTGGAGCCGCCGAAGGCGCCGGCCTGGCACGCTCCCGTTGGGCTGTCGTAGACGCCGTAGCGCGTGGGGTTGCGGCTGTACACGTTGGGCGGCGAGCGCGCGAGCAGCGTGAGCGGCGGCGAGGCGTACATCGGCCGGCGCTGCGGCGAGCTGTACAGCGTGAAGGATGGATTTGTCGTGAGCGAGAGCTCCCCGAACTGTGGACGAGGGAGAATTTAATTAGCGCCAGGAGCACACAATGCTGAGCTTAAGATTATGCACGGCATCCCTGGGGAAATTCACTCACAAGCATTACACGCCGTGAACCTTAATTCGCCACGATAATTCCCGCCTCTCGCCGCCCGGAGGCTTAGCCGAGGAGTTGGGATAGGTCATGGCTGAGAGGACTTTGCGGCGTGGCATTGGAATGGTTCTGAGCAATAAAAATGAATTGAGTTGAGGATTAATTTTTCCCCCCTTCTCAGCACAAGGAGCACTTTTTCCAGGACAACGACTGCAGAAGAGCGCCTCCATTTCTTCTCTTTGCCCACATCCAGGCGGAGATCCGCGACGTGCGCTCGAAGGTCTTGTATAAAAATTTCAAGAGCCTTCCTCTCAAAGCACCCTGATAAATTCCGTTGAGCGCAAGAGAAACTTTCAATGGGCGCCCATTATTTCCGAACAATTGTTTGGCATTACACTCACTAAATATTTTGTGTGGGAAGTTTTACCATCAGGCAATTTGGAATGCAATTAGGGAAATCTTTTGGGGATTCGGTGCCTGCTGCAGCTCCTTCACTGAGATAACTTTCCCACACAATTGGCCAGCACTTGGGTCAGCATGTCAAAGTCAAATTAAATTTCGGACTCTTGCCTCCAGTGCATTTGGAGAGTTATTCCTGTATTTATGCTTTTGACAGGACACAGTAACAGGATGCGATTGAATTTGCAATTAAATTGACATCTCTTGAGGCCTGAGATTGATCAAATGCATGTCTGAGAAGGTAACATCTTTTTTAGATAGAGTTAGAAGAAAATTGTCTTAAGATAATATGGGAATTTCCTATGGAAATATAGCAGAATGTCATAAGACAAATGAACATTTATTAGTGTCTGAATTGTGGTTGTTATTCACAATCAAAATCGTGATTCGTTTTAGGACTTCAATCAAGAGTGTTACGGACGTGAGATTGTCATAGGACAGTAATTATATACTGTCCATTGGAATGTCCTTAGACTTTCCTTCACTTGTCATCTGACTGTCTAATTTAAGGTGAATTTGGCGCTTAACCACATTTAAATGTTGGGTTTCACAAAAATTATCCCTTTTCGTGTGTGATTTATCGTTAGCGTTCCGTTTAAGGAATATAAATTGCCAGATTGCAAGGGTGTTAACAAAATTACCATCAAGATTAGGGTGTGACTGTCCTCCCCTGCCAACTGGAGTGTCCGATATCAATTTGGAGAGAATGAAAAATGCAGTTTCGCCACTGGTTAAAAGTGAATGAGGAGAATTTAAAATTGCAGACAATTAGAGGATCATTGGACGTTGAGGTTTCGTGATGCTCTTCCATTATCATCGGACAAATTACCTCACCACCAGTGGTATTAGGGATGCAATACAGCACGTGATTAGTCGTTGTTAGGCGGGTAGGAAAGCCAAATTCACGGGGAAAACAGGATACTTTCGGGGTGGAATTTCCCTGGGAATGCCTGGTGAATGTGCCTGTGGGAAAACATTTGGGGATTCCACTTACATTCTTGGGGAAACTGGCCGGCGACAGGGGCGGAGGTGACGAGTTGAGACGTGAATTGTAGAGAATGCGATCTGAATTGAGGCGCTCAAAGGCCTTTTCCTCCGACAGGAATTCATCCTCGCTGTTCTCCTGTGGCACAACATCGGGATTCTTGTCGTCGATGCTCGAGTGACTGCCCATGTTGCGGCTCAGCGGCTCAGCACTGCCTTTGTCCTTGTCCACATCAGCTGTGCCAGCTTCTGTGGTGCGATGCTCACGTTTCTGCTGGTGAGCCAGAGGAGAGAGCACACTCTTGTTAGAATCATTACATGTCGTCTGTACTTGAAAATGTTATTGTGCGGTGCAAAATCATCTCTAGAATCACTGATAAAGAGATGATTTCATACTTTATGTCGTCTTAAAGATATTTAACACAGCGTCAAAGCTACTTTTTCAACAAATTTAGGCATTTTCCAAGTTATTTTGCTTAAGAAAATCGATTTTATTGTTTTTATAGGTTATGTAATTGATTTAAGAGAGATTTTGGTGATTAAATTACCCTCAAAATCATCAATTATCTTGTAGAATCAATCAGATATTTGCTATATATTTACTTATTTTCAAGTCTGAAAAGATTAACATTAGTCCAATAAGCCGAACTCATAACCTCACAATTTGGTCAGAATTTTTCTAGGCATTTTCTGAAGAAAAAAACAGAGTTGAAAATGTCTGGCGATGGAAAATGCTTTAAAAAAAAGACGTTCAGAAGTGTCTGGAGCGTTGAAGATTCTGCACAGACGCTGCGGAAGTATCAGAAAGTGTCGTATAAATTCCAAGGCATATTATCTTCCCCTTGACTTGGTCTGATAACAGTGTAAACTAATGATGTCATCGCATTGTGAAAAACTGACTCTCTTAGGTTCTCGCGACACATCGTAATTGGTGAAAATGTCGAAAGTTTTTACAATGTTTTGTGTCTTTTCTCCACTGCATTTGATGTTATAATTCACCTGCTATTCAGCTGCATTATGCAAAATTGTAAGGGTGAAAAACACAAGTTGGGAAGGGTGAGAAGAGTGGAAGAGAGAGAGAGCGCCGAGCTTTTAGCACTTATTATGCATATAAGGGAAGTCACCTGTTTTCCACGTCGCATCCTCATGCAAATGACGATGCATCCTACCACAAGGATGAGCGTCCCGGCGACACCCATTAGGGCGCCAAGGAGTGGTGTCAGTTTCACGAAGACTGCAGTCGATGATGCTGCAAGAGTTGGGGAGAATGTATTTTAATACCAAAAATGTGGCACAAGGGTTGGGCAAAAAGGGGTCCGGGCAGCGCCACCCATAAATTAGCACTGGCGTGGGCGCCATTTCCCGCAGGTAAAAGTTTGCCGGAGAACTTTTCCCCGGCACTGCATCGTGTGAATTAATGGCGAGAGCGCAACTTTGCCTCCAAGATCGGCAACTTCTTTGCCCCAATTTTTCGCCTTTTTCCCCGGGAACATAATATAGGCACCTCTTGTTGGACATTATCTCTCCGCTATTCGCGCTCTTCATTAATAATTTATCCTCCCGGTGGTTTTTTTTACGTCCGGAAAATAGAGATTTCCATCAAGCAACACTATGACTTGCCATTTAAAATTGACGCTGATCCCTTTCCCATGAATCCTTTTTTTTCTGTGCTATTTCAGAAACTCTTCCAGGTTTTACATACAAATTGAAAGAGAGATTGTTACCACGAAGCACTAATGGGTCACTAATTAACGTGAAAATGGAAGGAAAAATTAAGTGAATTCCATCAAAGAGGACAGAAAATAACAAGCACTTCGCTTCCTTTCAATCTTATCACTCATAGGTTGCATTAAATTTGCCTGGCAAGCGGATAAAATAGTCCAGCGCAAATTTAGAAAATGGCGCAATTAAATTATAAAATGCAAATGTGGAGGAAGAGCTTTTTGTCTAAATGAAATGTCAAGAATGATTTTCATCTGGATAGTTTTCTCTGCAGCTTAATTCTAAGTCAAACTACCTGAATGCAGAGATAATAGATAAGATGGAATTCATTTCTTTTGTCAACTAAAGAAATTTCCATTGCAGTTAATTTTCCTCTGCAAATTGCATTCTCGAGAGTCGCATGTAAAAATTGCATTTAGCGCAGTATTTCCGTATTGATTTCATCGAAAATCTAATCATGCGAAGAAATTTTCTCCCAGAAAGTTCAAGATTGCAAATTTCATAAATAAACGACACGAGGAAAAGCCAATTTCCCTCTGTTGCTGCTGCGAGTTGCAATATTCACTCCACTTCAGCGAAGGAAATGAAATTTTTCCCTTATTTACATGGCAAGTAGCATTTTTATTTGCTGAGAAATTATATTGTTTCCACATATTTTCTCCGTAGATTGGATGAGAAATAATATTTTTAATTATTTAATGTTGTTTTGCCATGCTTTTTCAATCTGGACATATACAAGAGTTGTCAAATGAATAGCACATGAGAAGTAAGACGATATGAGAGAGTTAAATTTTCTATAGCTCCGCCCACTCACGCGCCCCGCCCACAATTACGTCTTTTAATGAATAATTAGTAGAGATTTCGTGTTTTTTTTTCGCAAATAAGTCGCGATATCTTAAAACGTGAGAATATAAAGTAATTATTAGCAACTGTAAGCAAAAATAGCGAACTTTGACATATGATTTTTGTGAAAAAACAAAAAAATTCGTTGGTTGTGCTATTTTTCTCGTTGCTTCTATTCATTATTTAAATATGAACTCAACGTTGTGAAATAGTTTCTCTTGATCAAAGGAAAATTCACTTATTGACACACTAGTTTTTCCCCTGCAAACAGTGCAAAATGCCAATAAAACAGCATTCCTGTCTGTGCAAGACTAAACTTCCTTAATTGAATATATGAAAAGATAATTGTGTCATGAGTTTTTCATATGCAGTGTGGATGTGATTTAATGAATTCCGATGGTTTTCTGTACCCAGCAGAAGCACACGATAAATTTTAGGGGTTAAATGAATGAGAAACTTTTTGCACTATTGAATTAAATTTCTTCTTTGTCCCGGAGAAGTCATGAGGAAAATGAATTTTGCTCGAGCTGTCCTTGGTCTCAACCTACCTGGTACCTTTCCACCCAGCGCCATTTGCTGGATGATGGGGCGCAAATTGTGGGGTGTAAAGTCACTCCCAATTTACTGAAAGTTTTGCAATCTCATGGGGCGCGCTGTCCCCACAAATCGATGCCACATGCCCAGCCCCCGCTCGCCCGGTGAGGCGATGTTATTGAATTATCTTCACGCCCGGCCGTCCCCGGAGCCCATCCCTATCCCCCCCACCCCCCGCCCTGTGCCACTCATGAGGGTTGTTGTGTGTTGTTTGGCAAATCCATTTCCTGGGGAATTAATTCAATACTCCGAATGGCATAATTACCTGTTCTCAGAAGTGGTGCCGGAAGTGTTTTTGCGTGCAAACGATACCAATTACTCGATCCTTGCAGATTGAATGCCAGCACCTTTCGTCGGGACGTCCGTCGGATAGGGGAAAGTTGATAAGGGTCGCGCCGGGATGCAGAAGGAGGGTGTGGAGCACATGAAAGAGAAAAGTTTTTCCGGGCTTAGTTGCCAATGCCTCGCGGGAGTTTTTGCATAATTTATCCAGTTTTCACTCTATAAATTTAATATTTCTCCCATAGCGGAAAACTCTCTCAATCTCTGCATTTATAAATCATTTTATGATGGGTTGAAATTCAGTTGGGAAATACAACAAATGCATTTATATGGCTGAAACAAATTTGAGTTTCAATTTCATGTTGTGCTTGAGGATTTTGCCAATGATATGTTGTGATATTGTATGTTTCAGGATTAATTTCATTTTGTGTTTTTTTTTCTGGTTGGTTTTCGATTATAATTATTTATTAAATAAATGGTTAAAAACTGCAACTGAATTTGGTGGAATATTATCAGAGCAGAAATTGTCCTAAATTCCCTCAGAGATGCAATTTTCCCACGTGTCAGCAGGAAAACATAGTGAAAGCTGGGCATTTGGGGAAGTGCAAATTTAGCAAATATGGCGTGTGATGATGTTCGTAACAATTTCAGCAATTAATGAGGCAATAAAACTAATTTAATGACATTGCATAGGGAAATTCTCCCCAGGAAGCTGTAATCGTAAATTCACTGGAGTGAAAATTCCGTACGCCGGCTGCAACCCCTTTTTGAAGGGGGCGCCAAACACCCTGGCATATTGTCATGGAGGCCCATGAAATTGGAAAGCCGTAAATTTTCGCGTAGAAGACAGAGCCGATTAATGCCAAACACACACACACATAGTTTGCCATCTTCGTCCGAATTCTTGCTCACCTTTATAATGAGGTCACACTCGATGGGGAGTCGCTTGAGGGTGAAGTCAGGATGGCGGTATGAGGCGTTGTACAGCACGGTGTTTGTTGATTTATCAATAATCTCCACGTGAAATTGCTGCGGAATTCCACCGTCTCGGCCAGGCAAACATGACACTTGCACTGAGTTCGCGGTTGCATTGAACGCCGTGCAGTTTTTCACTGGATCAGGCAACTCTAAAATGGGGCGCACACGATGCCAAGGTATGAAGAGAAGTATTAGTTTTTCACCAGCATATTTGCACAGGAGCACGTAAAAAAAAAACCGCGGATATTCTCGCAATTTTCGCCAGACAAAAATTCCCTGCCAGCCTCTCACAAAATGCACCGCGACATGGACAAACGGAGGAGGAGCACTGCCAGAGTGCAGAAGTGTATTCCCAAGGGGCACCGAGAGTATAAATAGCATGCTATCTGACCGTCTAGCAGCCTTTCGCATTTATACACCACAGTCAGAAACTGCTACAAAAAGATGCCCAAAAATTGGTCCGTTACGACTCGATTCCGACCGAGAACTAGCACGCACGATCGTCACCGAAGTTGACACTCGGACTCTATTCATCACCGCTGTGCGGCGCTCAATAGCGCTGAGCAGAAGTATTATGCTTCGCCGGTTTGCGTCGCACCGAACGAAATGTGTCTTTGATGGAACAATTCGACAACACATTTTCCAAATTTAACGCGATGGCTGGCTATTTTGCAGTCATGTGACCACCAATTTTTCTACCATGGCCATGACTGGAAAATATACTACCAGCCTCATTTTCCGGTCTGGTCATTTGGTGTTACTTGGGTATATTTTCACATGCCTGACAAGCTCCCTTTTGCCACGGAGGATTTTTGCAGTCTCTCCACGGGTTTATCAAATCTCCCGTGAAAGTGGGTCTTTGTGCATTGACACTGTCGGAAAGATGAAGAATTAATTGCTTGATGTGGATCTCTTTTGCCAACAGCGAACAAAGCTTTCCACTTTCAGCTTTACGAGGGGACTTTCGCATGTGAAATTGATTAGATGTTTGCTTCACTTGGCCAGTTGGTGCTTGAAATATTCATGGATTTCCGTCGGGAAGAAGGATTGCGGATGTTATACAAAATTAACAGTGACACGCATTTGTAAGTTTTATGCAGTACAAAAGGATTTTCTAATGAACTCTTACAACGCCCTTATGTCTGTGCTCTTTGCCAGATATTCTGGGTGGTTTTCAACCATATTTTGTCCAATACAGGAAATCAGGTCAGACAGAAACAAATGTTTTTGACAAATTTAGCAATATCAACAAATCTAATTTCATCAAATCACAAAAATGTCTGTTTTCGGCATTGTGATTTCAGGTGAAGACAGAAGGTCGATTAGGACTCAATATTTGTGGAATCTTCTTGGAAAATGAAGCTTTTGAGCGCTTCTTTCATGCTCAATTTGCCTAAGGACTCGAAGTAATTATATTCCTTCTTTCAAGGCATTTTTTTTTTGCTTTCCCTCTTCGAGATGAATATTAATCATTTTACGTGCATCATTAATTCACCCGCAGCGCGTCTTGTCGTAACGCGTGAAAGGGGTGAAAAATGGGGGCGTAATTGGAATTTCACCTGCTGCAAGGATGTGATAAGCGCAGAGTCCGCTGTGGCCGTACAAGTTCTCGGCGCTGCACGTCACGGTGCCGAAGTTGGCGAAGCTCTCGATGCGGAAGGGATATGTGCGTCCTGGCGAGCGCGCGTGGAAGGACTTGGCGGAGCGCGCCGTGGTCTGGAAGCGCTGGTGGCGGCGATGCTCCGTCTTCTGGTGCGCCCCCAGAGCGTTGGGGCTGTGCCGATGCTCCTCGGGGTCGCCGGCGTGCGGCAGGACGGCGGCCGGCGGCGGCAGCTCGATGGATGAATCGAGGGTGTTGTTGAAGTACCACTTGTATGTGAGATTTTGCTGTGCGAAGCCCAAAGGATCGACCATTAGTGACAGCTTGGGTGGCCCGAAAAGTGGGCGGAAAACTCACCAGTGGATTCGAGTCGATATCGCACAGAATATTGATTGTCTGTTTCAGGGCAGCTCTGATGACTGTCGACTCCGATTTGCAAATTGGAGGATCTGATGAATAGAACAGAGACAGTCTGTGACTTGGCTTGAAATGCACCGCAAAAGGTGTGCTTTTGATATATATCAAATCTCAATTATAACCATGACGTGAAAACCTATCAATTTGATCAAATATTGTCCAATATCTAGTAAGAAAATAGTTTGTAATGCCTGAAATATCTGCTCTTGCAACCTTTCGTCAAGCACTTACACTTCACATCCAAGTACACATCGTTGCTGCTGACGGAGCCCTGGGCGTTCTCAGAGCGGCACATGTACTGCCCGTGGGAAGCCTTGGAGATGGCCTGCAGGACCAGTGTTTGATTGGAGATAATCACGCCCCGCATGGAGTAGAGCTGCTTTTCCTGCACGATGAGAAAACTCCGTGTAATTTTCCCGCTCCAGTGAACATCGTAAAAAGCGCGCTTTCCTGCCCAGAAGATATTCATCGCGCTCCTTTATTTGGCCTTCTTTCCCCACCCTCCGACTCAATTAGGGCGATTTTTATGTATCTGGATTTATTATCGATTAACATTCGATATACTGCGACTAAACTTTGCTCCGCGCTCGGGACTTTTTTTTACGGCGCTAATAAAGATTTCTGCTTAATAATTAAGGGAACTTTCTCATCTTGAAACCTCCTGGCTTCATTCACCAACACACACACACACACACGAGTTTTTATTTTCCACCTCAAAGTTTCGAAGCAATGAAGTGAAATTCAGCACTATGAATAATTCATTTATTACCATATATTCGTGGGAAAAACTAAAGCTCGCGAGTTGCAAAAACCCTTCAACACTTTTCACAAGTGCAGTTGTATTGCTGAATAAGTTGCAAAGATTAAATTTTTACCTCTCATGAGTTTGTGCAGAAGTTTTGTGCGACTCAATGACTGACGTTCAAAACTTCACTCAAACCTATATCATAAATACATATTGCACCTTTAGCCTTTCGCAGTTGGAAAATTTCCCGGTAAATTCATAGTGAATGTGGATGAATATTTTAGCGAGTTGTAAAGAAATAAACATCATTCAATAAAATGGGTTTTATTGCTGCTTTATTGAATCACTCAGCAAATCGATAAGTGACCTGCAACGACGAATTAATAATTCCCATTGCAAGATGTTTGGCACGAAACCGTTTCCAGACAGATGAATAGATGATAAATGTTTAATGCTTCCACACAACAAAAGAGCCTCCATTCCTCAGGGGTTCGTTTTTACTCGTTGGTGGCTTGAGTTGGGAATTAATGCAATATAACTGGTGGGTTGATTTAGCCTGGGCAAACTATTATTTTACATATACATAGCATGTAATCCACGAACAATGTCGCAATTCTTGAATTCATCCATTATTTCACTTCCAGAAGAGAAGTTCTCAAGTTGATGAAAAGACTTTGCACACTGAGGAAAGTTCTTTTAGGCTCCGCCCACTTGAAAGCCCCGCCCATTGACACACATAATTGGTAATGACACATCGCAGCTTGATTAAATAGCATGAAAATGCAGACCAATTGAATGTCTAATGTGAAATACGAATTAATTATAAATAAATGTGCGGATTATCGTAATTATGAGCATAAAAGCGTGAAATTGAATTAAAGGATTTCCCAAATGTATGCAATGATTAAATTGCTTTAATTGTATATAGAAGGGTATTTTCCATTCTAAGAAAATCTCTTGCTTTGCTCTTTGCCATGTTTATTCCGAGAATTTCACTATTTTTTCCATTGAAATGCTTTCTTATGGATTTCTCGGACGTTCTCTATACAAACTGATGACTATTTTAGCAATCTTACGAGACAGCGACACTAGATTTGTGTCTCTTGGGGGATTTTCATCGCCTTCGTCAGCAAATTAACCACTTGTTCAGCGTCTGGCAAATTGACAGAAATTCCTCCCGCATAATTAGAGTGAATGAATTGATCGTTTAATTAGACAATTTCCGTGGAAATACTCAAAAACAGCATGAAATGCGATGATAAATAGAGATTTATAGGACTCACATTGTGAAACCATTCGATCTTCCTGATGGGCGGGTTCGCTCTGATGTCGCATTCCAAGTACACATCCGAGCCATTCATTAGTTTGTTGGGATCCAGCGGCGCTCCGAGTGATAACGACACAATTGGGGCGTCTAACGTCGACAGGCGTGCGGCGTGTGAGATGGAAAAAAGAAGAAAAATGATGAGAAAAATTGGCAATTGTTGGAAATATTGGAGCATTTTCACACATTCCTCTTCATCGGCACGCCCCAGATCCCCCTCCCAGTGTATCCATCCTTACGTTTTACATCCAAGATACGTGAGTCTTTTAGAAATAGACCAGCTCCACCGCTGATCGTTTCAGTTGTCACGGAGCACGTCACAATTTTGCCATTATCCTCTGGCGCCGGCAGAAACACCACCTCAGAAACTGTCACGTTCCCATCTGACGATGTCTGTGAATTTGTCATTTTATTTTTTATTTCGCCAGTTCACCCATTGATTGCGTGGGCGCGCACAGTCCCATCGGACACGGTGATCCGGAGGAAGCGACATGGAAGGCATGAGAGATTTGTGAGTTAGTGTCGGGAGGGGTGGATTTTGGGGCGGGGAAGACTCACCGTTTGCGAGGCTCCTCGCATCAGCAGACCACCCTTGTTCCAGATGATCTCCGGCGGGGGGCGCGCCCCTGCTGAGCTGCAGGAGATCTGCGTCCGCACGCCGGCCACCAGTGCATGATTGAGGCCCTGCAGACGAACGTACAGCGGCGGAACTGCGGAGATTTAGAGTGGTTACAGACTAGCCGATTATCCACGGGAGGTTGAGCAAGAGCGCGAGTGTGTACGATTGACAGTTCGTTTAGCCATAAAACGCGAATAATCCCTCGATAGGAAAGGCAAAATGGTGAATCTCTTGCTCATCCACGGAGGATTGATTCGAGTTCGCGCCGATTCGAGGATAAGCGGCAAGTCTGTAATCGCTCTTAGGGAGATTAGAATGATTGCAGTGCCTGTGAAGGGAATCCATGAGAGAGTGGACAGAATGTTTAGTGGATTGATTGTCTCTTTAGCGGTTTTAGGCTGTCTTGATTAATGTGAACCATTCTTTAAATTCAGACAAAAGGTCAATGAGACTCTTCAAAAGCGTGGGCGCAGTGAATTTATGCTAAATAAAACGCTACTTAAATGTCCAAAAACTATCAATCTGCGCATAAGCTTTAGATGATATTCCCAACACAAAACATCCAACTAAAGCCAATAATGCGATTATGTTGCTCTTTTTCATCGCCATGGCGCAGAAAAAAGCGGCAAACTCATGAATGAAATTGAATGAAAACAGTGCGGGAGTTGGTGGCAATGGTGAAATGGAAAACCAATGACTTCCATCCCAGCATTCAGAAGGCGACTCGTTGACATTAATTATTTTGTATATTGGGCCGCGCGCTTTGGGTGTCTTTTTTGCCATCTCACTGTGTTGGAGATGGAAAGGGTGTGGCGCAGAATGGAAGACTCATGCTTGTGGCGAAGCAACAAAAGGAGAGCGAATCCTTCGTTTTCTGATGCGGATTATCCTCATTACCATTTCCACCCAGACCAAGAGGATTTTCCTATTCTCATGCCCAAAAGGTCGCGCGGGGGTGTTTTCTGGCGCTCACCCTTCGCGCTGTGAAGCACCACAAGTTCGCTATTGTTCAATTCTTTTTCATTATATCGACTTTGGCCAATATCCTGTCTTTCCTTCCTCCCATTTCAGCATTCGTCACTTCCCTTTTTGTGCATCTCACTCTCTCTCTCTCTCTCTCTTCAGCGGAACTGCGGAACTTGTTCAGCAAATAGAATATGTGCAAAGCACAGAGTGTGGTTTGAAGTTGCAAATGAAGACGCTGCGATTGTGGGCAAACGACGAAACTTCATTATATGAAATTGTATTGAGATTAATCTGCAATGGGTCTCAGTTGTCTCCTATTCACTTCCACTTTAATGATATATTCAAGTCCCCCAGAACGACCCTCGCCAGAGCCATCAAAGGCACTGCGAAACTTTTCACACCCACAATCGTGGGCCGACGGGGGAAATATTAACAATTGCAGCAATTTTCCATCCTTATGAGAAATGGCCCGGGCCATAAAGTTGCCTCCGTGGGTGGGCTCAGCGCCAGCCGGCGGGGTCCCGAGAGTGGGCGGATAGTGAAAGTGAATGGGGAGGAAAATTCAGGGAGCCTCTCAATGGAATATAAAGTGATATAAGGAGCAATAAGAGATAATAAAGAAGAAGTAACTAAAGAATGAGATGCTGGGAGGAAATGTGAAGCCATATAGAGATAAGTTAAACCCACCCTCGGGCAAATTGGGCGACTGGGAGACACGCAGTCCGTCGAGGGTCCGACAGAAGGGGGGATGGAAGAGGGGTGGCATTTCACTTCCACTTTCGTCATCAACTTTATTACTATCGCCTCCACGGCTCGTCATCGTAATGATTGGGGAGTGTTTCAAACTCCCCGGAGGAGCCAAAGTGTGGGCGAAAAACTCCTTGGGAAGTGCGGCGTGAATAAATATTTATGACGAGGGTTACCGAGTGCCCTGAATTTCCATCCGACGGCCGAAATATGACCCAGAGAGAGAGCGTCTTCGGATCGACAATCTTTCTCAAGAAGTGATTCATCCTCGCTGGGAATAATTTATAAAGTTGCCCGCGTGAGAGATTCTTCTCACCTTTAATTGCGATTTGCATAAATAATACAAGCCAAGTTGTGATGAAAAATGTGATTGAACTCCTTGGAGGGAGTGTTTCGCGTCGAGGCAAGTGTAATTTTGCGAAATTGTGTGATTCGCATGCGGAAAAAGCCTCTGCTTAAGACATCAAACGGAATAGTTGAATTGCTTGTAAGTTTCACTAAGCACTAAAGTGCTCTTTCAGCACTCCACGATAGTCACATAATCTCTTCCGTTTCATATGGCAGAGAAATGGGGCTGGAAGGAAAGCCGCTGCAGTCAGAAAATCTTCAAATAGAGATTTGGGGATGTTGTAAAGTGAATTTCTGAGATATAAGGCAAGAGAATTAACTTCTTCTTCTTCGAAGGATATACAATTTTTACCCGTAATATTTGGGTGCTTTCTTACTATTTTCATCACTCGCACATCAAGTTTTCCTATTACGAAAAGCAGGATTATGTGCAAGATTCTGTGGAATATTTAAATGAATTCTCAACACTTGAGCATAGAATAAGTTTGGCCTAATTTCACTTCGCACGCTGGGCGAAATGATTCGGTCCGTCTGAACCGGAGGTGAACTCAATTTCCGCCGAGGTGAAGGACCGAATGAATGGGTTGCGAGAAGGGACATTTGGGTCAGGATGAAGGATGAGGTGCATAATATTTCCTGCGCCCGGACAGGAAGCATAACTTACGCTTCAGCTCCAATTTCACATATGTGGACAATGGCGGCACCACATGTCCATTTGTCGCCTGGCAGGTGTAAATCTGGAAGTGAGACAGAGAGAGATTATGAGTGGCTAAACAACAGGAGATGCACCGTAATTCGGTGAATCTCTCATTCTCAAGACGATCTCCCAGTGATTGTCGCTCTTCCCTTTTGGCATTCTTCGTCTCCGTCTTCGAAATGTTTGGTCACATTATTATCATTTTGTCTTTATTGCCGCGATGTCTCTCTGTTTTTTTCCGCGCGCCTCGGAGACTTGTTAAGCGAGCGCCGGACGAGGAAGCCGACGGATCAGAAGACAAGGAAGGCTCCAAGGGGCAAATAAATCGATCACTTTGCCAAATCTGAGCAAGATTTCATGGGAAAATGCATGTTTGTGGATTTGTACAAGTTTCTGGCACTTTTTGAATATTAAATCTAAGATTTTCATCTAAAAGAGAGCCCAGGAAATAAGTTTATTGGAATTTTACCAATAAATCAGTGATATTTTGCCAAATATACTTTGCTATTTTTCTCAAGGTGGAGATAATATAGTCAGAAGTGGTGTACAGTTCAGTGGAAGTGTTCAAAAGTATAAAATAATCCTTTCCGAGTGCTTCTTTTACTGTCCATTTTTCCAAATTCTTTGAATTTCCCTTGATTTTTTGCGTAGAAATAATCACAATTATCCTTTTCTAGGTTATGTAACGAGCCAAGGATAGATTTAGTGAATAATTAGCATTCTAGCACATCAGTTTTTATACTCAAAAATTATAAAATAGATATTCTGCACAGTTGATCCCAAGAAACACTTCTAAACGCGTGTTGAGGCTGAAATAACCTCAAAATTTAGCATTTGGATGTGGAACAGATTAATCGCTCCGAAAATCAATTAACAACTTTAGCAGAATGTGTTTAAAGTGGATTTATAGCTTATTCGAATTGAAATCACAATCTTTATTAAATGCAAAGCCTCAATTACAACTATTTTAGGCATGACTAATTGATGTTTCGGGATGATTGTGACTTACAAAATCCGTCCTAAATTCGTAGAGGCATAAATTAAACTTGATAAGACGTGTGCTGAGCTCTTCTCACCGCAATATCTCCCCCTTGGGAGGCTCTTATAGGCATCACAGCATCCAAATGGCTCAATGGGGATCAAGAGGCATCGCGAGATGCGCATTCTGGGCTATAGAAAAAGAAGTGACTTTATGAAAATTCCTCCAAAACAACCTTCACGCCACGATTTAATGGGTCGACATTGTAATTTAAATCAGATGGCGGGAGGAAGATTACAATTTTTAATGAATGTGATTTGTCTCGTGGGATTTTACATATTCCCTCTATATATGCCTCGGCCTTTTATTTATTGTACAGCCAGCGCGAGGAGACAAATCAAAATCCCTCGAGGATTCTTTGGGCTCAGTGAATCCCTTCCGCCACGGGGAATCTCAAATTTGTCTTTTTCGGGTGGTTTCCCATTTAATTGAGTGTCTCATTATAATTTTCTTCCTCAGCCAAGGCGAAAGGAAATATGTTTGCTTGGTCTCAACTCCATGCCATGCAATCAAATCTCTCTGGCATTAGTTGAGAGGCGAAATTTCATTATTTTAATTCCACCATATTTTTATTGAGACAAGATAAGACTCAACCGCAGGACGCCCACACAGATTAAGGGCATCTGCTCGACGGGATGAAGGGAGGAAGAAAAAATCTCATGCGGCATTTTACGAGTGAATATCTCAAGAAAGTCCGCCTTTTTATGACTCGGTTTTGAGGAGAGAAATATTGCGAATTCGAGGAACTTTGGGAGAGAGAGATTTTGCCACTAAGAAATTTAAAGAAGCACAAAAATTCCATGGCATTTTATAAATGTTTTCACAATCATTGTAAACAATTTGTTGACACAGAACATCATTAAAATGCCTGCGACAATGACCAATATTACTGACATTTCCAGAATTGGTGCGCCATAAAATCTATTGACTCATAAAAAATTTTCCATCCTTTTTCTGAAGGTAGTAAAATTTTTAATGATGCCAGTTTTGGGTGCTCTCGAACGGGGGCCATTGGATGGAAATTTGTAAGATAATCCTCAAAAATGTCTCGTGTGATTTTTGCTGATGATTACAAAGTCATAAAATCAGTCAATTGGATTTTTATTCCCGCTCCCAATTCGAAAAGAGGGAAGAGCGTCGCGAAGCAGAATGATGATAATGCAAGTGAATAAATGTCTATCTTTATTTCTCAATTGAAGAGGTGAAGCGCAAAAGTTTAGTGCTTGATTGAGGAATTTATTATGCGTCTTATCGCTGAGCGCTTTTCTCTGGTGAACATTGAATAATGCTCAGAATGCAATTTATAAATTGCGGGTGTATTTAAAATGAGCATTTAATGATAAGCCGAATGTGATTTCTAAACAATCAAATGGTTAAAGTTAATTTATTGTCACTCATTTATAACATGTTTAAGCATTTTGCATTCTAATTATAAATTGAAATATGTGGGCTTGACATTCGCACTCGTGCATTGCTCGTGGAATCAATTATGGATGATAGAAATTTCCATAAATTATTCTTTATCACCCACAGAAATTGTTTTATCAACACCGCGATTTCTGCCTTTTCATTATTGTAAACATTGAAATATCACGTTGTTTGTCTTGTGCTAATCAATCGATTGTTTGCGATTTGTTTGTTGAGCATGAAAGGAGTTTTACAATTGTTATTTGTCTTGCAATCTTCAGTTCCCCAGACACGAATAGACACTTCTTCAAATTCACGAGAAAATGTGAAACTTCAAAGTTCTGCACTTTCACAGAAAGAGTGGAAAATAAAGTTATGATTCTTTCAAACTCTTAGACACAAATTTGCATGGCAAACAGTGAAGAATTTTGTGTGTAGTTTGCAACAAATTCTATTACATTTGAATACTATTTATTCTTAGAGTTGTAAAAATGTCTAAGAGCTAAATGAAATTGAACTGCGAGCTTTGAGTGTCTTGTAAAGCACACAAACTCTTCCCTTTTTGCACATTTGCCTTCACCTGCGCGATGAATGATCGAAGACAAGGGGGAGATAATACGGCTAAACAGTTTACACCACTTCCAAAACACTTCCACAATTCCTCTGCAGAATCTTCAACACTTCCAGACATTTCTTAACGCCCTTGAAAATGCATTTTCCATCGCTTTTTCCGCTCCTTCAACTGTTTCTCACACTCAATTCCGACTTATCACAAAGCTAATCCGGGTTTTTCCATCTCAAGAGGTTTAAGCTCTTCAAATGCTTAGATTTTAAACTGTAAAAAATGATTTGAATGTCCCAGAATTTGTTCATGAACAATTTCTGTCTTCATTTTCTAATTCCGTTTGAAATTAATCTCATAACCTTAAAAAAAGCGATAAAATTGATTTTTAAGCAAAGTTTAGGAAAATGCCTCAATTTGGATGAAATGGAAGCTTTTTCAGTGCAAATATTCTAATATATTTTATCACTTTCACTTCAAACACTTCCTTTCAAGCTGTACACCACTTCCGACCATAATATCTACCCCTTGATCGAAGATTCGATTGCAATTTGTGTGTGTAATCTTGGTGGGGAGGCAGAGGAAATTGTCGAAATGCTTCTCAAGATGCTATCTCTCGATGGCCGAAAAAGCGAGTGTCGAGCTTCTTTCCATGCGCGCGATACATTAATTTGCAATTAGGCGAGAAGCGAGAGAAGAATCAATTTGATACATATGCAAGAGATCTCAGGGACTTTCGGAGCCATTTCCCACAGCGACTGCCAATTAATCGTGGGCCAAATGCAGTGTTACATCAGTCAGAGTGACAAGGAAGGACTTGGAGGATAAGGGACGCCTTGTAGTCTCTTGCTTGGAGAGTCACAAAAGGCGGTGTTGAGGCAAATCTGTGCAATAAATTTCCATGTGTGCAGTTGTGTTCAAAAATCTCCAGCCATAAATAATCCCGGGGAATTTCTTTTATCTTATTAATTTTGATCCAGTGAATAAGTCGGAATGCTACATCTACTTATGCTTTATCATCTCCCTCGGCCTCGGGTTCTGGAGAGGCAAAAGGTAAAGCGTGCGCTGGGATATCTTTTCTTCTCTCTCTCTAAAATGGCCCTGGGAGGAGGAAAAAATCTCATGTGATTATGTATGTTGTATATCTCGGCTGTGTTTCTGTCGTGCAGCTTCTTTTTTAATGAAGTGGTGCGAGAGGATTTCCCTTGCCGGAGAGCGAATGGAAGACGGCGAAGCCACACAGAAAAACACTGTTTAATAGGCATGTGGATTTGCATAATTTGTTAATAAAACTTATTCAATTTAGATGGGATTATCATAATGACACCCTATTTAGTGGCAGTAAAATATTTCTCCTCAGATGAGACATTAATTAACTCTTGTGCATATTTGCGGCCCCCTTTTTTGGCACAAGGGAAAACACCCCCGCAGCAGCAGGGCAAAAAGTTGACAAGACTCTCTCTCTTCTGGCTTCGGATATATTTCTCATCCAGCTTCAGCACTTAATGTGTGTAATTCTCTTGTTCTCTTCCTCGTCCTCTTCCTTCCTCTTGGCAATTTTCCCAAACAATTCAACCACACGGAAGACAGTTGGAGAGCTGAACTAACCCCACAGTATTATTATTAATTACTTCTGTGCCACTTTCACTCTTTCGCCTCTAAACTTCACGTCAACAATGGCTGCAAAAACCACCACCACTTCTCCACCCCCGAGGGGGTGTGTCGGTGTGAGAAGAGCGACTGTGTGCGCGAGAAGAGATTAGAGAGCAACAATGGCATGCACTTACAGTGTGCAGATCGTGACGATTGAGCTTCGACAAGTGGAGGATATTCTTGACACTTCCGTCCGGAAGGACTTGAAAGGAGTCATCCAGCAGTGCATGTTCCTTCCACCAGGACACTCGAGGCGGCGGCACTCCTGCAAAGATGGGAAACAACTCACAATTCGCATCAATTCCTCCCAAGCGATGTATAAACTCTCTTTCACATACAAGAGATTTCATTTTTCAACGCTATTCACTTAGAAATTCATTGAATTTTTCCTGCACCTTCAAGCAAATTCTTCAAAAAGATAGCATGGAAAATTCACCATCACACCTCAATTTATGGTTGGTGAATTTTCATGGGATGTGCAGAAAGTGGCTCAAAATTATGGCAATATGTTGGACTAAATTACAACAGCACAAAAGTCTTCATGAGCAAAGGAGCGAGCATTGCACTTTTCAGTGCTAATAAATAATTTCGACTTTTGCCAACTCAGAGCACTTCTCCACTGCAATTAATGCTAAGTTCTCCGTCGTCGGAACACTATAAAATTTTAGTGTTATCGCGCGCTTATTCAATTTTTCGTGCTCAATTTAGTAATCTAATTAAATTTCGTTCTGTAGCAAATTTTCACACACATCTTCTGTAATCTCCATTTCTCACCAACTTAATTTATTCATTGCGCCACAGTAAAAGTTCTTCACTGATTTTCTCGCTCTGGATGTGATTTGATTAAGGGTGAAAAATTGGTGGGGAAAATTGAAAGAAGACATGGAATAATGGTTTGAGAAGAGTATTTTCTATGGATTTACTTGATTCAGAGTTGCAAAGATGTGTAGATAAATGTGATTGATTTATAATCGGAATTTTTTGGGAAATCAGCAGATCATTTTGTGCAAAAAAAATGACATAATTTGTTGGTTCTTGTTTCCCAGAATATAATCTACGCAATCGCCGATCAATGAGCGTGGATCATCAGCAAGTCTGTAATCGCTCTTATCTAGGGACTCGTCAGCTCTGCTCGCATGCTGAGAGGCTGCGAGGACGCGCCCTGCACTCACCACCGCTTGACAGACAGGTGATGTTGATTGTGGCCTGTTCTCGGTAGGGTCCAATCGTGTGGTCGGCAACCGCAGCTCCCAGGTCATCGAGGACGGTGAGGTGAGTCGGTGGCACTGAAATGAAAGGACACACTTCAGTGCCGCGCTGCGAGAAACTCAAGCGCCCCAGTGATAATTATGGGCCAGAGAGAGGAGCTTTGGTCCAGTGAGAGAGCAGCAAACCTGACACGATAATTGCGAATGTGCAGAGCGGCAATGGGAAAACACTTACCCAAGACGGTCAAGTTGATGCGGGAATTTCTCGTGGGCGACTTGTGAAAATCCACTCGACATCTGTGTGCGTGCGGAAGGTGAAAAAGAGGAGTTAATTACACACAGTGGTCTTCGATGCCAATGCAAGCGATGATTACCTGTACAATCCGGCGTCTTCGCGCTTCACATTCCTCAGGCGCAGCGCCGGAGGATTTGACTCGTAGTGGAAGTGAGCCTTGGACTTCAGCACCAGCTCGTCCGCCCAGTGGATGCCCTGGTGCAGTGGTCTCATGCGAGCATCGAATCTGCAAACAGAATCAACCGCAATCAATAATGCGATGCAATATTCGTTTTGCAATCATCAGAGCTTTTGCCCTGCGCTTCAGCTCTTCCTGTTCATCCATAATTTCAAAAGTCCATATTAAAATTTCTATCTGACGTATATGTGTGTTTTGCTGCTTCTCAATTTAGTATGAAAATACTTTTGGATCAAAGACTCCTGAATTTGAGGTTATGATACTTTGGGCGCATTGGAAAATGTCTACAATTCCGAAAAAGGAGAGAAAATTGAGGAAAACACATCTTTCAAGCACTGCCAAAGTTCTGGAAATATCTGTGATTCTCCCACGGAAATTGTGGATTTTACCCATATTATCTCCCCCTTGGCACTACTCAAAGTTGTGCTTTTGAACACAGGCGCTTAGTAAATTAAACAAGAATTGCTGGTGAAAATTTATAACTATGTATAGAGAGAGAGTTTGAGTGTTGCTTATTTGCTATTATGATAAATTCCTGGTTAAGGAAAATTGTGCGGTGCAAATTTATGTTTAATAACCCAACAAACACTGGTAGTTTGCTCAACTCACTGTTGTTTCCTTTCTAATAAAACTTTGCACATTGCAGACCTTGAGAATTTATTGGTTTGAAGTTAGTTTTTAAAGTTGTGGCGCCAAAATAACAACAAATGTTTACACATTTTACGTGCAATCAGTGGTTATTCTGTCCGATATTGTCCAGAGGGTGAATAAATTGCTTCATTTATATTTATGCACTCAGAATCGATGGCTAATTTTGAAATGTCATTCAATTAATGGCGTTTTAATCAATATTACTGGGTCAATCGCATTGAAATACATAGTAATTAGCACTCTGGCTGTGGATGACATATTGAAATGTAAAATTTGTCCATGTGGATTTATCTGGGAAATTCAATCGAACATTCCTCAAAATGGTCATGTCGACAATGTGCACAATGTTTGTTCGTCGATTGGACGCAGTTCAGTGCTGAAGTGCCATCGATATCGATGGTTTAAATCAATCGTATAAATTCTCAGGCAGCCAAGAACCCTCCTTATCATCAACAGGATGTCAGAAGATAAACATGAACGGGGGAAGATACGTAAATTTGTACCCTCTTCTTGTCATTGAGAGCGAGGCGACGGAAGAAGTGAAAATATTGACATTTTTCCCGTCACAATTTCAGAGTGGTTAAAAAGAGGACTCACAGGGTGTCTCGTGGACTCTTGAGGATGTCAAGCACCCGAAGCACAGATCAAGGGAAAGATGCTACGACAAGAAATGCTGAACGATTGAGCAGAGAAGGCTTGGAAAGTACTTGAGAGTGTGTCTTTTCAAAGATATCGACTAGAAATGTTAGCAATGAAATCTTTGCTGTAATTCTAACAATTCCTATAATTAATTGTACAGTCGTGGTGTACAATTTTCATCTCAATCGTCTCTCCCTCGACCGAGGCTTCTCTTCTGCACCACCTTATTTGCATGTCTGGTGGAAATGAGATCAAACAAGCGAGAAGGAGTCGAGAGAGGCGCAGAACAAGCGCGCGCGGAGTGTAATTCAATAAAACAAATTTCGATACACCATAAACTTCTTGTGCAAGTGAAGTGAGAAGTTTTAAACCCATTTGAGAACAAATATTTATCTGCATTTGAGCCTTATCGAGTGATATTCATGGGCGCAAGAGAGTGTTTTCGGGTGGCGCGCGAGGCGAGAAGTGAGATATCAAATAAAGTGATGACGATGTGACTTTCTTCCCACGATTCGTGCGAGAGACGAGAGCCAGAGAAAGAGAGAGAGAGGGAGAAGTGGGTGAAGAAGTGTTGGGGGGTGAGTGTTTCAAAGGAAAGCGAAAAAAAATATACAATATTGGGGAAGATTGCCACGGAGGAAATTGGCCAAATGTGCGGGGATTTTCTTCTACTGCTCGTGACACCCCCAAAATATGACGATGTAATTGAAGGACATTTAATCAGTGACAAATTAGACATGTGAATTGAGGGGAGATTTTATTGCCAGAGAAATGTTGATGCCCGAGAATTTAATTGACTCGCCAGTTGAGGGAAGGAATGTCAAGAGATCGCGGAGGAACATTGGACATGGCATTGAAGCCATTGCCATCTGCTCAAGTGCATTAACAATATGACAAATAGAACTCAATGCGGGCGGTTATGGGATAATTGTTCCATGCGATCGACTACAATGGACAAGAAAACCATTAAGTTGCGCTGCTTTTCAATTTTGGTGCCACGGAAATCGTTAGAATAGCGGAATTGACGTGAAAGGCTGTCTTCTGAGTGCATGCTGGATTGAGCTTCCTCAATTGCACAAAGAACAAGGAGGAGGTAATATGTCTCAAATCTGTACACCACTTCTTTAAGGTCTTTAAAGGCATTTTCCATCGCTTTCTCTACTCTTTCAACTGTTTCTCACGCAGTTTTGCCTTCTGAAAATGCTTTGAATAATTCTGATCAAATCAAGTTTTGATCACCAAAATTTGTCTTACATCAATCACATAAACTAGAAAAGCAATAAAATTGATTTTTCTAAACAAAATAATTTTAAAAATGGATAAATTTGCTGCAAAAGATACTTTTGCAATGCAAATGTTCCAAATATTTCACCACTTTCAATTCCCAAACACTTCCGCAAAGCTGTACACTGCTTCAAGACCATAATATCTGCCCCTTGATAGAGAGCATTTCTCGAAAACAATTCCTTTACCCTCTTGATATCCGCTCTTTTTATTGTTAATTGTCCTCTATGAGTAAAACGACCGTCAGAAGACGTTCTTTCTGTGCAAAGAATCGCCGAAAAAAACTCAACAAAATCATCAGGGGATTTTTTTTGAACGTTCTGTAAGAAAGTGTAATGATCAAGGAATTTGAAATGCTTCATTACACCGCAGACACCTCAATTTCCCCCACAATAAACGCCATTCAATTGAGCAATTATGGGTCGATTGTGTCTTCGCCAGATGCCGGTGTTGTTTATCTAATGCTCCTTGTTGGAACTTACGTGTAAATGGGCTTGATGTTCCCCTCTTTGTACCAGATGACAAGTTGCACCTTATCCGTCATCATGGACACCGAGATGGGCACCAGCTCGCAAGGCATCGACGCCTCCAGTCCCACAGCTGTTTGCACCTCCGAAAGTGGTCCTGCAAAGGAGAAGAAGCAGAAGAATGTCCGTGAGCCACAAAAGAGTGCAGCAATTAAATTTGAATGTCCGTGAGTGCATGTGAAGTGAAAGGAAAGCCACGGGGGATAATTGATGCGCTATTGGGGTGGTTGGGCAAAAAACTGCGGCGGTGAGATTGTTAATGCCTTTGAGAGGCAACGCCAAGGGGAGTCCATGTGGTTGGAATTTGTACATCGCCAATGCACAAGTCAAAATACTCTTCTTCAATTTGGCACAAAACTGTCGATTCATTATAGAATATATTGTGATAAAACACTACTTCAAATATACTTTTATCATATAAATCTTAAAACTATTCTGCACGTTTACTGAAGCTGTACACCACTTTCTGCTGCCTTATCCACCCCTGGACAACCCTATTATTCCATCTCTTCCGTCTCTCAGCCATTTCTCCATGCTCAAGTGGCCTTTGAGGAGTCTCTCGAGTGAGATGGATTCTCGATAAGATACTTCAGACTCTGGCTTTCCAATTGCTGCACATAAAAATCATTTCAATTGCTTCATTTGTTCAGCATCTGTGGCCTGAGATTGTAGTCTTAGATAGTCTGATTGCCTTCGTGGGCAAACCTTTATCCTTTTGCTTACCACGGATGGTTGTTCGGCGGGGATTTATTAGCCCAAAACTGACCAGGTGGTCTTCAGGGTGTGTCTTTGGAGCGCGCGACTTGTGGGAGATAAATTAATACTCAGTGAAGAAGTGATTTCTGTGTTGCTCGTTTTTGGCTAAAAATAAAGGTGTTGGAATTACAAGTCGCAGTTGAAATTGGTTGCGCGTAATCTCTTTCCCACGCCCAGAAATTCACTGTCAACAATCCCTAAGGCCTTTCCTCTGTCCCTCTCAGCATTCCTTCCTCTAATACCCGAGAGACCCTTCGAAGTGTCATCGATGACGGCTGAGGAGGATGAAATCGCTCTTGTTATTTTTATTCCAATAAATTCCTTCTCACCCCCAGAAAAAAACCACCGTCGAGCCGCGCTCTGTTCGCCTCAAGGCGGAGATAATATGTCTTAAATCTGTACAACACTTCAAAACACTTCCAAATTTGCCTGACACTTCTAAAACTTGAAGTTTTTAGACTATTTCAGATTGCAAAATCATCAGTTATGATATGCAAATGAACTCAAAATTGCGAATTAACAGTGAAAATCGTCCAGGGAGATTTCTAAACCAACATTTTTCAAGTTTCAATCATTATTTTTGAGGTTATGAACGACATTAGCACATTTTGCATGTGTTTATGGACACCAAAGATTCAGAATAGCAATGTTTATTGCATGAAAATTCTCAATTCAACAAATTATTGGCAATCTTGGGGACTTGAAAAAAAGAATTAATGCACTAGATTGCGAGCTATTTTCATTAAATCTGTTCTTGATTCGTTACATAACCTATAAAAGCATTTCTGTGATTGTTTCCAGCGGACAAGTCGAAGGAAATCCAAAGCTAGTGCTTAACTATTAGCATATTGTAAGCTTATGAACACTTCCGCCGCTTAAGTACTTCTTCTAAGCTGTACACCACTTCTGACTGTATTATCTCCCCCTTGGTTCGCCTCGTCATGCGATCAGGCGAAGAAGAGCATGGAATTTCCAATAAATATCCTCTCCCACTGACGCTCAATGATGTTTAGGTGATGTCTGAGGTTTGAAATGGTTGCTGACTCTTTTAGCACGACGCGCTCTCGAATTTATCGGTGTCTCTTAATTTATTATTAAATCAACAAGCCAAAGTCGCACCCACAAAGGTGGATTACTCACAGGGAAGAAGAGCCCACGAGGAGGGGTTTTATTTTTGGCACCGGGCGGGAGATTTAATTTGTTGGTGAGGTGTGTGTCGAATGCCTCTCTCTCTCCCCCTTTTTGGATTTGTTTTTGTCCCCAATAGAGTTGTTATGCGATGGCAAATGACTTTCCACGCGCGACGAAGGGAAAATTTTAATGCTGCGACATCAACAAAAAAAAAATAAGCCAGTGGAAAATCCCTACAAGATAATAAATTTATTTAAGGTTCCCCTTCTTTCACACACCATTCTGCGCGCGCGATGGGAAAATAAAAAGGCAAATTAGGAGGAAAATCCGAATAACAGTGAGAAGAAAAGATTGTCTTTTTCATGTGTGCGCCCGCCATTCAGTGTTGAAATTAAAGAAGGCAAATTTCTTTTTTATTGCCCTCTCCTCGCAATCATTCCTTTTGGTCCTTTCTCTCTCTCTCTTTTTTTTCGGTTGTCTCCTTCGCCTATTCTGCACGCCTATGAGGAATCACCTTCAGAACCAGCCGCATATTCTACGTCTATAGACAATGACTTGAATGTTCATAAATATTTTATGCCATAGGAAACCTATCATTAGTCGACTCGTTCGGTGGTTTAATGGTTGGAGAAACAGGACAAATATTTGTACGGAAATTGAGTACAACGTGTCACTTCCTAAGGTATCAGAATTTCCCTCCAAGGACACACTTTTAGTGCCTCTCGCAGCAGAAACATCCAATCAATCATCCAATGAACACAACAATACAACTACACGGAATTCCTGGTCTTTCTCGCGCAAAGAATTTCGCGGAATTTGTCAAACACACTAAAGAGATGAAATTTCCATGAATACTTGCAATTTGTCAAAGTTCCAAAATGCCGCTTGAGGTGCAGACAGAAGTCCTCTCTGTGCCTTTGACAAGGAGCGTCAGGTGTTTGAGTACGGACTAAATCCATGTGAGATCCAGAGCATTTCACCCTCAGGCGCGCAGTTAGTATGCAAATAATCCCCCAATCAACTTGTGGCTGACAAACAAGAGAAACCGACAAGTGCGTCGAGAGGGTGTGCCTTCCAGTCCTCGATCTCGTGGAATAATTACACTTACGTGATCCTGACGCACTTGAATATGAAATTTTCCCCAGAGAGGCACAAGTTGCCAATAACTCACACGCCATTTTTCCATGCCGAGGGGACAATAACTCACTCTAACGAGGCGCTCATTGAAATTCAAGTGTCACCCTCGCGTCACCCCCTCATTGATTGACTGTGCCAGAGGGTTTGAGTTCCACTCGAGTTGTTCTCCAGTTGCCTTGTTGACTGTTGGGGTTTGAGTAATTATGAGGTGGAAGTGCCTAATCTGCGTCTTAACCCTGTGCCAAGGCGTTGTTGGTTTTGCTCAAGTCCAAATAAACACAAAGTTGATTGTATATCATTAGAGAGCAACAGATGCACATTCTCAAGAAAGTCAACTGATAGAGATAAGATTATTTTGCTTCTGTCCTCATTATTTCCTCGATATAGCATTCAAAACGATGCGATATTCTTTGTGGTGACTTTAAAAAGTGAACAAGTGAAGATTAGCCTAAGAAAGTGTAGCAAAAGATGTGATTTCAGTGCAATTACATATACTGAAGAGAAGAAGAAATTATCGAGCTTTAGCCTGAATTAGCTTGATCTGCCTTAAACCGTATAATAATTCACGTTCTGTGACAAGTAATTTCCTCTTAAACATTAATTATAAGATGCAAATAAAGCAGTGAAGCTGACAATGTCTCTTCGAAGCTCAATTCTTATGCTTAAATTGCAATTTGTCAGCCAAAGAGAAGTTGAAAATAGTGAATTAAATGCCAATCGAGCTCGAATCGCAATTCACGTGCTATTGACCCCTCGGCAGCAGATTTCGTGAGTCTCCCCGTCGATGGGTGTTCTGTCGGCTTTCAAGGGTTGCGAGACTTGCCCGAGTCCTTGGAGAATCACGAAGAAATGTACGGAATTTCGAGTGCTTTCCCGTTTAAGAATCTCATTCCTCTTTTGGGGTTTTTGACTAAGGAATAAATCTGACTCTTCACATCTTCCATATGACGCCGGATTACACCATCAGGATGTGGAAGATGGAAAATTTTCATAACTCGTCGGATTTTGCATTTTTCCCCAAACCACACGCGAAAAAACCTCAAGGAATTTTCTACCACAAGTCTCAGAGGATTTTTAAGAGCCATAATTGATTGGGGGTTGGAGAAGAAGAAGAAAAAAAAAACTCATCATCGCAGCGAAAGAACATAAAAAGCCACTTTTGCGCTCGTATATTTGGAAGTTCTGTTTTTTTCCTGGGTGTTGTCCAAGTTTTAATATTAAATTATTGAGCTGCTTGAGCTGTTTTGACTTGGAGGGAATGTCGAGGCCACTGACGTCTGTCCAGGAACTGATGGATTAGATTTATTGAAATCATCTCGGATGAATACACTTTGTATCTCCGCCCAAAGTTGTCTATATCGTATAATTCGTTTCTGGGGATCCTTCGTAAATCACTCGCGACAGGCTTTAATAACAGGGCAAGAAGAAGTCGCTCAAATGTGGAATTGAATTGATTTCCGTTCGATGTGGTGGGAAAATGGCATTTTAAGACACTAAGACGACCGCGTAATTCCCTTGAAAAGTCATTAAGTCGCGCCGTGGCGATGAAAATGATGAGATAAAGAAACACGCAATTATGCTGAAATGGTCAAATAGTTAAACCCCAAGGCACAGAATATCCCTCTAATTGTGATCATTAAAGTGAGACTGATGGTGGAAACAATTACACCAAATAGTTATTAATTATCATAGGTTGATTTGAGTTCACAACTTCTCAAATTATCTCCTCGGGTGAAAGGTTATTAATCTTCTCAGTTTTTTTTCTGCTTCTTCTCTGCGACCAAACTTCACTGTTTGCGGTCACTTTTTTTCTGTTCCCCGCACTTCCTTGACTTCTTAATCCCAGAAGGTCTCTTCTGGCTTGAGACTCCTCAATATGCGGCAATCAATTTACAACGCCACGAGGCCCTCAATCATTGATAAAGGCAATTCAGGAGAATTTCCCTGACACTCTCGCCTTTGTACAGCACTTGAGGTCTCATATTTTCTCGGCGCTGTTCAAACACACACGATGCGTGTTAAATGGACGTGAATGATTTCTTTTTCTACCTCTGCTATCGGAGACAAATTAGA